ACGTAACACATATCCCATTTATAAATTATTTCCAAAGATGAAAAGTAATAATAAAGTCTCACACCTCACTGAGATTTGTTCAAGTTCAGCTTAAAAAATGGCTTGAGGTTTTAAACGGCTCTACTTTCTTTATAGGGAACATGGACGACGAACAAAGATACTCCAACCTAGGTTGCCAAGTGTAAAGGTTATTGGAGGTGCAAGTAAAAAAAAATTATTATGTTTCAAAAATTTTGTAAATTTCGGCTGCTTCAACATTCAAACATCTAACCTTTTTGTTAAATGCTTAGATACTGAGTTTTCTATTCTTCAGATTTATTACAGCCAATCATTATTGTAAACCACCGCTAAATCAAAAATCAAGCATTAAAAGCCGTTGAAACCCCTGTTATGTATTATTTAAATGAATATACATTTTTGCCCTGATTGCTGACGGTTACTACAGAAATATAATCATATCTAATAGAATTTTTCTTTAATTTAGCGAGAGTAATACTAACAGCGGTTTGGTATATTCAATTTATTATATCTATAAGAGCATAATTAAAAAAGATGTCTATCAACTACAAATTTTGGCATGTCACTTAGAATATGCTTTGATACTGCAAAAAAAAAATCAATGAACTCTATCCAATAAAGTACTCTTTTTTCTAGTTCTCTGCGAACTTTCACTAATGTCAGACCTTTGTAGCAACTAATATTAAGGTAAGTTACTCGAAAAATACTTTTTTTCTTTTTTGTAATACATCATTTCGTACGCTCTGATCTGCATTTTACAGTATTAAAATTAAGATTTAATATTCCCTCCAATAGAAACGACTGTAGCGCTAACAGCTTCTATATCTGAAATAAAAGGCAGTGGTGTGATTTGTACTTGATTTCTAGGAATTTGAAGTAAAAATTCGGACCTTTTCAGGTTTCTCTCAGACACAACTATTTTAACTCCAGGCGTTTTTTAAATGTGTTCACCTTGTCATTTTTTCCTAGATTAGTGTTTCAATTCTCAATTTTTTTATTCACTTTTCTCTATGTCGGTTATCTATAAATTTGCATACCAACCACTTGGACCTCTTTTGTCGGTTTATTTTTTACCATTTACTTCATTTTACTAACCGAAAATTAAGCTTTTGGTAAGATTTGCTAACTTTTTACCAAACTTCTGTTCACATCATACTAAGTGGTTTTTATATATTTTTAAACAAGGTTTCTTTTGACCACAACAAGCTAATCAAAAGAAATAAGTTGATTGACGTTATCCATATTGCCTATTTTTGTTTCACCTCTACCGTTAACCTTTTCTGGCCATGGCAATAAAGAAGCATTTCTAGATATACAAAACAAATAAACTCTGAAGGACATTGAAATAAGCTACAAAAATAATCTACTAAAGCCAATTATTTTTCCAGTTATTATAATAAACTCAAATCAGTTTATTTATCATAAGTATTAATGTAATGTTCTTAAATGAAAAAAAAATCGACGAAGGAGATTAAAGTGGTTGCTATAGAAATTTATAGATAGCCGACATAGAGAAAAGTGAATAAAAATAATCGAGAATTGATAAATTCTGACATTTAAGCGTAGTGTTTCTGAAGTTAAAAATGACAAAGTCTGAAATAAAGTTGAAGGTCCGCGTTTTTTTTTGAAAGGGTCCAAAAACCAAGTAAAAATATTGTACAACCCGGTCTTTCTCGGCCATTTTGAAGCGCGTCCTTCTTGGGATATTGGCTTCACGTGTATTCCCTATCCTAATAGCAGAGGTAAAGGGCACTTTTTGAAGGTTGTTCAAGAAATGTTTTTTTTTAAACCATTCTCACTATCCAGGGTGCCGAAAATTCCGGCTTTTTAACCAATACAAATGCTTCAAACATAAAATATACAAATATAAAAAAAGTCTATCAGACAGATAGGTTTGGATTGGTAACACCAGCTACGAAATAACCAAGAGATCGTATGTAGAGAGATGAACTTTCATCCATATTTAGATGATTTATATATATACATGCTTATGTGTGTATTATATACTTCATCACAAATCAGTTTGTTGCGCAATAAGCAGAGATAACGAAGTAACATCTATATAGATAGAATAAATCTTAGCTTCATATATCCAAAAGCTTGTTATACAGGTAGTTTAATTTCTATTAATACAAAGTAGAAAATACTTTCAGGAATTATAGAAAGTGTAGATAGAGTGAATAGTAGTACACTGACTGTATCATAAAGAGAGTACCATCAGATCAGATCCAAGGCTCAGCATTTTTCTTATAACAGATCACCTTTTTCTTTTACATTCTTTTATATTCTTTCCTTTTTAGAGAAGTAAAAAAAGAAAAGAAAAGGCAAAGATTTTTTGGATTTATAGCCTTTTTTTTGCAAGAAATAATAATACCAGATATACTTCCTATGTTAGGGGATCAATATATATATACATCTTTTTAAAATATGCTGTGGCCCATAAAGGTTTGCGTATACATGTGTGCTAACGAGTATAAACTCCCTGTCGTTGATCTTTGCAAATTCATTCTGTGAAAAATGAAATAATTCGCTCGTTCAACTCAAATTCAATATCATTCAGTGTGATGTGTCATTTTTTCTTTTCTAGTTACTCAAATCATATTATCATTCCATAATTGGACAGCAAGTTTACAGTATGATACACACGGTCATATCCGCCGAGGTGCTCTCACAAACCGGCAAACCACTATCCACGAGCTGTAAATAAGTGACGAATATATATATATATATATATATATATCAGTTAAGAAACCCTTGGCTTACTTGGAATACTTGGTCTACTGTACTCCATTAATAACATATTATAATAAACTACAATTTTGAATCGAATGTTAACAAACATAGTGATGTTATTATGTGTATTAGTATATGAAACTACCCAGGAAAATAGCAGGGCAACAATAACAATAACAATAATGGTAATGGTAATGGTAATGGTAACAATTAAACCAATTATAAATCTACAAGAAAAGAAGGATATAAAGATTATTTGTAGATGTATGGCTCATCCTTCATCAACACCAAAAGAACAATGGCTTATACACTTGACCGAATATCTGATGTAAAAATGTGTGCTACGTTGTTAAGATATTAGTTACAACTAAATAGGTTTAAATGAATAATTTTGACATAAAGTCTTTATAAACTGGTACGATCATGTCAATCATACCAGTATAGTAAAAGTATCTCTACAATACTTAAGTTCTTCCTACGTAAAATGTTTCTGAGATATGGCTAGATCAATTTACTATTATCTATAATCAAGGAATAGTTTTTGCTTTGTAGGATGCCCGACAAGTCGGGAATCTGGCTTGCGCAACGAAGCGGGATACATAAGCATCAATTTCTGGGATACTTTGATTGAATGCATATCATTAACCTGTGTGGCCAACTTCTGTGTATCCAAATAGATAGGCGAACCTTCACGTATATAGAATCTCGTTTTTGAGCTACTCTTCATTTAAGGACAAAAGAAGGGCCGTGTTTTTGTGTTTAAAAGTTACTGATTTACTTAATATATATAAATAAAGACCTTTGGCTAATCAAACGCTTAAAGTTGTACAAAGCAATATCTAAATAAAGGTTTTATCTTGAAAATTTCAACTTTTATCAATGTTTCTATAGAAAGATTACTTCTTAGAATATGCTGTTCACCAGCGTGCGAGGGAATTATCGAGGGAATTGACAAATATATCCATTTGGAATCGAATAAATTACTATGAAAAGTAATTTTTCTTTCAATTCCCTCGATAATTCTCTCGTACGCTGGTAAACAGCACAATACGCAATTCTATATTAATAAAGTACTCCAAGAGCACCTTTAACCTTTAACCATTCAAGCTAAAACACGACTTTAATTTCTGGAAACATAAATTGATTTTGATTGGCTGTGACATTGATTGTCGGAAACACTGTAAAACAAGGAGCAAGTAATCGTGTCTGGATCAAATTGATCGAACAAAACTAGTCATTATTAAGTCTATCTTAAGAGCTCTATATTGAATGATGGACCCACAAACAGGCAAGTATAAATATATGCAATTGTTACATGAAGTCTCTAGATATGTGCCTAATTGTATTATAAACAAGTACCCTCATGTTATAGTTATAAACCCTGACTAATTCTGGTACATACCAAGTCATATATTGCGAACAAAAGGCCAATGTAATAACTAACTAGAGTCAGGGTGCATTTAAAAGTAAAAGCTAACCAATATTTCCTATGTGATGTGATATACACAACTATAAGCTCAGTTCATCCTCCTGTTTTATACATATTGGACGTTATGCTACACAGCGTATTACAACATTGCATGAAAAGAAAAGCAAAATGCATCTATAGCGCTACACTTAAACTTTAATATGACAATCCAAATCAAGAAAATGTAGCTGATATAAAACTATCAACAGTTTGTCTGGTAAAAGCAGGGAAGAGTTTTGAGATTTAAACTAATAACGAGTTAAATAACATTAACTTTGACAAAATGAATGTTACCTACTAAGGACCAGCTAATATTGTATTATTTGAAGTGTAATTGAGAAAATACAAAGAGAAGAAAAAATAGGAGAGAGCGGGTGTTATTGAATTCACTTTAGCTTATAAGGTTTCTTATGAGCAACAGTAACTGCAATAATAGATGTCAATTTGTTTTAAGGTAAGTCAAAGTATGTCTCTAAAATATGAATTTTAGTTACATGATCAAGCATTATATTATACATCGCAGCTTGGCCAGCTATAATAGCAAGCCTTTTCTATCCCTTCAATATCTCACAATGTATAGTAATAAAACCACGAATAAAGACTTTTATTCAATTCTTGTCTAATAATTTAGGATAATTGTATAATGTATACCTCAGTTTGTTTATAGACTCTTGCGTATATATACACCATTAATATATAGTTAACTAAAAGGTTTGGCTTTTCATATTCTATTTGCTTTAAATTTAAATGGTTCAAAATGTATTCAGAGACTGTGTAGTATAGTGTGAAAATTGTATTTTATCGCTTTTTATTAATGAGCGGTTTATTAAATAAATTATTGTACAGAAGAAGTAAGTATACAAGATATTAAAGGTAGATTATACGGATATTCTGAAATATAGTAGTTAAGAGGTGGTAAAGTGTTATTCTAGTTTAAATGGTCTAATTTAGTTGGCATTCAGAGACTGCTGGTGGACTAAACTACTGTAAGCACCATTCAACTTAAGTAATTCCCAATGAGTGCCTTGCTCAGCAATGCGACCATCCTTTACAACACAAATATGATCGGCTCCTTGGATAGTAGACAGACGATGGGCAATAGTAATTGTAGTACGGCCACCCTCTTCCAAGATATTATCGATAGCTGCTTGTACCAGCTTCTCTGACTCGGAATCCAGAGCAGAAGTAGCCTCATCCAAAAGTAGTACTCGAGGTTTACGGATCAAGGCACGGGCAATTGCAATACGTTGCTTTTGGCCACCGGATAACTGAGATCCCTTGTCGCCAACACGAGTGTCATAACCTTGTGGTAAGCTGGTAATAAATGTGTGGATATTGGCAGCACGACAAGCGTCTTCAACCATATCTTGACTAATAGTCTTGTCTTCATCAACACCAAAACGGATGTTTTCACCAATAGTCATATCAAACAAAACTGGTTCCTGACCAACCAAGGACATATGGCTACGAAGGTTACCGAGCGAGTAATTTTTCACATTGTTGTCATCGAGACGGACGGCACCAGTGATAGGGTCATACCAGCGCTGGAGCATACCAATAGTAGTAGACTTGCCACATCCAGAAGCACCAACAAGAGCAATAGTATGGCCGGCCTTTCCTTTAAGATTGAATTCACCGTTGAAGATGGCGATATCAGGGCGAGCGGGGTAACGGAAAGTGATATCTTCGAAAGCAACATCGCCAGCAATTTGAGAAGATGAAGGCTCGATACCTTCAAGTTCAGGGTCGATTGATGGAACACGATCAAGAACTTCAAAGGCGGCAATAGCAGAGTACTTGGCTTTGGCGAATGTGGAAGTAAAAGTACTTCCGCGACCAACACCCTGAGCAGTAATCATGATACCCATCATAGTAGTGAACATTTGCTGGAAGTTGATTCTACCATCGGCAATCAAGCGCATACCGGCATAGAAAGCTACAGCATTAGTGTAAAGAGTGATACCCTGCTGAAGACCGTAACCGACGGAGGATGTAACAGCCTTGCGTTGGGCGAGCTTGTGAGGGTGGTCGGTAGCCTTGAAATACCTATCTTCAAAGTGCACTTGTTTGTTGAGAGCAGCAACTGTGCGGATTTCTTTGATAGCTTCACCAGCGACTTCACCACTTTGTTCATTGGCTTTCTTAGTTTTGTCTTCAAATCCACGATGAATTCTTGCTTCATAAGAGGTTGCGGTAATAATAAAAGGAGCCATGCAGCAAATGATCAAAGTCAGAAGCCAACTTTGCGAGAAGGCAATAGCAAGACCTATTGTTTTATATATATATATAAAGTATTAGTAATTTATTCATCAAAGATTGCATAGTAAAACTTACCAGTAATAGCAGTAACAATAATTTGAGTAATATCACCCCATGTTTTGGTAACCATTTCGTTTACGTTCTTGGAGTCAATGGCCAGTTTGGAAGTCAGTGCACCGAGACTATGTTCTGGCTCATCATAAAAACCAATCTCTTGGCGCATAAAGGCGTCGAAAATCTGACCACGGAAACGCTTAGTAAAGCGCTCACCGGCAACTTCAAAAGAAATAATCTGGAAAGAGAAACCAGCAAAGGCGGCAAAACCAAGAACGAGGAACAAAAAGGCATACAGATTGGCACCTTGGAAAGGTCCAGGGGCAATTTTGTCGGTTTCAAATGAAAGAATATTAGTAACACGAGAGAAAATGAGAGCGAAGCAAGGAAAAACTGCACCAGCAATTGCAGCTCCACCGACACCAGTAAGCAACAAGTGCCACTCAGGTTTCATCATTTGAATAACTCTTCTGACAGGAGCAGATTGCTTCTTGGCAGCCTTCTTGGTTTCCTTTTGCTTGCGGAGTTTGACTTCAAAGGCATCGATCGAAATGTTGGTGCTGATCTTGGAGAGAGAGTTGGATGGAATCTTTTCCAAAGTAGCCCTGAATTCTTGTTGGTTTGCTTGTTCTTTCTTTAATTCCATGGTTTCTTGCTTCAAAAGTTCTTCGTCGTCAATCTCTTCTTCAACATGTCCAATTTGAGTGGTAGCGATTTGCTGCTTGGCAACGAGTCCAGCGTAAACACCATTGAGGGCGAGCAACTCATTGTGAGTACCTTGTTCAACGAGGTCACCTTTATCCATGACAACAATCAAGTCAGCTCTACGAATGGTAGAGAGACGATGGGCAATAACGATGGTTGTACGATCGGCAGCTGCGGCATCTAATGCTTTCTGGACCAGACGTTCAGATTGGGTATCAAGAGCAGAGGTGGCCTAAAAGAAAAAAGAAAGAAATTATAAGTATAATAATAAATATCAATAATATGTGTTACTTACTTCATCCAGTAGTAAGATCGAGGGGTTCTTGATAATAGCACGGGCAATAGCAACACGCTGCTTCTGACCACCGGAAAGCATACCACCATGCTCACCAACAAGAGTGTTGTAGCCTTCAGGTAATTCAGAGATAAAAGAGTGACAGTTTGCTTTCTTGCATGCTTCGATCATCTCCTCCTTGGGGACATCGCGGAATGCGCCCATAAGCAAGTTCTGGCGAATAGTCATGTTAAACAATACAGGCTCCTGACTGACGACACCAATCTGTGTGCGTAACCACGCGACGTTGTAAGACTTGAGATCCTCGCCATCAAGCAGAACCTGACCATCAATTGGATCATAAAAGCGCTGGAGAAGCTGGACACTTGTGGACTTTCCGGATCCAGAAGGACCGACAAAGGCAACAGTCTGACCTGGACGGATTTTGAGGTTGAGATTCTTGAGGATGGGTACATCAGGACGGGTGGGGTAAGTGAATTTAACGTTGCGGAACTCGATATCTCCAGTAATCTTGGCTGGTTGGCTGCCTAAGGAAGAGTCGGGATCGATTTCAGGAACACGTTCAATGGTTTGATAGACTTTATAAGCAGCACCGCAGGCACTGGATACAGCAGACAGATTTGGTGGCAGCTGCAAAAGGGCCATGGCACCCATAATCATGGCAAAAAAGACAACAAGGACGGTAGGACCATTGAGCTTTCCTTGGATAACAAGCTGGCCACCATACCAGAAAGAGAGAGAATATGTAGCAAAGAGAGTAAACATAAAAGCACCAAGGCCAAGACCGAGGATCATGCCACGCTTGATACCGGTTTGCTTTGCTTTTTCGAGCTTAATACTGTAGAGTTCAGAGAAACGGGACTGGAGAGAGAAGGAATAGACAGTGCGGATACCAGAGAATACTTGTTCGGCAACAGAACCAGCTTCAGCATAGGAGGTCTGGGTCTTGAGTGTATATTTTGTGATAAATATACCCATTACTGCACCCACACCAGCCATGAAAGGCAATGTAGCCAACATGACAACAGCAAGATGCCATCCTTTGATGAAAGCGACGATGAATCCGGTGACAAACTGGGAGATAGCGGTCACGAAAAGGCCGAATTTTTCAGAAATACCGTCTTGGATCAATTGGGTGTCTGTGGCCAGACGAGTGTTGAGAGAACCATCTTCAGCCTTGTCGAACCAGGACATGTCTTGACGGAGGATTGCGTGGACATACATTTGACGAATTCGGCGGGCCTGGTTCTCGCCACTTAGAACCCAGAAAGTATTTCCGACGTAGGCGGCAATCATAACACCAGTTCCCATGTACACAAAGACAAGAATCAATCCCATGGTTTTATCCAATAGTGTTTCGGGATGAGCCAGGGCAGTTTGAAGCTCTGTCAAGAACTTTCCAAGGATGATTACAGAAATTGGCTGAATGGCACCAATACAGATTGAGCAGATGATGGCGATAATGACCATGAACTTGTCCATAGGTGTCGAGTATTTGAACATAGCCCATAGCTTGACTGAAGGTTCCTTAACCTTCTTTTTCTTTTTCTTCTTTCCAGATTCATCGAGTTCCTCAGATTCTTCAGTATTTACTGCAGGTTTTATTTCAGCAAGAGCTTCTAATTCGTGGATATTGGCTTTTTCGTCTATTTCGACCGAAGTGATTTCGGTGATAACTTCACCCTTGACGGTTCGACCCGTCGATGTTGACCGTCGACTTTCGTCTGAAGCTGTCATTGTTTGTAGCAGATATGAGCAGCTGTAGACAGATTACTTGAGTGTGATGGTAAGACTATAATCTTTTAAAGTGAAAAAAAAGAGTAGCTGATCCGACAAGCAGTAAAATGTAAATATTTATAAAAATGAGGTTTTTACAAATTTGTGCGAATCGACTGGGTATTTATAAGATTTTGTTCACGGCAGAATTTGTATTTGGAACCTGATATTTTGACCAATCATAACGAATACCGAAATATTTAGACCGACGAAACAAAATAACCCATTTATCTTTTTTTTTTTTTTTTTCTAAGCGGACTAGTCTTGGCTTGTTGGTGGTAAGACAAAGATTATTCTTAAATAAGCCAAGTGACTATGAATTTTTTGCACCACACCTACAAAGCTCTCCTTCTTCGCGCACAACTGATATATAGAACCAATTATACAGGTAACATTTATCCCATTTATGAATTTATTTCCAAAGGCGAAAGGTAACAATACAACTCAGTCTTGTTTGGCGGTTGTAAGGCGTGTTCTTCTTTGGATATAGGGTTCACGTGTATTCAATATCCGAGTCCCAAAGATAAAAGAACACTTTTTGGATGATGCTCAACAAATGTATACTCTATTTTTTTTTGAATCATTCTTGTTATTCAAGAAGCCGATAATGCCCGTAGTATAATCATTGTGGTTGATTCAAACGCAAAATACAAGAGATTTTTAAAAAAAGAAAAGTCTGCCAAAAAGATGGTTTTGGACTGGTAGCACAGACTAAAAAAAGAACCAAGAGATCGTATATTGAGAGATAGATTTACGTCCATATTTAGATGATTTGTATATATATATTACTTTATTAAAAATTCACTATCAGCTATATAGGTATGTGAATGTATATAGATTTTAATCACAAATCAGTTTGTCGCGCAGTAAGAAAAAGAAAAAGAAAAGAAAAGAAGTAGAGCAAAATATATGTAAAAGGAGTAAGCCTTGAGTTTTAAAGGTATATGCTTGTTATACAAGTGGTTTGATTACTATTGGCTTGAGGTGGAAGATGTATCCAGGAATCATATAAAGAAAGTGTAGATAGAGTGAATAGTAGTACACAGACTGCGTTATAAAGAGACAACCATCAGATCAAGCTTTTAGGGGAATATCTGGAGATCAGACCCACGGCTCAGCATTTTTCTTATCTATTCTTTTATATTCTTTTTTTTTTCCTTAAATATACATATATAATATCTAGACTTACATTATTCTGTTGTACGTAATGATACCAAAGATACTACCTATATAAGGAGGATCAAATAGATACGTCTTCAATGCTTCTATAGCCAACGAATGGCTTGCGTATGTGTGTGTGTGTGTGTGTGTACGCTGACGAGTATTAATTCCCAAACATCGATCTGTGTAAATTTGTTCTTTCTGAGAAACGGAATCATTCGTCTGTTCAACTTAAATTCAATATTATTCAGTGTGTTTTGTCGTCTTTTCATTTATGGTCATACAAAACATACCTTTACCCCCTAATAAGTCATTAAGGTCAGAGCATGTTACACACGGTCACGTCCGCCGAAGCGCTCTCACAGAGAGAAAGGCCATTATCCACGAGCTATAGATCGGTGACGAGTATATATATAACCGTCAAGAAACCCTTGGATTATTTGGAACACTTGGACACTTTTTTGACATTACTGACACTCTTATTGTATGCTAAATTACTGAAATCAAATTATATGCTGTGTATTAGTATACAAAAATATCCAAGAATAATAAAAAAAATAGCAAAATGATAAGGCTAATGATAATGATAATGATAATGGTAACAAGTAGTCTAATTATAAACCTACTAGAAAAAGAATAACACGAATGTCCTTTGAAGAGCTATGGTCCATTCTTGATATACCTCAAAAGAATGATATTTCATACATCTCACTGCAGATCTGATGTAGAAATAGATACTACAGTATTGAAAGACTAGTTGCAATTTGCAGTTAAATAGGTTCAATTGAGTAATTTTGACGTAAAGACTTTGTGAATTGACTTGATTATGACAGTAAAGTAATACCATATTTACATTCAAGTCCTTACTATGTAAGAGGTATCTGGAATACGACTAGATCAATCAATTATAATCGACAATCAAAAAATAAATGGCTTTTGTTTTTCTGGGATGCCCGACAAGTCGGAAACCTGGCTTGCACAACAAAGCGGGATACATAAGCATCGATTCCTGGGATACTCTGTTTGACCACACATTTTTCTATCTGTGGGGCCAACTTCTGTGTATACAAATAGATAGGCAAGTATTCACTTGCATAGAAGCTTGTTTTAGAGCTACTCTCCATTCAAGGACAAAAGAAGGGCCGTGTTTTTATGCTGTATGGTCACCAACTTGCTTAATATAGATAAATATCTACATATTTGTGTATAAATAGTCTTGGGTCACATCTATTTAGGATTTATTCTTATTATTCTATTTTGTTGGATCAGAAAACCCATTATGTATATATAAATATGCACACTTCATGAAGGTTGATAATACACCAATGCACTTATGAGTTTATGAATGAATTGACGCACTAGAGCCTATTGTGCACTTGTTTGGCATACAAAGAATACATAGGTATGCATACAAACGTTCAATTGTGATGTTGAACTTTCTGTGTGTGTGCACCAGAAAAGAAGTCTCGGTCTGAAATGCAATAATTTATCCGAGAAATAGTGTTTGCACCTCATCTATTTGATCATTGATTCTTCAAATGTCTCTCTGTCTAACCGGGGCATTCATCCACCTTTTGTCAGGATCAAGGAGCTTTTACATATATATATCAATAGCCTATTTATAATTTACATAATTAAGAAACGCCACCCATGAACTCAATATAACGGCAATAAACCCGTCTCAAAAATAAATCAAAGAATATTATTAAACCATATGGTGCCACTCATTATTATAGAAAATCATAAATACAAGGAGGAATACGTTCTGTATGTAGAATATTGGTTAAAGAAATACACATCTTTAACCTCAAGCTCGCTTCATATTGTTTGATTAACATGTCTCACTTAATACTAGATGGATAATGCACCAGACAAGAAAGCCTTATTTAGTCCTCTTGTAACTATGATGTGTGCCCATTATTATTACAGTTTCAAAGTTAAAGTTAATATTATTTATTTATTATTATTAGTTTGGTACGATATATCTAGCTACAGTGAAAAATATAGTATTTTGACAGTGCTGGAATTTTCTTAATACCAGCTACAAAATAACCAACAGATATATATGCCGTAAATAAGAATTAAATTATAAAATAGTGTCGGTCTTGACATAAACAGCAAAGGTCGCTCTTTATTATTATTATATTTCAAACAAAAAATGACCATGGGAATCTTTAACGTTAATCCATTACGATAATATATAGTACATATGACCAAGTTGTAAAATGGTTACAGGTCACATCTACAATAAACCCAAATATTTTAGTTTCTTTTTATACGTCTCTTAAAACAGCTATTATATGATACGTGTTAATATGTCAATTATAATCAGTCTAGTCGTTACTACGCATACCTGGTAAAAGTCCTTTATATAGTGTTTTCATACAAACTTATTTAAATCCTCCGCGTTAGCTGACAGCCGAGTAAAAGCAATGACAGATAAACAGATATCAGACTAGGTTGCTCAGATCCAGCCCAAAATGTCTACTAAATATGATTGATTGTCGCAATAAAAGATTCTTATATTTGTTTAAATTCCAAAGGGAATAATTGAATGTTATTATAATCTTGTAAAAATACATATGCTTGCTTTTTGGGACTTTCCATAAAAGCTCAAGAAATTATAAAAAAAAAAGTTGCTAAAATCATTGATAAAAATACTCATGAGTTATAAGAGATATTTACAGACTTATCAAACAAGTTACTGCCACTGCCACTAAGAAAAATAGCAGAAAGAGTAAAGGGTTTGTCTTAGAAGGCCATTTACTATATAAAGTTTTGTTTAAAAAGAAAGGCTTAATTAGCCCTGATGTCTCTATAATAAAACTTGTACATATCCACCCACTATTAGACACATTTAATTCCGGCTTAACGCAAGTAATTCATTTGTAAGAATATCTTTTTTTTTCTTGTTTAAAAGTGTTAATATCTGAAATTTCCCCCTTTATATATAGAAAGCTAGAAGCTATGTATATAATAATAATTAACGAACAATTGAGTAAACGTTAGCTAGAAATACAATAACAGTTTTTGTGTAAATATATACGAGACAATCGACAAAGTAATGGTAATAGGTATAGCTATAGGATGTCCAGCTGCGCTTTATTTTTCAATATTAAATAATACGTGTTATACCAACTTGCGCGCCTCCTTTATTCCTATATATTTTCAGTGAAACATCGTAAAACACAAAGGTTCATTGTGCTATCAAAGAGGGTAACATTAAATATCAAGGAGATACTAGTAAAATAAGTAATTTTTGTTACAATTCAATAATCAACATAAGCACATCTAACCAATAGATTAATAACTAAACTCAAATACTACATATTTTTTTTTTGGCTTTAAAGACTTGGTTTATTGTTACCTTGACCTTATCAAACGTCAAAAAAATAGAGGAAGTAATTATGCCCTGATTTAGTTGATTGCACTGAACAAGGCATTATTAAGTCTATCTTAAAAACTCTAGACTGAATGATGCATTCACCAACAGGCAGGTGCCGATCCATGCAAATCGTTACATGAAGGTTCTAGATATGTACCTAATCTTCTTATAGACGATTATTCTCATATTATAGTTATAGGAAAACCAATCAGTGCTTATATATTCAAAACCACTTATTTCATAGAATCATATAGTATAGACAAAAGATCAATGCAATAACTAATCAGGATCAAAGCGAATGTAAAAGTAAAAGCTGACCAATAATTTTTATGAGATGTGAGGGACACAACTAGAAACTCAGTTCCCCCTCCTCCTGTTTTATACCTATTGGAGGCGCTGCTACACAGCGTATTACAACATTGCATAAAAAAACGCAAGATGCACATCTAGTGCTACACTTGAACTTTAATATGACAATCCAGATCAAGACCAAGCACTTGTTTTACTAGTTTGGCTGTATATATATATATATAAAGTGCTGGCAAAATATTTAGCATTATACTGATCTCAGGGAGATCAATTAATAAATCTTTTGCTGTGTTGAAATGTAAGGGGTATAAAACTATCAACAGTATGCCCGGTAAGAGCATGATTTAGATTTGGGTCTTAAACTAATATCGAGTTAAAGGACATTAACTTTGACAAAATGAATGTTACCTACTAAGGACCGGCTAATCTTTTATTATTTAAAGTGTAATTGAGAAAATACAGAGAGAAGAAGAAAATAGGAGAGAGCAGATATCATTGAATTCATTTTAGCTCTTAAGGTTTCTTATGAGCAGCAGTATTTGCATTAATAGATGTCAGTTTGTCTCGAGGCAAGCCAAAGTCCATGTCTTTGAAATATGAATTCTAGTTATATAAGCAAGCCTTATATTATACATAGCAGTTTGGACAGCTATAATATCAATTTTTCTCTGTCCCTTTGATATGTAGTATAGTGTAAAAAGCATATTTTATAGCTTTCCATTAATTAGTGGTTTATTAAATAAATTATTGTACAGAAGAAGTAAGTATGTAAGATATTAAAGGTAGATTATACAGGTATTATGAAGGATAGTAGTTAAGAGGTGGTAAAGTGTTATTCTAGTTTAAATGGTCTAATTTAGTTGGCATTCAGAGACTGCTGGTGAACTAGACTACTGTAAGCACCATTCAATTTAAGTAATTCCCAATGAGTGCCTTGCTCAACAACGCGGCCACCTTTTACAACACAAATAAGATCTGCTCCTTGGATAGTAGACAGACGATGTGCAATGGTAATTGTAGTACGACCACCTTCTTCCAAGATGTTATCGATAGCAGCTTGTACCAGCTTCTCTGACTCGGAATCCAGGGCAGAAGTAGCTTCGTCCAAAAGTAGTACTCGTGGTTTACGGATCAAGGCACGAGCAATTGCAATACGTTGCTTTTGTCCACCGGATAGCTGAGATCCCTTGTCACCAACACGAGTGTCATAACCTTGTGGTAAGCTGGTAATAAACGTGTGAATGTTGGCAGCACGGCAAACCTCTTCAACCATATCTTGACTAATAGTCTTGTCTTCATCAACACCAAAACGGATGTTTTCACCAATAGTCATATCAAACAAAACTGGTTCCTGACCAACCAAGGACATATGGCTACGAAGATTTCCAAGCGAATAGTTTTTCACATTGTTGTCATCGAGACGGACTGTACCAGTGATAGGGTCATACCAGCGCTGAAGCATACCAATAGTAGTAGACTTGCCACATCCGGAAGCACCAACAAGAGCAATGGTTTGACCAGCCTTTCCTTTAAGATTGAATTCACCGTCGAAGATGGAGATATTAGGACGGGCAGGATAACGGAAGGTAATGTCTTCAAACTTAATATCTCCAGCAATCTGAGACGAGGCAGGCTCAACACCTTCAAGCTCTGGATCAATCGATGGAATACGGTCAAGGATCTCAAAAGAAGAAATGGCAGCGTACTTGGCCTTGGCAAAAGTACGGATAAAAACACTTCCACGGCCGATACCTTCTGCGGTAAGCATGATACCCAGCATGGTTGTAAACATCTGCTGGAAGTTGATTCTGCCTTCCGAAATCAAGCGCATACCGGCATAATAACCAACGGCATTGGTAAAAAGACTGATGCCTTGCTGAAGGCCATAACCAAGGGATGCAGTGAGTGCCTTACGCTGAGCAAGTTTATGAGGATGCTCGGTAGCCTTGTAATACTTTTCTTCAAAATGGATTTGTTTGTTGAGAGCAGCAACTGTGCGAATTTCCTTGATAGCCTCACCGGCGACTTCACCGCTCTGTTCGTTGGCCTTTTTGGTCTTGTCTTCGAATCCACACTCTAGCTCTGACTCATAATAAGCTGCGCCAAAAATAAAGGGACCCATACAGCAAATAATCAATGCAAAAAGCCAGCTTTGGGAGAAAGCAATCGAGAAACCTTTTTAAAAAGAGAAAACAAAAGGATAAGTAATAGCTAAAATAAAAAAAGTGTTGTAAAAACTTACCAGTTATAATGGTTGCGATAATTTGAGCAATATCTCCCCATGCTCTGGTAATCATTTGATTTACATTCTTCGAGTCAACGGCAAGCTTGGTGGTTAATGCTCCAAGACTATGTTCTGGGTCATCATAATATCCAATCTCTTGACGCAACAGGCCTGCAAAAATCTGACCACGAAGGCGTTCGGTGAAACGCTCACCAGCAACCTCAAAGGAAACAATCTGGGCGGTGAATCCGATGAAGGCTATTATACCAAGAACAACAAAGATAAATGCATATAGATTGGCACCCTGGAAAGGTCCAGGTGCAATATTCTCGGGAGTAAATGACAGAATGACGGTGACACGGGAAAAGACGATAGAGAAACAAGGGAAAACACCACCAGCAAAGACAGCACCCCACAGACCAATGAAAAGCAAGTGCCATTCGGGGCGCATCATTTTAAGAACTCTCCAAACAGGGGCAGACTTTTGCATGACAGCCTTCTTGCCTTCCCTGTGTCTTTTAAGCTTGAGTTCAAATGCGTCGACAGAAATGTTTGTGTTGACTCTGGATAGGGAGTTGGATAATAATGTAGTGACAAAGTGAGATGGAACCTTTTCCAAAGTAGCCTTGAATTCTTGCTGGTTTGCTTGTTCTTTCTTTAATTCCATGGTTTCTTGCTTCAAAAGTTCTTCGTCATCGATTTCTTCTTCGACATGTCCAATTTGAGTGGTAGCAATTTGCTGCTTGGCAACGAGTCCAGCGTAAACACCATTTAGGGCGAGCAACTCATTGTGAGTACCTTGTTCAACGAGATCACCTTTATCCATGACAACAATCAAGTCAGCTCTACGAATGGTAGAGAGACGATGGGCAATAACGATGGTTGTACGATCGGCAGCTGCGGCATCTAATGCTTTCTGGACCAGACGTTCAGATTGGGTATCAAGAGCAGAGGTGGCCTAAAAGAAAAAAGAAAGAAATTATAAGTATAATAATAAATATCAATAATGTGTTACTTACTTCATCCAGTAGTAAGATCGAGGGGTTCTTGATAATAGCACGGGCAATAGCAACACGCTGCTTCTGACCACCGGAAAGCATACCTCCATGCTCACCAACAAGAGTGTTGTAGCCTTCAGGTAATTCAGAGATAAAAGAGTGACAGTTTGCTTTCTTGCATGCTTCGATCATCTCCTCATTGGGGACATCGCGGAATGTGCCCATAAGTAAGTTCTTGCGAATAGTCATGTTAAACAATACAGGCTCCTGGCTGACAACGCCAATCTGTGTGCGTAACCATGCAACGTTGTAAGACTTGAGATCCTCGCCATCAAGCAGAACCTGACCATCAATGGGATCATAAAAGCGCTGGAGAAGCTGGACACTTGTGGACTTTCCGGAGCCAGAAGGACCGACAAAGGCAACAGTCTGACCTGGGCGGATTTTGAGGTTGAGATTCTTGAGGATGGGTACATCAGGACGGGTGGGGTAAGTGAATTTAACGTTGCGGAACTCGATATCTCCAGTAATCTTGGCTGGTTGACTGCCTAGGGGAGAGTCTGGGTCAATCTCAGGAACACGTTCAATGGTTGAATAGATCTTGTAAGCAGCACCACAGGCACTAGATACAGCAGACAGGTTTGGTGGCATTTGCAAAAGAGACATTGCACCAGTGATCATAGACATAAAGACTACGAGAACAGTAGGACCGTTGATCTGGCCTTTGATAACAAGCTGGCCACCATACCAGAAAGCAAGAGCGTATGTAGCAAATATGGTAAACATAAAAAAACCAAGTCCAACACCAAGCGCTATTCCTGACTTAATTCCGCCTTTTCTGGCATCCTGAAGCTTCTTGTTGTAGAGGTTAGAGAAACGGGTTTGAAGGGAGAAGGAGTAGACTGTACGGATACCAGAAAACGCTTGCTCTGCAACCGAACCGGCCTTGGCATAAGAATCCTGGGTTTCAAGTGTGTACTTTGAGATAAAGAAACCCATAGCACTGCCCACGCCAACCAAGACAGGTACAGTTGCCAGCATAACCACAGCAAGACGCCATCCTTGAGTAAATGCGATAATAAAGCCGGTAAGAAATTGAGCAATCGATTTAACAAAGAGACCAAATTTTTCAGAGGTGCCATCCTGGATCATTTGAGTGTCTGCGGCCAAGCGGGTAGTGAGAGAACCATCTTCAGCCTTGTCAAACCAGGTCATGTCTTGACGAAGGATGGCGTGGACATACTTTAGACGAATTCGGCGGGTCTGGTTTTCACCACTGAGCACCCAGAATGCATTAGATACGTAGGCAGCAATTGTGACAGCTGTTCCCAGATATACGTAAACGAGGATCAAGTTCATTGAAGAATCAAGGACAGTTGAAGGTGTGAGCAAGGCCGTCTGAAGGTTGGTCAAGAATTTTCCAAGGATGATGATAGATGCAGGCTGAATTGCTCCTATGCAAACGGAGAAGATGGTGGCAATAAAAATCATGAACTTGTCTGAAATGGTGGCATATCGGAAAAGAGACCAAATTGGCAGTGAGCGCGCTTTCTTTTTTTTTGCTGCTTTCTTGTCAGAGGTGTCTTGATCGCTATCATCCGTGGATTTAACTGGAGGCAGAGTTTCAATCTCCTGGAGATCGCATTTTTTGTCCATTTCAATTGATGTAATACGTGTGATCTTCTCACTCTTGTCGTCTAGACTAGCGATTGTTGATTGTTTAGAATCACTAAGATCTGTCATTTTGAATGATGACAAGCTTGTGTATTTTTTTGTATGAATTAATGAAATGAGTATAACTTTTATTTTCAAGGACGAAATAGCTAGGTATTTATATATTCTCTGCTATATATTTTTTTACTATGTGTACGAGTCTGACATGGGTACCATAACCAATAAAACACACTACCGATCTGTAGACACAAGCAACTTGCTATTAAATCTTTATTATTCTCTTTTCTGGATACAATCGCCTATTTCTACAAGTTGTGCAACATAGGCCTTTTTGGGGTACATCTGTACATGATCAACTCTTACATTACACACAGATATGTATACAATGGTCTCCTTGTTTTTAAATCGATATGAATAAGAGCAATTGCTATGATGTATGTTACACATCTCAGATATATCAATTATTTCTAAAGAAAATATACCATAATCATTCTTTATCTTGGATTTTGCTGGTACTCTCTTCTATCATAGTATTGGCATGGTATCAACAATTAGTTCAATATAGATATAAGTAATGGAATATTAATGAATTGGCAAGTAACATATTGTTCTTTAAAGATTTATTATGTTCATTACAAGTAGTTATAATAAATGATAGTAGCTAATTGCATATAGTCTTGGTGGTTTAGACGGTCTAGAAAAGAAAATGATTACAAATCCAGGCGAGCCAAGATACTTGGCCGTTTTATCAGCTATATGTTTTAAGTACTAAATTAAGGCATATTTTGTTGTAACACCCGCCAAAAAAAAAGCAAAAGAAGTTAAAAGTCTGAAAAGGGGGTTAACATCTGTACTTACATATATATATATATATATATTTCTAGTGGGTCAAGGCCAAAGAACTTATTTTGAAAGTTCAAACCACCAATGACCTTGTTGCGCAGTAAATAAGTAAAGATAATGGTAGACATTTACTATACATTAAATGCACAAATTTGAATATTTAAGAGAACAAAGGGTACGAAGAGCAGGATCAACTGTGCTGTTACACCATATTATTGATTCCATTACAGAGACTGGTAAGAGTAATAATATTATCTGATCTTCTCTTTAAAATGTCTCATTATTAGGTCTATGAACATCACTTCTTTAATCAAGTTAATCTTCTTCTTTGCAAACTTATAAGTTCGATGTCAGTATATCACACTGATATCCAGATCCTGAGAAGAATAAGCATTTGTACATATGAAAACTATAACTGGTCACTGTCCTTGGAAATGTGGTAATTGACTTGTAGTCTGCTCCAAACAACCTATCTTGCGTAATCTTTGTTGTACAATATAGCCGCTAATCCAACCGAATTATCTAAGAAGACTATGATTATTGTTTTTTCTTGTCATTTTCTTTTCACATTGATTGTGGAACATGTCAAGTTTTTTTTTCCTTAAAGAAGCACTCAGCTACAACACATGTTACACGAAACGGCCCATCCGCCGATTTTCGGTGGCAGAAACTCGGATAAAAACTAACTTGACCAAGAAAGAAAGAAAGACTGGGCGCAGATCCGCCGATAATTTTGGCAGTAGATAACACACACACACAAACACACAAGCATTTCTGCCAAGAAAAACTCTGGGCTAAATCCGCCGATATTTTCTTGGTCTAAAGACGTACAGACACAAAAACAGTCCTATAAAAAAAATTAGGCACAATCCGCCGGTATGGTATTATATGTTATGACATGGCATGGTACTGTAATTGTAAATGTCACGATATATTACATTACCGCATAGTAGTTCCTATCATATTATACTTCCATATAAAAACATTCAAAATCTTGAAGAATAACTGCATATTACAATAAACTGCTCAGCAAGATAAAGGGACTATTCATAAGAAAATATGTGGTCTATTAATGAAATAAATATGAAATCATTTTATTTGCTATTACATTATTAAAACAAATTAGGCTCCTTAGGAATAAGAATAATAGGATTAAAGATGTAAGCTAGCCACTCAACTTTAAAAGCAAGTTACCAACAATGTTGATACCAAGAGTATTCATATGTATGTACACTCACACAAAGATGTAGGTATATAATATTTCACTTGTTAGAATCCAACACTTGAAGCTCTTATTCTTGATAATAATAGTACTAATAGTAATACGGTATGCTCTAGGTCCCTTTTTTAATATCATTTGACTTTATGCAATGATAACCATGTCAATTGTGTGAATAGCTTTATATGATTTTAAAGGCATATTATTAATATACTTTTAGAGATTTATACAAATAATTACAGCTCAATTAAGAATCCATAGACAGTATAGTTTTTATAAAAGTATTATGTGGATAAGTGATCTACAGTTGAAGAAAAGGGTCTCATTTGTAAATGCGCGCCACTATAGACCATGCTGTTCTGGGAACAACCCTGGAACTAATTTTTGTACACACACAAAAGGTCGACCTATTAAATCTATTTTGTGTATCAAGAATAAATGTTCCTGGGTCCAGAAGCTGGGGTTCACTTAATACTAAATCCGTTATATGTATGCAGTACAGAGATGCTATATTATTATTTAGGATGACGGAGAGAGATAATGAAACAGTTACTGTACCCTCTTCAACCTTTGTTCAAAAGCTGAACTTATAGACTCGCGCCAAATTTTACTAATACATACACAAGAATAGGAACACTGTATATATATATGTATATAAAACAATAAAGAAGTAAAATGAGTCTAAATATTGCTTTGATATATCTACAATATGCTGACAGATTTACGACCCCTAAATACAAAGATGCTTTCGCAGTAATTTTACTTATCTTGATAGTATACCAAGAGCTATATGGTACTAATGCGTTTCTTATCGGCAGTTCCTTGCATTCTTTCGCATATCTCAGCCTTTAGAACATCCTAGGGATTAATATGTAAAAAAAAATTCTTTATCAATCTTGGTCTTCATTATATATAAGTTAATGTCAGGATCTTGAACCAACTTATTTTGAGAATATTGAAGAGATAATTTATTACCGAACGAGACCTGTGGGGAATAGTGGTTGCCTTAAGCAGCAAGACTTTCCTAGATCAACAAAATTGTATGATGAGATTCTGAAGGACAATCCAGATAGATAGTGCTGGCATCTCCATCTTGAAACAGACTCAAGGTGCTTCCCAAGAACTCACTTCCAGGAGGGAGAGTATCATTGGCTTGAAAGATCTTGCCTATACTTATGAGGTGGTTTCATCAAAAGAGCATAAAACAAATCATAACCTTTGTGTATTTATTGATATTGGAAAAAGAGATTTACCATACTGTGCGAATGAGAATTTTACTGTGAACAGACCAAGATGATTTTGATACATTTCTAACTAAAAGAGCTAAGCCCAACAGCCAACTATGTGTGTGTGTGAGTGGGTGTATGTTTTTGTTTTGTTTTGTTTTGTTTTGTATTTTACAACAATATAGGTTTGATATTTATAAAGACAATCCTTTTTATTTTCTTTTATTATGACAAGAGATATTAGCTGCTATTAGGTTTGTTAAGCTACTATTATATATGTACATGTGCAACATTTAGTTATACAAGTCTTGACGATGAAAAAGAAATATATTTCAAATGTTGATCATTTTTAAGCAAACTTTTTTAATTGATACTTTTCAATAATCATTTACTCACGATTGTAAAGTATTCATCAGCTAATTCAATTTTCTTTGGAAGTGCATCGATATCTTGATAAAGATTGATAGTAAAGCGCCAGTGAAGAAATGTATAAAGACTCTCTGGTTTGGACAAACGTTCTGATTCCAATGAAAGGACATCTCCATATTGAGTGAGTACATCAAGAATATCAAATGCATCAACAAAATCTGGTACATCCAACAGCGAACAGGTATCTCCTCCTCCTTCATCATCATCACCTTCACCACAGTCTTCTTCTTTATTTATACTGTCGTCATATTGACTGTTGGTCGTTACAGAACTATCAGAAACCTCAAGAATCTCAGGAATCTCAAAGAGCTTTTTGTTCTTTGTTTTTGAAAACTGAAAAGGATCTAGAGCCTTGAGTGCTCCATTGACTATTGACATGTGGGTTGGTGTAGGACTCTTGATTTGGGAAGCTGTGGTATTCTTTGGCGATGGTTTGTCGGTAAAAGCCAGGTGTGTGGGATGTTCTGGAGCTATTTTGTTTTTAAATCCCACCACTCTTTTGTATGTGGTCTCTTTGAATGTATTTACAGAATCGTGGAAATTGATGATATTATTTAAAGGTTTTACTGGTTTAGTATATTTGACAGATTCGACAGGATTGGCAGTCTCAACAGGTTTGACAGTTCGGGCAGGTTTGGCAGGTTTGGCCGGTTTGATTTCTTTTTGTTGGTTACCACTGCCTATTGGTCTGGGGCTTTTAATGTTGTCAGCAACAACCGAAGAAAACGAGGGCGTAATATTCTGGAATGCTGGTCTTTGCAAATTTTGCAAGGCTTCTGGTGCACCATGTGGCGAAGTAATCTCGGCATAAGTTGAGGACGGCGATCTATTGCTTATCGGTTGGTATTTTCCTGCCTGGACTTCTTTTTCTTGTGGCATCTTGGGAAACATTTGCTGTATGGTTCTTGAGATTTCTGGGGGTGTCTTTGCATACAAGCGAGATGCTGTTTCTTCTGAATCTGTAGAATTTGTGGAGCTGCTTTGTATTATCGACCGAGGAATTTTTACTCCGGTTGTCGTATTGTGTACATCTACAGCCTTTTGCTTGGTATTGCTATTATCATCGATTGGTGTATATTGTGAGACAACGGTCTTCTTAGGGGTATGGTCTTCTACAATTGAAGCAATGGCTTCAAAGTCAATTTCTGTATCCTCCTTTGATGTCTTGGAATATGTGGGTTCTTGATAGTACATGCTACTCTGGGTAGATGTGAGCTTGGACGGTATATTGGCTTCTCTGTCGTTTTGTGGAAAGTACCCAGTTTTAGTGATATTTAGATTGGTCGCTGGTTTTCTCCGGCGCCTTGGATTGTGTAGCTCATTGTAAACAATTTCTGATTGTCGGTGTATATAGTCGTAGTTTCCTATATTTCTTCGCGTACGGTTCATCTGTTGAAAATTTCTTTGTATAATACGCTGTTCGATTGTGTCTGGATCAAATATACGTTCGTTTGGATCAACAGGGCCAGTTATGTCAGCAAAAGTGTGATTTGAATTCAAAAGGTCATAAGCCCTTTTAAATTCATTACGAATAGTATTTGTTCCTAGAAATGTGGACGTTCCACTGGTAAAAGAAGAAGAAGACAGTTACAGGTTAATCAAACAAGCAAAACAAAAACAAAAACAAAAGAGGAAGAAGATAATAATAATTAGGTAATAATGGCATTAAATACATATGATGTTTCACTTACGCTACATTTCGGCCGATAATAAATGGATCTTCTACTGCCATATGACTGTCCTTCCACTCCCATTTGGGAATAAGTCTACCAAATCTCAGTGAAAGAGCATATTGTGAAAAGTTGTGCTCACGTCCAAAATAGTTGAAAAATCCCTTTAGTAAACTGCCCACTGTCTCGACATTCTCACATTTCCAGATCGTTTCTTGGCTTGTAAAGATAGAGTTCTTGCTTGTGTATTCTATGTCGTACTCTGGCCGGTCTGTATGTACCACGTTTACACAATTGTGATATGCCACATTACATTCAATTACTCTCTTTTGGAAAATTATCCATTTGTTAAGAGAAACCTTTGCATTGCAGAATGGAGCTTTGCATGAATTATCTTGCGATATGTTTTGTAGATTTGGAATCACCGGAGGATCGCAGTTCATCAGATACCACAAAGACATCAAGGAATACGTGTAGCTACTTAATGTTCCTTTGAGAGCTAATAAAACAGAAGACAAAATTGACAATGTAAGGGAAACAGAAAAGAAGAAGACATACAATCCCTCCCAATATATAATAATAATAATACTACTAATAACTTCTTTTCTTTTGGTTTGTAATTTTTAATACTTGCATTCATTGATGTCCCGGCACTTTACAAAATATTTGATCGCATAGAGGAACGGACGCACTCTTGTATCAAGAAACGAATAAGCTTTCACAAGTTTTGAATTGTCGATTCCAAGGATGTTGTTGGTGTTTATATCGCAGCAAATATTGGATACAGGGTCATTGAATTTACAGATCGGCACAGTCGCGGCTGTGATGGCTTTGACATTGAGCATTCCGATGTCTCGTAGTTTACTTTCAACAAAGCGCATGTTGTAGACCGAGAAAGGCTCATTCATGAGGCGAGACATATTGTAAAGGTCCTTTTTGTAATCTTCTTTGGGAACAACGATACATAGATCGAGATCAGAGTTTTCAAAATCAAGACCATTTACGGAAGAACTAAGTCGAACAAATAAGACCAAAAACAATTATAACAAATAACAAGAAGAAGAAGAAAAGTTAAATTGGTTAAAGTTGAATTAGGAAAGAGAAAAAAAAAAGACGAAGACTCGAATATATACAGAAAGTGTTTCTATTCAATGAACATACACACACATGCATATATACAGAGAAAGGCAGAAAGATAATTAGTTGTATCTTACCCAAAGACTTCTAATCTTAATTTTTTCTCAGGCCATACATCTTGCAACATCATTGATATTTTCCTCAGAATATTAGAACGTTGATTTTGAACCTCTTTAGAAGAAATATGAGACTATTGTAAAATATGGATTTAAATGAGCTCAGACTCCCTTTTTTTTTCTTAATTCTTTTTTCTTTGTTTGTTTGTTTGTTTGTTTGGATTTTTGTCTCAAGAAGGCTGCTTTTTTCTTTATTACTCATTCTTTTGCTTGCCTTTAAAAAGTCGTAAAGCTCTATTGAAAGATTATCTTGTCCTTCTTGATAAGAAGATGATACTGAAGATGAAACTGAGGGATAATACGTGTTGAAGTTGCAGTTATTGCTGCGATTTGTTTGTGGTAAGGATCTGTGAACACGGTCACCAGAAGTAGTGGGTGGAAACATGACAAAAAGAAAATCGTTTTTCTTTGGATTTAGGGAATAAGTAATTAGAGGTAGTTGTTGTTGTTGTTGTTGTTGTTGTTGGTGGTGGTGGTGCTGGTTGGGATTGTTTTTTCGATGAAAATATTCATTCTCAGGGATGAGCATGTAGTTCCAACGACTAAATCGAGATGTTGGAACCAGGTATTCTTCATGCTTGTAGTCATTAAGAAAGTCAACCAGCCACCCATGTGCATCAATGTCTCTGTAATGAACACCTTTGGATTGACGTATGTAAGAGGCCATTTCGGAGACCAAAGCTACTTGGGGAGAAGATATATTATGTCTGTCTGTTGGAGAGACCAGAGATTGACTCCAGGTGAACTCCTTACAGAGTTCTAGAATTTGATTCTTGTCTGGTTTCTCATTTCGTGTGTAAATGGACATTTGTAAGAGATTAGGGCTATTATTGACCTAGACTTTAAGTCTACGACAGGCATTTTATTCTTTCTTTTAAAAATTAGTCACACAAGTCAAAGGATTGATTTGATCATCAATTCGAATTGCTTAAATATACATACAAACATATCTCAGGTAGAAACCTCGATTGATGAAGATCTGTCTCATTTTCTTCCGATAAATTATATCAAGAAAGAGAGGTGAAATAACGATAGATAGATACAAAGAGTCTTGGACTTTACCACAATTACCCAAAGAATCAAGTGTAGGGTTCAGTAAGAACTATAAATCAATTGAACATTTTTTTTGTTTATATTTGTGGAGTAGATAGGTCAAGCTGTTTTGTACAGTTCTTTATCTCTGTACTGGTTACAAAGGCTGTAATACAATCATCACAATACAATTCATGCTATTCCTGATCACTTGTACAATTCAACTGGAGCTTTGATATATATAAGCAGATAAATCACATATTATTTCACTTCATTCTTACTTTCTCTTTTGTCTTTTTTTTAAAATTTCTCTAAAAAGAAAGGTAGCTGCCTAAACTAATGAACCATAGAGGCTCTTGACCAAGTTGTATAGAAAGATCATTGAGCATTAAGCAAGACTTGCCGGACTTTCAATCCTACCAGATAGCTTTCAACCTTCTTAAAAAAAAACATCTCTTTTATAGATTTTTTTTTTTTTAATTTTAATCGATAAAAATATTTGACAAGTCAAGCCAAAAAAAGAGTCAAACTTTTGATAAAGAGGATTTGATAACTATAAAAATAAAATAAAATAAAATTAAAAAAAAAAAAAAGTCAATAGAGTATTGTCTTTTTTTTTTCTCTTCTCTCTTTAATATAAATCCCAATATGAGTTTATCAAGAATCAGACGATTAGATCCCACTGTTGTGAATCGTATTGCAGCTGGAGAAGCAAGTGACTGAGATTGATGTTGATGATTAGGACCTAATGAAGAAATAGATCATCCAACGCCCTGCAAATGCCTTGAAAGAGTTAATTGAAAACTCGCTCGATGCTGGATCTACTCGAATTGACATTTGTGTGTCTGATGGAGGATGCAAATTATTGCAGATCAAAGACAATGGCCATGGTATCCGTGTAAGATTGTCACAATCGAGTATATAGATATATATATATATCTTGACAGAAGAAGAAGAAGAAGAAGAAGAAGAAGAATATTTTTATTTATTTCTATTCATTTATTTTTTGGCTGTATATATGCATATGCATATGCATATATCTATATGTATGAATTATTATCTTGTTTGGTAGTTGGAGGACATGGAAATTGTCTGTGAACGTTTTACTACGAGCAAATTGAGCAAATTTGAAGATTTGTCAGATATTGCTACCCATGGTTTTCGAGGAGAAGCTTTGGCTAGTATTTCTCATGTGGCTAATGTAACCATCACAACCAAGACAGCAGATTCTCCTTGTGCATTTTCAGCCACTTATTCTGACGGAAAGCTTGTTCCACCCAGACCTGGGCAGAGTGCAGGCCCAAGGCCGTGTAGTGGCACAGAAGGAACACAGATCACTGCAAGTACAAGAGATTTATATTTGGTCTTACTATAATGATGTGATCAAAGTGATCTTATTTTCCTTTATAAAAAAATGTATAGGCTGAAGATCTTTTTTATAATGTTCCTACTCGTAAAAAGACATTGAAATCAAGTTCAGCAGAATACAAATTAATCATTGATGTTGTCAGTCAATACGCTATCCACAACAGCAGTGTTGCTTTTACATGCAGAAAGGTACAAGAAAAAACAAATTATAACTAATGTTATGTAGCTTCTTTTTCTGTTATTTCTGGTAGTGATATGCGAATAATAGTATTAATACTGTGTCTTGTATTGTATGTATATAAAAAACACACAAAGCAAGGGGCTGTTAATGCAGATGTGCAGACAGCATCAGATTCTAGTGTTGTAGATGCCATTAGCCAGATATATGGGTCCAATATTGCTTCTGAATTGATACAAGTCGAACAGGCTTTCGAGTCACAGGAGTTTAAAATGAATGCCTATATTTCGAATGCAAACTACAACACAAAAAAGATGAATCTGTTATTATTTATCAATCGTAAGCAAAATAATAAAGAAAGGAATGAATTATTATCAATTTTCTCTTATGGATTTTATTCTAGATCGATTGGTTGAAAGTAAATCTATCGCACAAATGATAAAGGAAATCTATTCAGAGCATCTGCCAATTGGTACATATCCATTTGTCTATCTTAGTCTGGAAATAAACCCTCGTAATGTGGATGTCAACATACATCCTACCAAAAAATCGGTAAATGCTAAATGATAAAAAAAAATAGGGGGGGATTCAAATCACCAACATTTATCTTATCTTATTTAGGTTCGCTTTTTGAATGAAGACAGAGTTGTAGGATCTGTTCGGGATGCATTCGAAGAAAAGTTAAAGAGCGCTAGCCTCTCCAGATCATTCAAGGCAAAGACTGTCGCTTCAAATACAGCCCATGCTACTACAGATAATGATATGTGTAAGTCTAAATGATAATGATAATAACATTATGACTTAATAAAACCTTTAATATTTATATTCAATTGTCTTTCTTTGATTCTTTATAGCACCGTATGATTCATATTCCTTACTCGGAAAATCACCAAGTGCAACACCATCGTACAACAAGATCCGTACTGATAATAAGGCCCGAACTCTGGATTCTTTTCTGTACCAGCCAGGAAGCAGTATGCCCGGTCCACAAAATCTAGCAGTAGAAATCGTCGGTGGCTCTCAAGCAGATATAGAGAAATCAAAATCCACAAGACCAAGAGTCGAGGTTCGTCTAAAGAGCGTCAAAAATCTTTTAAAGGAGTTGAAAGACTCGGAAAGTAAAGGTAAGAAAATAAACAAGATGCTATTCAATGCAATGCAAGAATTACATATATTAATTACATCAAAATATTTTGTGTTTGTTTGTTTGTTTGTTTCGACAGAACTTACGAATCTGTTGAATGAACACACGTATATTGGCTCTATAGACCAGACCTCGGCATTGATACAACACGAAACAAAAATCTACTTGGTTAATCACAATAGCTTGAGGTAACTATGAAGCCTACCGATAAATAGAAAGAAAAGACTATGTATGCTGATTTGTACAGTGAGGCTTTGTTTTATCAGGTAGCTCTGGAAGAATTCTGTAACTTTGGATCTCTGCGCCTAGATAATCCCATAAATATATCAGAGTACCTAAAGATGGCCGTTCAGGCAGAAGAACTGTGTGGCTGCATACCTAAAGATGCCCCAGACAAAGACAGTATTATTGAAAGTATCACAAATATGCTGCTTTCTCGTGCTGAACTACTGAACGAATATTTTAACATCATTGTCTCTGAAGACGGGATGTTACATGGTATACCGATGATTCTGCGAGGTTATGTCCCAGAAATGGACAAATTACCTTCCTTTTTGCTAAGATTAGGAACAGAGGTACCCAAAACAAGTAAAAAAAAAAAAAGAGAGAGAGAGATAAATATGTTTACTTTTATGTATGTATGTGTACATGTCTTTAGGTTGATTGGGAAAATGAGAAAAAGTGCTTTGATGGGATAGCCAGGGAATTGGCTATTTTCTATAGTACCGAACCACTTTTGACTCTAGAAGAAGATGACGAGGACCAGCTTAAGAGATACATGTGGCAGATCGAGAACATCATATTCCCAAGCCTAAAGTCTTATTTTATTGCCCCTGCAATTTTGGCAACACAAGAAGATTGTATTAGGAAATTAGCAAGTACAGATGAACTATACAGAATCTTTGAACGATGCTGATCTTTATGAAAAGAAAAGAAAGCAAGACTGCAGATTTGAAAATATTACTTGTTATTGCTATGATTAGTTTACTTTAACAAATCTGAATAAAAAAGAGAGAGAAAGGAACTCTCTTTATATATGTACGCAAATTTTTGCTTGTATTTAATTTGTATATGCTAAAGAAAAGGAAGAAAGGGATGGTGAAGAGCAAGGTAGATAAGGAAGAGGGGGATGAGGGGAAAAAGGGGGGTTAAAGATTGGCCTTGAGTATCTGTACATACATAAACACATATGTATCTTTATATTTATATATATATATATACATGTGCGTGTGTGTTTGTGCTTTGTGCTTTGTAATGTATTTAATGTCCAAGTTCATTGGGAATATCTTCAGCCTTCATGGTAGCAATATCCTTGAGAGCCTGGCCAATGATCTCAGCACCCTTCAAGAGCTCTTCTTCGGTAATGCAAAGAGGAGGGGCAAGACGGATGATGTTGACGTGTGTAGGTTTGGCCAAAAGACCTCGAGACTTCAATAACAGGCATAGTTCCCATCCTGATCTAGCGCACTTTGACTCATCCAATACAATTGCATTCAAAAGGCCACGACCACGTACTATAATAATAATAATAATAATAATAATAATAATAATAATAATAATAATAATAATTAATTATTTTTTCTTTTGTGTTTAAGATAAGAAGATAAATCCACTACAGTAGATCTACATATAGAGATCAATGTTTGGCTTATTACCTGTTTTGACCAATGGACTCTTGATGTCTTCCAATGCCTTTCTAAACTTCTTTCCTAAACGCTCCGACTTGTTGACCAGATCTTCTTCTTTGATGACCTCTAATGCAGCAATAGAGACAGCACATCCAAGAGGGTTGCCACCATAGGTTGATCCATGTTCTCCTGGCTTGATTGTCAACATTACATCACGATCCGCTAGCACAGCTGAGACAGGATAAACACCGCCCGACAATGCCTTTCCGAGGAGAACAATGTCAGCCCGTACATTATCGTGTTCTGTGCAAAGCATCTTTCCGGTACGAGCCAGACCAGTCTGGATCTCATCGGCGATAAAGAGAACGTTGTGTTTTTTGCAGAGTTCTTGACACTTTTTGAGATAACCTTCATCAGGGACCATAATACTGTTTTTTATATATATTGTTAGGATCCATATACTTGTATATTAAAGAAAAAAGAAAAAAAAGAAGAAGAAGCACTTACCCAGCTTCGCCCTGAATTGGTTCAACCAAAAAAGCAGCTACATTCTTGCCATTGGCCTCAAGAACAGTCTCGAGATCTTCGGCGTGGTTGTAACGGATCTTTGTGCCGGTTTTTGGACAGATGGGACCGACCAGGGGAAGATAAGGACCAAAGTTATTGTAACTCTCTGGATCGGTGCTCATGCTGATGATACCAGTAGTTCTTCCGTGGAAGTTGTCTTCGCAACTCAACACGACCGCCTCGTTCTCTGGGATTCCCTTTTTGACGTAACCCCAGCGCCGTGCTAGCTTGATGGCGGTCTCGACAGCCTCTGCACCGGTGTTCATTGGCAAGACCATGTCGTAACCAAAGTAGGTTGTCACATACTTGGCGTAGGTTCCAAATATGTCGTTGTAGAATGCACGGGAAGATAAGGTCAGGTTCTGGGCTTGATCGCACAGGGCCTTGATGATCTTTGGGTGGCAGTGACCTTGGTTTACGGCTGAATAGGCCGAGAGGAAGTCCATGTATTTGCGACCTTCAGGGTCCCAGACCCAGATGCCCTTTGCCTTTGAAAATACGACAGGAAGAGGATGGTAACTTTTTTTTTACAGCAAGATCAGTTACATAGAACAATATGTGTGTTGGTACTAGCTCTTACTCACTTGTGAGCACCATAGGTGTTTTCAAGTTCGACGACTTGCTTGCTAGTAATGTGAGACATGATATATAATTTTAAATGTTAAAGAGGTAAACAACAGAAACAAAGACAAATCTAAATCTTTTTTTTTTTTGGTTTTATTTTTGGTTTTATTTATTTATTTAATGCGAACTTATAGGTTTAGTGAATGAACGAATCTAGCGGTGTTTGATGTAAGAAAAGAGACGTGGATCTAATTAGAGGTTTTCTTTTTAGACTTCAGGTGCCGCCTATTTTCCCACGACCAATAAAGCGTCATAAATTCTGCCTTTGGTTTTCTCTGTATATGGCAAGTAAACCTTATTCAGGTAGACTATTGGTCTACGGTTCTTCTGTAGGGACCATTCAAAGCCCATTGATTTGGCTGGTAGGCTTTCTTTCTGTCTGTCTTTTTTTTTTTGGTCTGCTGATACTCTTCCTGACAAAGCAAGGTATGATGTAGGAAGCCTATACACGCCTTCCTTGTTACACCATCCATCATTTTCATCAATTCACTTGTAGACAACCGCAGTACACTGTGTATTGAATATGTCCGGTTCGAACAGTATACTAATTACCGATAACACCGAATAACCAAAAAGTAAATATACGTATTTTTTTTTTTTAGAATTTCAAGAAGAGATTATAAGCTGACGCTACATATTACTATTTTATATCACTATCGATCGTGATAGTGATAATGATAACTTTAATATTATTATTACTATTATTTATTTATTTAGTTGTACAGATAGATAAAGAGTCTATGTACATATATGTATATGTATATCTAAAGGAGTACACCAAAAGACTATCAAGGAGTGGTTCTACAAAAGGATAGGTAATATGTATATGTTTAAAGTAAAAAAAAAAAAAGAACTACCTTTGGAACTGGTCTAGAAGTACCGAGGGATGTGATTGTCAGGGGTTGAGCCGGCAACGGAATCGGCCCAAAGATAACTTGTCAGATACACAGTGTAACTGTTCCCAGCACTTCGTTCCCCCTTATCATATTAACAGCAGTAAAAATAACAATAAAGATAAACTACAATTGTGTCTGTGTGTGGGATTTTTAATTTGATTTTTTTTTTTTTACTTTTACAATAACATTCTCTTCTTCTACCTCTTTGCTTTCATTATTATCATTGTCTGTCTGTCTGTAATGGCAACCTCTTTATGAGTTCTTTCTTTATCTCTACAACTGCATTCGACCTCGTTAATATTAACGTTTTCTTGAATTTTCCAGTCCATTGGATCTCTTTTATAATGACATTTCTATAAAAAATAAATAAATAAATAGAGGAAATCTATAAAAGTATCTACAGACATAACAATGCCTCATCTGTCCGGGTATCATCCTTGTATTGACCGAAAATGAAAGTGAATAATCTTGACGGCTGTCCAAAAAGGATCAAATTGATCGGAACAAATTTACACCCATTTTGGTATCAAAATAAAATTAAATAAAATAAAATATAAAGCATCGTGTCCAGATAAGATTACTTGTTCAAGTCCTGGTTCTGTTCGTTTCTTTGCACAATCTGTCTATCTAAAGTTTTCTCGATGTAGAATCAGCTAATACAAAATATTCACATGCGACATACCACATTTGCATACAAACCTATGCAAAGTATATCAATCTGCATTGGTATTTATCATCATATCCAAGAATTCAGAAAATAAGAAAATAAGCAATAGTCCAAGTCTTTTCGCAAATGGTGCTTTCTTTTATAGTTTCCTTTTAGGGTGTACAGTACCCTATAGAATCTGATTATTTTATTTATATATCTGTTTGATAAGACACAAGAATATTGTTCCGGCTACCTTTGGCTATACAAAGCTGGTACTTGGACATATTCAATTTCCCCCCCTTTTTTTTCTTCTTCTATGGCTGTTATTATTGTCAGTTTGTTAAGGTGACAGCCATAAATTCAACAAGGGATTGAACCTCAGGGCCAAAAATTGACTGTAAAAGTATCATTATTTTTTCTCGATCGTTATAACATTTAAGGACTGGATCCGGTAATATATGTATATATGTGTATATATGAACATCAGTGGGTGTTTATGGACTATATACACTTGTGACATTGTCATCAAACCATGGGAGTATTGAAAAAAGAGAAGAGAAAGAGAGAGAGAGAGACTACCGCAAACTTGGGTGTAATATCCCGAGCACAGGCTTGTGGGATTTTGATAGTATTTAAAATGCTCAATTCAGGACAGGACAGGACAGGATTACAGACACATACTCTGATGATTTACTTGTGGGTTGTAGGGTTGGGGTCAACCAAGCAAATCTCATTTTTTTTAAACCAATCAGATATACTTACGATTGACCTTTTTCTTTTAAAAAAAATGATCCTTTAAAAATCAAGTACCATTTATTATTATTAATAAAAATGATAAAAATGATAAAAACTAGGGTTTATCCGCTTTTAATGCTTTAATTGAGATTTATATGAGCCATGGGATGTATGGATATATGAATATATATGACTGTAGCTTAGTTTGTATCGATAAGCATGCTCATAATCCTCTTTTTGATGATGGATAAATAAAGAAGACGAAGAAAACCGTGGTTGAAATACAATTCAGCCTTTGATTAGATTTGATTTGTTCCAGTAACTCAGATCACTAAATAAGATAAAAAAAAAAGAGTAGGAAGAGTAGGAAGAATAAGAGAGAGAGAGAAAGGGGGAGCAAGCACCAATGGGCGTACCAGAGAGAACATTAAGAAATAGATGCCTTTTTGTTAAAAATAATATTATTATTTTGATATTCATTTTTGATAGTCAAAAAGAATAACAATAATAATAATCGGGTGAGGTAAAAAAAAAAAGGGGGGGGTTTTTTTTTGATTGCTTAATTTAATTTTATTAAATATATATATCGTCTGTAGCCGTTTATCTTTTGCTAGTAAAATGGTGTTTAAAGAGAAGAAAAGACAAAAGGGAAATATATATATTGATATTTTCTTTAAAGAAATACAAGTAAACCAAAAGAGACTCTTATTTTATGTTATATACTCATAGACTGATAATGATAAGGAACAATGGGGAATTGAGGCTTCTTTAGTAACACAAATGATAAGAAATTAAGAGTAAGTAATTAAAGTGTACCAAATCTCTTTCTATCTCTTTAAGGAAACTTCCAGATCTCCCCCCCAAAGCTGTACTTATTTTATTTTATTTACTATTTGGTTATTTGGTTATAATTTTTCTTGCCATTTCCTGCCTTTTCTTTTGTCATTTTTGTATGTGTGTTTTTTTTTGGTTATATCCATTTATGGAGTGTATTTTTTGGGCTGTTTCGTTGTCTGTATCTATGGCGATGGCAATGTTAACGACAATAAAAATTGCTGTTGATTATGATGGTTGTTGGAGGGGGGGGGCCGTGCGCATGCCAAGAGCACGTTGTCTGTGTATCAGAAACGTCTTTCTCTCTTTCTCTTTCACTGACTTTCTGTTTCGGTGGCTACAATTTTTCTTTTGAACCCGACTATATAATAGCTGGTCTTAATTTGGAAAATGTTCTTATAAGAGCACAGGAAATAAGAGAGTCGATTTGTATATCGATTCTCAGCACAAGAACAAAGAAGAAATTTTACTTGTACGATGATTTGTCATTTGTAATTAACTAAATCTGTTCCTTTTTTTCTTCTTCTTTTATATTTGTTATATAATAGTTTCTGGAGTCTAATTCTAGTATTATTATTTTTATTATTATTATTTTTACTTATTTGTACTTGTGGTTTATATAAATTTACCTCTACACATGGACAAAAGGGTAAAATGTCGTTAAGGAGAAATGTACCTAATCAATTCCTGTTGGGCTTAGAGAAGATGACCAAATAATTGATCCTTTCAAAGTTTGATATGAGTCTATAATTATTTGACATTTTGTGTACCACTCAAGGTACATATTGACAAGGATTCTATCTATTCAAATAAAGAAGATCCACTCACATTACAGACCCTTGTAATAAAATGGGTCGTACATTTGTGAAGCTTAATTACGCTGTGAGTACATTATCTGTACATAATGAAAACAAAAAACAAAAGATTAAGCTTTATCAGACCAAAATGTATCTGTCTCCTAAACTTTTCTTTTCTTTTTCTTTAGTGATCTGATGCTTTGGTACTGTCGAAACAAGAGTAGTTCTTGGACCTCTTGGCGTTTAAAAGCTTTTTTTCATATCATCTCTAGACACTATGTTGTTCATCGTGGCTAGTGCTAATTTCAATCTGTTCGTAAGCGTCAAACGAAGGGTTTTCTTCTTCTTCTTCTTCTTCTTCTTCTTCTTCTTCTTCTTCAGGATTGCTTAGTACGTCTAATATATTATTATTCTGTAATCGAGGGAGGGATATTAACAGTGTCTAAAATGTCACAAAGAGAAACATTAAATTGATAAAGGTAGAAAAGCTTCCAGGGTTTTCTTTCTTTTGAAATATAAGGGTCGGAAGGAAGTACATTTTTTTTTGTTTCTTATAATAAATATTATTGGGTGTACAAGACGTTACTGGAAGTAACGATAAGTTCTTGCAACCTCTGCCAAACACACATGTATGTATATATTAATGAGCCGTTTATAATACTATGGTATGAATGGATAAATGGGAGTGGCTGCACAATACTTTTTCCCTTGGCTCTCTCTCTCTCTCTCTGTTTCTTTCTTGCTTTAAAGGCTATATTTGTATATGTGTATTTCTTATGTAAAATACGGTGGGAATTGAGGATCTAATGGACAGTTTAACAAGACAAAAATGTTTAAAGCATTTTTATAGCTATTGTCTTTTTTTTTGTTGTGTGTCTGTGTGTTTGTGCTCCTGTGCGTGAGAGTCTGGGTCTGGGTCTGGGTGTATTGGTGGGGGGAGTAGAAATATAAAAAGAAAGAAAAAACAGTTATTTGGGCAGGTTTGTAAAGGAAATTGTGGCCAATGGCTATAATCAGTTAAAAGCAATAATACGGGGGCTTGTGCTTTGCGCTGATTTATGTTATACTCACCTGTTTGTGTGTAGACAATAAAAAACGACTAGTATAAATATGTTTTACTGGCATTATGAAAGAATGACGAGTGTATTAGATTCGATTGAATCTTCACACACAAAAAAAATTGTACTTTTTTTTGGATTTTTTTTTTCACAAGATGGTCGGGCCATCTTGGGATATTACTTTTGTGCAAATCAACCCACATTTTTTTCTATATTATTATTACCATGGTTACGAACCTCTCGGAATTGTTCCAATCCCACACTTGTTTTTTCTTCTTACTGAATTTACCAGACCCTTACAGAAATCCTACTAAAACAACAGCAACAATACTAATACTAATAATGGGATGATATTACTATTGCTTTATTATAAAGTAGGAATATATTGTCCTTCCTTTACATACATACAGATACATACAATAATATAGATTGTTGTACAGGCGATGATAGAATGATTATTGAGATGATTTAATAATTAGCATAAGAAAAAAAAAATTCTTTATGGGAAAAAAAGGGGAAGGTGGGAGTTTTTTTGTTGTTGTTTTCTTCATTGAGGAATAAAGGAGAAATATCATATTTAGATATGAGTATCAAATATAAATATTCATTATTATTTTCTTTTTCTTTTGACGTTAGGCACAATCACTTTGGTTAGATTCCTCTGTGTGCTCCTTTTTATCCAATTTCAATCGATTCAAATCTCCTTTAAGCCAAAACACAGGAATTGTGGTCACACACATAATTACGGCCATCACAACTGTAGCCTTGTGCATATTGTACGGAGGATTTGCATCAGGACCTTCTCGCAAGGCGTCAATCACGACAGAGAATATCAGCATAAAGGTTGTACACAAAGCCCAGGTGAGACTTGAACTCAAGGATTCAGGAACAGGATATGTAACTAATAAATAAAATAGAATTAGTATTAGTATTAATGTATAATCTCCATACACATATATATATATATATACGCAAAGGAGAACAATATATTATTAAAACTCTATAAATTCCAAGGAGATAGTATGTGTGTGTGTGTTTTTATTAAATACTTACTTTCGCTAGCAAACTCTAGATAGACTGGAAATACAGCATAGGAAAAGAATCCGATCAATAGACATGCACTGACAATAACACCAAATCCATTGGGAACAACTAGAGAACATCAATATCAAAGCATTATTATAAAAAGAATAATTGATTTTGAAATGCTTATTTATGTATATACAGGCGATTCAATATGCTTTCAATACATTGCTATTCTTCTTTTCTCTCTTTATCTCCTTTGTTTATTTCTTTCTTATTAATCTTACTTTGAAAAATAAGCATAATGTAGGATACGGCTGACATTGGCGCAAACATCTTGAGCAACATAAGATATTGGCCAGTGCGCCCAACCCAATAACCTGTCATTACTAAAAGAAAAGAAAAGAAGTAAATTGATTGATATGAATAGGAATCTGTATGCTTGTTTTCACAAATTGCATATCAATAAGAAGAAGAAAAAAAACTTACTTCCACCAAAAAACCCTCCAAGAACAATCACAGCAGCACAAATACCAGACTCCTGTGCACTGTAATTGTATGGCATGATTGCCTGCATAACCAACACAGAAACTGAATAAGACATGCCGATATTTGTCGAACAGAGAAAGGTCGACAGCCAAAAGTTACGGTTCTTCAAGAGGAGAGAAATCCCCTGTTTAAAGGGCATCCGAACCTCTGATGCACTTGGCGATGGCTGTACTTTTGGTTTTCCAGGCAAGAAAAATGGAGGAATCGAGGTAATTGTCGCAATCCCGGCAACAGCAATAAGCTAATCACAAATATATATACGTAATATTTTGGGTGATTAATATTCTTTATAATCTATAATACTTACTTGGAATAAGATAAAGTCTAATACTACACTATACTACACACCATTCGCGGGGTATTTTCAGGCGTGTCAGCTAGTTCAGGCATAATCAAGGGCGAAATCATCATCCCAAGCTGAATAGCTATTGTGGTAGCACAGTATTAGTATAGGCGTTAGTATAATGGCTGCTTGTTGTTGTTTAGTGTAACTGAGGTTAGTATTGTGATCATTCAACTAAAAAAAAAAACTACATTCACAAATATTAAAGCTTTATTGTACTTGCCCAAAACTGCATTAGCAACTCCTCGATCCTTTGCCGCAAACCAAACAGCAACAAACTATAATTATTTTGATGAGCAAATATACATACATATATATCATATAATATTAATTTTATTATCTACCTTTGTTGCAATACTGTGTGTGTATATATATATGGGTGTGGGGGTATGAGTTTATGCGAATTTGAATGTTAATGCATATAATTTAAGGCAAATAATATAATACATATAAATCGAATTTTACCTGAAAACAAATGGACCTCCTATAGCACCGATACTCTGACCAAGCATAACTAGATAGTATCGTTTGTCAGGAGAAACGACGATAGCAAGACATCGAATCCAGCAACCCAAGGTATTAACTATACTAGCTACAATTATCTAAAAAAAAACAAACAAACACACAATAAATATTATTTTTCCATATTTGGTGTGTATATATATATATATATTTACCACTTTCTTTAGACCAAACATTTCATATGCCCAGGCCGTTGTCAAAGACAAAAGTGAATTTATGATGGCCGAGACGTTGGAAAGCCAGTTGACTTGTGATAGACTTGCTTCCATCCATATCGCTGAAACGTCTGGTGAACTAGAGACGGTCATCCACGTCAAGGCACAAGATATATTGACAAACACAACGGCTACAAGATTTATCCAGGCAATAGCACTAGTTTTGTATTCGTGACTCTCTTGCATGGATTCCTCTTTGACTTTGATTTTCTGATCCAGATATTCATGTAAAGATTCCATGATTTTCGATAATAAAGTGTATGTGCGTATGTGTGTGTGTTTTTTTTGGAGGTATAGTAAAGATATTAGTTTAGTAGGAAAGAGAAAGAGAGAAAGAGAAAAAGCAAAAATATGATCATTATATTAAAGATGATCCTTAAATTGCTTTATTCTAATAAATATATATATATGAAGATATATACAGTCATTGCAGAAAAATGTGTGTGTATGTAGCTGTAGTGGTAGTAGCGGTGGCGGCAGCAGCAGCAGCAACAGTAGTAGTAGTAATAGAGGTAGTAGTAGAGGCCCTGGAAGTAAAAGTAATAGTAATAGTAAAGCTTAAGTCAAAAAGTTGATAAAATGGTCTTCTCCTTGTTTCTTTTCTTTTTGGTTTAAAAAGGACCGAGTACTGCACAGTCATGAAATAATTTTTATTTATTTATGTATGTATCTGGATTAAAATTGATTAAATACAGGGCTGGTCATAAGTATAATGCTTGCTCACTTGCTCTTTCTCTCTTTCGCTAATGTAGGTGGCCACATCAATGCATAGTTTAGAATATCTTTGGAGAATAGACTAGAAAGTACTTTTGTTACCAAACAAAATGAAAGTAGAGAAAACGGTTATTATTGATATCTCGTATGTATCTCTTAATATATATATAAAGAAAAATATTTGAGGAGACCTTGATAGTTCTTGCATGTGCTTGTGATCAACCTGATCTAAATGTTAATTGTAGACACAAAAAAATAGGTCCCTTAATGATTCAAAAAAAAAAAGCTTGTTTTGATTCCCAAGAATAAAGTAAAAAAAAAAAAAAAGAGAAAAAAAAGCAATAATAATACTACTACTAATATTGATATTGATAGCTATAGTGACAGTAATAGATACAGGATTTTCTTGTTCTATTTTTAATTAAAAAGGAAAGAAGCTTGTCTATAAAAATTGATAAAATACAAAATACAAATTGCAGGGTCTTTTCTTTGTCTTTGATTTACTGATCGAGCGATAGTGCTTTGGTTAGGTTACGAGTTTCTGGATTTTATTTTACGAGCTATCAAAAAATGATAAAAAAGAATTGTGTGACGATCTTTGGATATCAGAATATATGACCCCCCTTTTTTTTTGTATATATATATATAATTACGTACAAAGAAACAGGTAAAAAAAAAAAGTACTTAACAAAACTTTGTGCATGTTTTTGTTTTATTGAAATCCTTATAGCTTTAATTGAATTAATTATTAATAAGTGATCATTCTTTGGATCCTGTGTTTCTTTAGTTTGCTTTGATTTGATTTTCGTGTGCATAGTAAGGAGAAACAATATAATAATTAAGGGTCTATTCAGTAAAAAGTTCTTTGTTCTCATTATTTTATTGTGGTAGTCGTACTAATTTCATTTTGTTGACATGGAAACAAACCACCTAAAAATAAAATAAAATAAAAGGAAAGGAGAGCAAAAACTCTTCATCTTATTATCATCATGTTATTTGTATCGGGATGGTGACATGGTGACAGATTATAGAAGAAGAAGAAGGAAAAACTATACATCTTCTTATTATTATTGTTATTACTTTGTTATTTATGTCGGCATGGTGACAGGTTCCAAGTTATCTTTTTTTTTCTTGTGTTGGCATGGTGACAAATTCTAATATTTTTTAAGGTTGATCTGTTGACATGGTAGCATATTCCAATATCTCTTTATATAAATAAAGTTATGGATTTCTATAATAAAGAATAAGAAGTAGTAGTAGTAGAAAAAGGAAAAAAAAAAGACCAAGTATATAAAGAAAATATAATTTGAAGGTCCAGCAAGGTAAAAATAAGTCGGATACTTGACCGAGACTAATATATAGTTTGTATATATAAAATAAAATAAAAAGAAAAGTGGATACAAGGTCGAAACAAGTCAAAGGACAAGACAAGATAAGTGGAGAAAACCCAAAGTTAAGATTAAAGAAGTACGAGTAGGGTATAAAAAGAGTCGAAAGGAAAAGGGTAAAAGCTTAAAATCATTGAGATGAGATTGGTTCTTTAACCCATGATGTAAGATTCAAAGTCTAATATTATTATGTATGTATCTAATTCTCTCTCTCTCTCTCTCTCTCTCTAGCTCTCTCTTTATTTCTTTCTATCTATCCCTCTGTATGTGTGACATGTTTCCATTTGGTAAAGTCCTACTTTTTTTTGGTAAGACAATTTTAACCCCACAAAAACCTTGATTCTTTGGAGTCACAAACTTTTGTGTGTGTATGTGTGTTTTATAAAAGCCAAATATTATATACTGGGCAAAAAATAAAACAGAATGCAATAAAATGCAATAAAGTCAAATAAGAAGAACAAGATGGTAATGATGGTAATGATGAGATTGTGGTGATATCAGAAATATCAACTATTTTATATTATGCATACAAAATATATAAAATATTTATAAAATAGAGCTTTGTGTAGAGACGGTATAAATGCAAACTTAATTTTTCTGGGCCAATGCATTTCTATATGCTCTTCTTATAATATCTTACTTTAACCCCACAAAAAAATAAAATCAAAAATAAAGTATATACAAGGTCAAAGAGCAAAATGGGTTCTCAGAATTACCTTAAGATTTCCTTTATTTACATAAAAAAATAAAATAAGAACAACCCAGAACAAAAAAAAACAAAACATATATAAAAGGTATCGTTACTCTAAACCTTCCTGTGCATACTTACACATACATACATATATAGATATCGATAAATAGCCATTGCACATATATAGTTATATACGTATTTCTGAATACAAGAAAAAAAAAACTTATATATCCTTGTACATTACAATGGAATTACAAGCAACCTTAAAATACCTGTTGGCATAATCAGTCTTACTTATTTATGAGTATACATATGTATACAAGAAAAAATAACATACGAAATATTAAAAGGCCATTGGCGAAACCTTGGAATATCTATCAACCATAATAATATTTTATTTTTATTTTTATTTTATAGTGAAAAGTAAGGTAGAGTAAAGTAAAGGCGAAAGTGAGATGAAAGTGGGGTTGGAGCTTGGCTGAATTGTATTTGGCTTGAACAGAGCTGGGCTGAAACTTGGCTAGATCGGGCTGAACCATACTGGACTAAACCATACTGGACTGGACTGGGCTTATCTGTAACAAAAGTGAACAATAGTTGTATTCTTATGTTACTTTTCTCTCTTTCTCTCTCTTTTTCACTACCTATCTATCTTTACCAGTCCCAGCCTTTCCTTTGTCGTGCAATACTAAGTGATATTGTTATCATTCTTATTACTATTAGTGTTAGTATTAGTGTTGGTGGTATGATTCTAATTCTAATTCAAAGCTTTCTGTTGTTGCTGTTGTTGAGCTTTTTTTTTCTTTTCTATATTCCTAATTCATCCATGCAATTCCTCTTTTTTTTTTCTTTATTTTGATATAATATCCTTATTATCATTATTATTTTGCCGCGTATTTTTTAACCGATTTGTACCCTAATTAGATTCTGTACACAAGATGATTAAAATGTTCCGAGTCATTTAAAGTGTTCATAAATGCTTAGTACTTTTGGGTGCTTCAAATTTATTTAGTATTTAATATACAGTAATAAATAAATAAATAAAAATGAATGTATATATAAATATATTCTTCGGCCTGGGGAGGGGGAACCAATCTTGAATCTACATATATACATGTATACATATACATATATATATATATATATAATTTATAATTTATATATGTTTTTTTTTTGTTTTTGTTGTCAAGGCAACACAGAAATAAGAGGCGGAGTCTTTTAGAGCCAAACAGTTTGTAGACAATACCAAAAAAAAATGCCCTGAAATGCTTCTCATGTGGCACGATTTTCTTTATTTTTTATTTTTTATTTTTATTATTATTATTATAAAACAATAAAACTATAATACAAGTAATAGTAATATATACTAATTTAATTGTATAATATTTTTATCTATATATAAATAAATAAATACAAATGATTGGAATGTATTCTGATAAAGATACATATAGATATATCTGTATATATTACCGAGGGTAAAAGGAACAAAATAAGAGAAAGAGAAAGAAGAGGATTCTGTCAAATGTCAAGTGGGTTTTATTGGTGGACTGTGTCGTGGTTGGAAAGTCGAACCCCGCACGTTCTTCATTACTGCTTATAACCTGTCAAGGTGCACGGTTTAAAAGCGATCTCACCCGTAATTGCAACGTGGCTATTGTCCTACTCATATATTTATGTATATATATAATTTATATATTCTAAAAACAAAGCAAAACAAAAATTAAACCAGTTTCATTCCACCGAAAAAGGGTTATTCATTCTACCTCTTTAAATACAAGAAAACGAATAGCCAACCAACCAACCAACCAAGCAAACAAACAAACCAACAAAAGAATATCTATATATCTTGAGCAAGAATGATGTATTGGCTGTAATTTAAAAATATAAAAAATATACGTAAATTTAAATATAAAATGTACCTGTTTTCTTTGTTAATATTACATGTAATTAGATTGAACTGAACTGAATTAAGCTGAATTGAACTTAATTGGACTGAACTGATGTCAGTAATTACATATTTTATTTTATTTTAACCATAACAAAACAGATCAAAGCGGATCGATTAGTATTAGTATTAGTATTATTATTTCTTTGTCTTTCTCTCCCTTTCCATTTCTTACCTATTTCAAATATATATATATATATATCGTATTTCAAAAATTTAACACGGGTATAGTTTACCTCTTTAGTTAAACCGATTATTCCTTGTGCTTAAATAAGAGGCACATAGTAGATATATAATATAATATAATATATATATATATATACATATTGAATTGTATACAATCACACTACAATACAAGATACACTTACCAAAAAAAAAAAAAAAAAAAAAGGGAAAAGAATGACTACTCCTTATTATGGTACCAAGAACCCCAATGAGTCAGTTAAAGAGACTGAGGAAATAATATTTCGAGTTGTTGACGATCTACAGATTCCATCCGATGACATTGAAAAGAGTCTAGGTAAATAATAACAGTAATAATACTGAATAATTATAATAATTTGTACTATAATATAGAAAAAGATACAGTGGTGAATGTACCACGGCTACAAGAATCAAGGATCCAATGGAAGATACGAACTGGAATCACAATATTTCTTATTTTGACTCTTGTGATTGGTATGACAATATATTTACAAAATATACAAAAAATATATATATATATATATATATATATATATATATATAATTTACTATTACTATTACTATGGTGATAAACTAATGGGTAATGATAATTAATGTCTCATGTTTATATTTTTATATTTTATAATTCTTTTTTATATGTAGGTGCAATTATAGTGAGTGAGCTGATTCATACAAACGAAAATTGAAACAAAAAAATAAATAAATTATAAAAGAATATTTTATATTTTATATTTTTACTATGAAAATGAAGAAAAGAAATAAAAATATATATAAAAATAAAAAGAGAATAAAGAATGGGGGAGTGAATATAATGAATTTATAGAAAATAAAATAAAATAAAATAGAAAGAATCCATGTACTAAAATATATATATATATATATATATATATATACAATATATAATAAAAATGAGGCTCATCTTCTTTTAGATTATTAAGAAAGAATATATATATATATAAAAGTTTATGAACCAATGCGGGAACATACATTGGGGGGGGAGTGGGGAGTGGGAAGTGGGGAGTGGGGGATTGGATATATATATATATATATATTAATTGATTGATTGATTGATTGATTGATTGATTAATGGGGGGGGGGGGGGGGATGAAATAAAATTATAAAATTGAAAAATTGAAAAATTGAAAAATTGAAAAAGCTCCCTTTTATATATATAGAATTTAGAATGAGGAGGAGGTGGTGGTGGTGGTGGTGGTGGTGGTGGTGGTAGTTTTGTTATGTTTGGGGAGAAACAAGGCAAAAAAGAAATGATTGTGTAAAATGTTAGTTTATTATTATTTATTATTTATTATTTATTATTAATATTATTATTATTATAGTAATTATTATTAATATTATTTGATCTTTTTTTTTCTTTTTCTTTTTTTTTTTTTTACAAGAAAACAAGCATCATCATTATTCTTTTTATTATTAATATTAATGTTTTTATTTTATTATTATCATTTTTACTTTCGACTAATCAGAGTCCTTCTAGATACAGGAGCAGTGGACTTTGTAGTCAATGGTGCCTTTGTGGGAACACGGGTCCGTCTAGCAGAGGTCTCAAGCTGAGGAGGGGAAGGAAGAGAGGCTACATTATTATTGTTATTAGAGCGAGGAGTAACTGTAGACCGAGGGTTGATGATGGCTGCAGAGGTAGCTGGTCGAGTGATGTTGCGTGCACTCTGACCAGCCTTTGCATTACCAGCTCGCACAGACGACAATAATACATTGTTGTTGTTCATTGCTGTCTTGGGGCGCTGAGGGGGTGTTGCGGATCTAAGAAGGGTTGTGGATGGGACCTTGGACCGTGGGCTGACATGTTGTGATCCATTGGTTGATGTGGCAAGCACTTTGGAAGACGAGAGCACCTTTGGCTTCTTGAGGAGTTCGATCTGTCCAAGTGCTTCGTCAAGCTGGGCCTGGAGTGCCTTGCGAGCCCGGGCCTGTTCGGCTTCCTGCTGCTGCTGGCTGGTCTTCATCTCATGGACCTGGTCAATTACGTGCTTCATCATCGACTCAAGCTCACCGCGGGCCTTGGTCTCCTGCTTGAGGCGGCTCTCGAGAGGCTGGATCTGCTCAAACGCATGTTCAAACTTGCGCTCGTAGGCCTCCCGGACACTGACTTCCTGCTCAAGACGCTCGACAAGGGCTTTCTGTTGCTGGTCCACCAGAACAGTCATGTCCTCCATCGCCTTCTCGAATTCAATCCGCATCGCTGTTTCTTCCCGAAGACACTGCTCGACGTCATAGAGGCGCTGTTCCATTTTGGTCATCTGCTGCCGATGGACTGTGCCACACATCCGCATGATGCCAATCATCAACCGGTGCGTGGGCTTGACATGTCCTTCGGTATGGTACTGCGACCGAAGTTCTTGGCGGGCTCGGTAGCCTCGCCAGACGGACTGGATCACCGTTGCGGCCGTGACGCGCACATAGTCCTGGTCGTCGACCAACTGGTCCTGCTCTTCTTCAGACAGCGGCAAGAACACCGAGGCAGATTCGATCGGCATCTCCTTGGTGTACTCGTCGTCCTCGTCGTAGTAGCCCTCGTCACTGCCATAGAATGTCAGGCTCGAGGGGCGGTGGCAGGCCGGGTTGGCTCGGTTGAGTTTGATCACTACTACTTTGGATGCCGTGGTCGTGTCACTGCGCGAGTCCATGTCGGTGTACTGACTGTTGGTGTCGCTGAGGTAAAGCTCCGACTCACTCTGGTAGACCGGCAGGTTACTGCCAGAGTCTTCCGAGCCAAGAGGGGAGGACAAGCTTCGTTGATGAGGGTGAGTTCCACACAAAGCTATTTAAAAAAAAAAAAAACATGTATAAATATATTTGTATTATAATTATAATCATAATAGTAATACTTACGTTTGATGTTCCAGTGGGTTAAAGGCTCATCAGTTTCACCAAATGGATCATCTTCCCAATGGATCTTTTCTTCATCTACTCGGTCAAGCCTGCTGAACAATTGTCGTCTTTGGCCTGACAAAAAGGAAGAAGGACCGACAGGCGAATCTGAAGAATAAAAATGATCGGGATACTTTTGTTGTTGTTGTGGTTGTTGAGGGTGGTAGTTATTATGTTGAGATTGATTAAGTTGATTAAGTTGATTAGGTTGCTGAGTGACAGTAACGGTGGAGTCGTACGACTGTTCCCGGACCCGTCGTTCATTACAGGACATCGCAAAAGAATTAGATGAATAAGAATAAGATAATGGTGAAGATGCTGATGATGAAGATGCTGATGCTAATTGTTGCTGTACTGCTGCTGATGCTGATGATAATAATAATGATGATTCTGATGATGATGATGATGTTAATAATAAGTGGTTTTGTTGTTGTTGTTGGGTTGATGCTTTGAACTGAGCAGGGAGTTGAAGTGGTGATAATCTGCCGTCTTCAACAAACATCTTTTGAGGATATTCTGGAGTCGGCCGATCTGCTTCTGTCCATGATACATAAGCATAGTCGCTCTGACTATTGTTGCTTCTGCTAACATTAAGGGTCTTGTTGTCATGATCCTGCTGCTGCTGCTGGTGGTGGTGGTTTCCGCTCAATTCGATATAATCGTCTGAATTGAGGTATCGATCAAGATCTTGAGAGGAGGTTTGGGATGATATAGAGTTGTAAAAGAACGAGGATGAGGATTCGTGATCTTCTACATCGTCGTCGTAATCGTAATCGTTCGGTAAGGTTAGACAGGCAGCAGTCGAGGTTGATGTGGTGGTGGTAGTGGTGGTGAATGAGGATTCGTCGAGGTAGTATTGGTCATTGGGGTCGTATCGATCGAGCTGTTCGATCCGTGATCGAGGAGGGAATTCGTATCGATACTGTTCTGGCGCGAGGTTCTGAGGCACATCGATTACTTCGCCATCTTCATCTTCAGTTTCAAGAAGGAAGTGGTGTGACTGTGAGTTTCATGAAGAAGTATAAGAAACACGTGTAACAAGAAAATAAATAAATAATTATTATATATATAATATAAAAAAATGTGTAAAAAATGATAAAAAGGTAATCTACAGTGTAACCTATTCATTTTTTTTTCTTTCTCCACCACCACCACCCCCCCCCCCCCCCCCTTTTATTTTTCCCCTTTTTTGTCTAGTATATTCTACGCTATGCTACACTGTAATATAATATATTGCGCTGTTCTGTGCCTTTTTTTACTTTATAAGCAGCAACAACGACAATACATATATGTACGCATATGTACATGTATGTATATCTATATGCCTTTCTTTTTTTACCTGGTCATGTTTGTACATATTTGTCAACTTGTCATCCTCGACCAGCGATGTGGGATGACGAAGCATGATAGGTTCAGAATTAAAACGGCCAACATCGTCTGCCATCATCATATATAAAGTAATTTTGATGGATTATAATAAAAAAAAATAAAGTCTAAGAGGGCGCCAGCTTGGCAATTAAAAAAAAAAAGAGAGAGAGAGAGGAGGAGGAGGTTGTCTATGCTTCGATTGGTTGTATATGATGACGATGGACAAGCTTGAGTATTAGAGTATAGCTTGAAGCTTGAATGTTTTTGTTGAACAAAAAATATATATTAAAAAAAAGAGCGAGAGAGTAAGTAAGAAGGAACCCCAGTTGATTGTTGATTAGTTGATTGAGAATGAAAGTTTGAAAGAAGAAGAAGAAGAGGAGGAGGATGAGGATGAGGAAGAAGTAGAAGAAGTAGAAGAAGAGAGAGGGTAAAAAGGAAGGGAGAGAAAGAAGAAGGAAGAAAGAAAGAGGGAAGAAAGAGGGGAATGGGGTTTAGTAAGAAGTGGGCGCAATAATAGTAGAATAAGAGAGAAAGAGTAAAAGAAAAAAAAAAGAAAAGAAAAGGAAGCTAAAAAAAGGATGTAGAACAAGAAAAGGTTTTTGGGCGTGGTACGTTTAAACTCGATGGGAGGGTTTTGTGCAAATATAAGATATAAAATACAAGATATAAAAAAAAAAGAATCTGGCTTTATTTTTGGGATAAGAACGTGCAAATTGAAAATGGAACAAAAGGCAAATAAAGAAACTGGCCGAATAGATAGAAACCCATTTCAAAGTTGAATTCTATATATATATACAACATGAGCCTTGCAGTGTGTACAACCCAAATTCGTCCTTTAAAATAAAATCAATATTTTCACTACATAGCTGTTAAAATATATATATATATATACATAAAACATACAAGACCCACCAAATAATAATAATAAAAGAAGTGTGATCCATATTAGATCTTCTACAGTAACACCACCATGTGAACCTGGATTTATCCAGATGTGAGGCTTAACAATCAAATGCGTCATAGGGTTGCATAGCAACAGAATTGGCTATATCATTGTCACATATACATATATATACATTACATTACATTACATTACATTACATTTCCTTTTTCTTCTCTTCTTCTTTTCTTTTAATTTATACTAGACTATTATATTCTACTTGGTGTTGTCTAGAACCTTAACCAAACAACCAAGAAAAATATAAATACAAAATATAATAATAATAATAAAACAACACTTGCGGGGCTTTGCCGTGGTCTTGGTGGTCCAGTGATTTTATTCCCTTTTTGAAAACTACCTCGGTTGAGCGGATTAGTAGTTTAATAATCACAATAATATATATTTATATTTATTTATATTATATTATACTGTAAAGAAACCAGGCGACAACTGATATTCTCGGGAAACCCATTTTTAGACTAAATCCCAAAAAAAAAAGTACACTCATAAAGAAGCAGCAGAAGAAATAAAATAAAATAAAATAAAATATATCTATGTATTTATTAAATGTATACATTACATTACATATTCAATAGACTATTATCGAAATTCAAAATTCAAAATTCAAAATTCAAAACAAATACATAAATATTAAAAAAAGACCAACTCATATATACAGAAATGGGTAGGTATTGAATCTATTCTATAGACAAATATCAAAGTTCTTGATGTTTAATATCATTATTATTACATTACCATCCTTTTTGACATGATTTTGACTGTCGCGTCATTAAGAATAAATAAAAAAAAATAAAAGGTCTCAAAAGGTAGCTTGGATTAAATATAAACACAAGAGTAAGAGCAAAAAAAAAGGTTGTTCATAAAATGTAACCAGATATTTGATTATCATATGATTCTCTTACCATATTACCTTTTATTTTATTCTTTCATTATTATTAATATTTTCTGCTGGTTTCTGATATATATATATTTGCACCCTTGAATAACCTAATCATATATATATATATATATATATATATAATCTTAGTTATAACGTCTGCGTTTCTCATAGAAAAAAGAAAGTTTAATCATCACAAGCCATGACGACCACACAAAAAAATAATAAAATTATAAAATTCAAATTCAAATTCAAGTACAAAATACAAAAGCACATGCCGATTGTATCTAAGGGAGGAAATAGGAAAAGGGGGAGAAGCGGAAAGGAAAGGAAACGAAAAGACAGGTCAGGGAAAGGGGAGTGGTGGGGGATGACATCCCGCACAGTCGACAAAAAAGAAAGAATCAATAACAGTTTACAAATAAATACATATCTATCAAAATCAAAATTAAATCAATCAATCAATCAAAAATAAAATAAAATGAAACCAAGCCTACTGTGCCGTACTTTGATAAGCCATACTTTGATGTAGTGTAGTGTAGTGTAGTGTAGTTTAAAAGAATTTGTATATCATCATAGTATATATATTGTAAAGTATCTTGGCCACCTGCATACTATTTTTTCTTTTGTTGTTGTTGTTCTTGCTGTTTTGATTCAAATATTTCTCTTCCACCCTCCCCTTCTCCGTTCCTCTTCTTCTTCTTCTTCTTCTTTGTCTTCTTTTCCCCTTTCTTTATCTATTCTTCTCATTCTTTTTATTCTTTTTTTTCATATATTACATATAGGTTTTTGAAATATTAAAGACCAAATATTAAATATCGTCCTCCTTCCCTTTTTTTTTCCTTTTCTTTTCGTTGATTCTTGTAAAATGTTGATCGATTTTGACTAATTTTGAATTTTAAGTTTTGAATTTTGAATTTCAAAACATAAAAAAAAAAAGATTAGTATTATGATTTGTATCTGTTGCTTGGCAGTTGACATTCGATCATTACAAAGAATATATATATATATATAAAGATATTTGAAAATAAATAAATAATAAGAATAAAAGTTATTTCTTTTGTGGGTGTGGGTGTGGGTATTGGTTTGGGTTTGGGTTTGGGTGTGTGTGTATTTTTTTGGTCGATCAAGTTGCTTTTGGTTTTTAGGTAATATAATATAATATAATATATATATATATATTTACCCCAATTATTCTTGGTCACCAAAAAGACTAAAAAAAAGAGGGTGTCAAGTGAGATGAGATTAATGAATTTGTAAGTATCTAATACAAAAAAATAATGATCGATGATTTTATAGTTTTGTACTTTAGTGTTTAATATAAAACAAATGACGGGAAAGAAAACAAGAAAACAAGAAAAAATGAATGAATGAATGAATGAAATAAATAAAGATAGAAACTGGATTATGATTTAATTTATTTATTATTTAACTTCTTCTTCTTCTTCAAGGTAGATTAAATTCGACTAAACTATAGTATAGTAAAGTAGGATAGTATAAGGTAGAATATGATAGGATATAATGTGATATGATATGATATTAGAAAGCCATTTGTGAGTATGATGGATTTTTGGGTAAAAGAAGAAAAAAAAAATAACCCAAAAAAAAGGCCAGGAGGAAGGCAAAGATAAATATGAAGGTGAATGAGGAGGAGGAAAGGGGAAACGGTTGGGTTGGGTTGGATTGGATTGAGTTAGGCTAGATTAGGTTGAATTGGCTTGGTTTGGTTTGGGTGTACAATATTATTTCTCTTTGCCTCTGCTTTTATTTTCCTTTCTCTTTATCTTGCTTTATTCATTTATGCATAATGTGAATACAAAGATCATACCCTTATTTGAGTGTGTGTGTGTGTGTGCGCGTAAAGTACAAGGTAAAGAGTTGTGTATTCTCCTTGTAGATAAAGTGTCCCAAGACATTTTTAAGCTGTGTACTTTGTGTACTTTGTGTATATATTAATTAAGGGTAACTCAAACTAAAAAGAAAGAGAGAGAGAAAAGTGGCGTATTTTGGGGTCATTCATTCATTCATTCATTCATTATGTTTTTTTCTTCTCTTTTTAGCCTTAAAATATTCTTACCCAAAGATAAATGAATAAATATAGACGTCTGTGTGTGTGTGCTTATTATAAGCTAATCTTGACCAATTTAATTTCCAAGAAAAAATATATGTACCATTGATTTCCATCGAATGTCTTGATATTTTGAAATCAAGGACATTAATGTGACCAATACCAAAGCGATAATAATATCCAAAAAAAGACGACTACTGCGACAGCTACAGCGACTACGACGACAATAAGGATATTAATATTATTAATAAAATCAATAATAAAACCGGGTGATTTATTATATATATATATATATTGTATAAAATATGCTATATAAATATATTACATAAAACGGATCTTTGACTATGTGTAGTATAATTTATATTAATTTTGATATTATTTTCTTTGATTAGATTCATTTTTTTTTCCTTTCTTTCCTTTCTTTTCTTTTATTTCCTTTGATATACATCATATAGATAGATAGATAAAATATCTTGATTGATTGATTAATAGATAGATGGATTATTCAGAATAGATGGTCTTTGGCTTAAACTGGAGATTTTTGTAACCTACAGATTTTTTTTTTGGAATGTGCTGGCAAGATACCCGCAGGGCTTTTCCTTGGCTATATAACCTATTTAATTTTTTTATATATAAAAACCTTTATTATTATTATTTCCCGTTAAAATGAAATAATTTCATAGCAGCAGCAGCAGCAGCAGCAGTAGTAGTAGTAGTGAAAATCCGTATAGCCAATATTTCTTTCCCTTTCTTATTCTCTTACTCTTTTTTTATATATATTCAAATATAAATAAATAACACCTACAATGAGAGCAATCGTTCAGTATTTAATAAAACTTAGCATCTCTTTAGATCATAAATGCATACTATATAATAGTTCTCTTAAAAGAAAAGAAAATAAAGTATGTATGTATATATATTGTACACTCACGCACACAAATAACATAAAACAAAAAAGGGTCGCCCACAGACCATAAGTAGGATAAACCAAGCTAGGTTACAAGGACGCACAACGATTGGATCCATGCGTGTTACTCAAGATCGCTTTCGAAGATCCATATATATATATAAAATAAAAAGAACCCCCCTTTATTGTCACGACTCTTTTTTTTCTTTTTTTCTTTTTTACTAATATTACTATTTTACAAAGTACTCAGACCACTTTAGTATAATATAATAATATAAATAAATATAAACGTATATCTTTTCTTTTCTACAGAGCGAGCCCGTTGGTAGCACTTACGATGACAGGGTTGTGTAAAATAAAAAGTAAAAGTAGAATAAATAGATAATTTATACCTGTACACACACACTATATTATATATACGCAACCTAGCAACTAAGTGAATTCGTAACCTAGCAACCAAGTCAATTTGTAACTTAGCGACCAAGTGAGCTTGCAACTTAGCAACCAGTGAATAAATAACTTAGCAACCAAGTCAATTTGTAACTTCGCGACCAAGTCAACTTGTAACTTAGCGACCAAGCAACTAACTAAATGATAATAAGAATTGTTCTGATTAATTAATTAATAGCAAATTAGCTTGGTATCAATTTCGCGCAACGGCAAAAATCTTTCTGACCGAATAATATTAAAACTACCTTGATTTGTGTCACCCGCAACTGTATCTGTTAGTTTAGTCTGCACTACAGTGATGGTCGTCTCTTGTGCTCCTGTGCAAGCCATACGTAGCTTATGTCTTGTATTTTCTTTATTTTATTTTTATTTTATTTTTTTAAAAAAAAGAAAAGCAATAATAATATAGTATTATTACAACCATGGTTTACTTGGGCGTCCACGATAAAGAACGTTTAAAGCACTCTATGGATATAAATATAAATATATATGTTTGCATATTTACACAAGTAAACTAAAGTAAAATAAATAAATATATATAATAATCGGATAAAAACGTCAAGATTTACATGGAGCTACAGGTCTTTTCTTTATAATCTTTGATAGATACCTGTCAATTATGTATGTATGTGTTTATGTATATAAGTTAGAAATAAACTGCAAAAAAATAAGAAGCCCCTACTATCACTACGACCACCACCATGCATATATATATAACATATCAGTATCATAAACCATTCATTGCCTACCTATTTATTTACTTACCTGCTTACTTAGAAGAAATATACCATAAATTAGGCATATAGCGATATATACACAGACACAGGCACATACACGGACATAGACACACATATGCACGCATGTACAATGAGTCACAGAGCAGCAACTAAATCACACTACTCTCATAACAGCAGCACCAGAAACAGAAACAAAAGCCGAAACAGTAGAAATGATACCAACAATGAATCATTATATCAAGAACTAGACCATCTTTTAGGTGTATTCTGCTCAGAAGCTCAATTTAATCTCTGTGTTAGTCACCGCATTGCCTCACGTCAGAAGCTCGGAAAGATCCGTAAAGTATTCAAAGACATCCAGCAGTGGCTTAAGTGTCGCGCAGCCCATGAAGTCATCAAACCATCTCTGTATCTGTCAGCCGAACAGTACTGCAACGACTTGCTCGCTCATTACAGCATTGTTTCAAAACAACGTCATATATTACCCTTACAACAACAACGAATGTATCATCCTCTTACACAAGAATGCACAGCACGATTGAATCATCAATGGCAGGCTTTGAGTGAAGAATTTGAAACGGCAACCGAGAATAACCTTCTCTGGCAAAAATATATCTTCAATATCAAACAATTGGTCAAGGCCTGGAAGTCACCCGACCTTGCAAACCAAACCCTGCTGTCCATACTGACACTGAGAGAGCAGCCCTTGCCGTCCCCGCAACAAGGAAAAACACCCAAAAATACTTTATTATCATACACGCCTAAAGCTGCATCTATATCATCTGTATCATCTATATCATCTTCATCTTCATCGTTAATATCACCCTTGTCTTTGCCTTTATCCTTGTCTTTATCCTTGTCACTATCACTGTCCCTGTCTCTGTCCTTATCCTCCTCCTCATTTGGTCGGAAGCGAGCCGCAATGAGCTCATATCACATCACTTTCACGAGCCAGACAAACAAAGAGGAGCAACAGAGGATTATCGGCAGGGTGTGTGAGAATTTTGGATCAATCTTTGCTCACAATGCAACATCAAACTTGTCACAAGTACACAGCTGGATCCGACACAGCCAGCCGAGCCGAGTTCTTAAAAAAGTCAGGCAATTCAAAACAAATCTTTACACCGAGATTGGCGCGGAATCAAGCCACACAAAACTAGCAACAACAAAAACAGAAACAGAAAGAAAAATAAAAATAAAATCAGCACCACCATCAGCACCGCCATCAGCAGGACCAGGAAAAGTTCTCGGCTCGGATGCGATGATGGTCAACGTTAATGATAACGTAGATTTTAATGACAGTGTCAATTTCGATTTCAATTTCAATTCAAATTCAAATTCAAATAATAATAATGTCAACTCCACTCCACCGCAACCCACATCAGTTTGTACGATTGGCAATACAATTTCACAAATAGAAAATCAAGATGACAATACCGATGAAGAAAACACAGAAGCAGAGATAGTTGCAACCAGTTCTAAAAAAGGGCGAAAAAAAGACCTTTTACTTCCAATACCAGACTTTTTACTTTCCTTGGCAGAGTGGGAAAGCCTGAGACAGATCCCGGGTGAAAAGCCAAGGCTGAAGAAATATTTAAAACAGCCAAGCTTAGCACGGTTGACTGGATCATTCCGAGCTCTATTTTCAGGTGCATCGGAACACCGGGCGCCTTCCGCTCAGCATCACCGTCAGCGTCAGCGTCAGCGACAGCATCAGCATCAGCATCAGTGTCAGCATCAAAATCAGAATCAACAGGAGCAACAGGAGCAGGTGACGCTCCCAAGAAATAATGATGATACTAACACAAACAACACAAACAACACAAACAACAAGGACGATAATTGCAGCATCTCCGTGTCCAAGCTCGGATGTATTCTAGGTCGCACTGGATGCAAGTTCTATTCGTCGGTTCTTGCCCATGCTCAATGGTGCTCGGCTCAAGATGCCCATAGATTGCACACTGCTGGGCGCGATTTAGTTGATCTGTATGGTGTTCTCCTGTTGGTGACTTCCCAAACACAAGTGCAACGCATTCTCGTTCTCCTATCCCAAATTGTAGTCCCTTGAAATAAGAAGAACCTTGATTCCATACACACATACATACATTGTCACACCCCCCACCCACACTAAAAACACATGTACATGCACGACATACACACTAATACTATTACTACCACCACCACCAATGTTACTATTACTAAACGTTAAACGTTAAACGTTAAAAGCTAAACACCTTAGACCCTGCCCATCTTAATTAATCTCTAAAATAATAATAATACAAGCACACAAACAAACAGACAAATCAATAAAAATCTAATTCACAAAAAAAAACTATATCGAAAATATTATTAATGGTCTATTTAAAAATTACTATTATATATATATATATATATATATACTTCTTTTGGCTCCTTAAAGAAAATATTGACAGCAATGTCCAATATTACTTGTCTTTTGATAGAAATACCAAGACTTTCTCCTTTTACATCTATATCTTTAAAAAGGATTCCTTTTGGGTAGTACAGTATATTGCTTTATATATATATATATTTGGCTTTCTTTCTTTTTTTACTTTCATTCATTTACCCATTCATTCATTTATTCATTCATCTTGGCTTTTGGTTTTGTTTCTATAGCAATATCCTGATTTATATATATATATTCGTATACATATACACACTTCTTTTATATAATAACCATATTAAATATACATATATGTATATGCATGTACTGGACATACGCCATATTAATTCATAAACTGTTTAATTAAACCATCTTTAAACAAAAGTCCGAGCGTCAAGACTCCTTAAGCTCTACATATCCATAGATCATTTGAAAGGAGTCTTTAACCAATATATATATATATATATCAAAAATAAAAATATTCAAAGAAATAATATTATTATTAATAATACTAATAATAATAAAAGCACAATACAATCAAATTCAATTCAATTCGATTCAATATACATATATAGAATATTAAGTGAGATAAAATACTCTTTTACATACACATGTATAAGAACTGCAATTGTTGTTGGTCGAATAAAATAGTAAAGTATCACAAGAGATCATTCCTATAATTTATTATTATTATTATTATTTACCGGACACCGAAGGGGTCCGGACGTGACTCTTACCAAAGATTGGCGGTGAACTGAATCCCGAGTCCAATCGATCCTATAGCCAGAGTGTATCCAACCGTCCATTTTCCCCTTCCTTCACATTTTTATTGATTCACCATGGTAAGCAACTTAGACAAGCCAAGTATAGAGTATATCCATACCCTATATACACAGCAAACACATCGATCCATCACCAAAAAAAGAAGAAGAATACGTATCCGAATCCATCAGTCGAAACGAATGATAAACGATTACCTTTGGATGCAATACACACATATATATATATAATATGATATTATATCAACCAAAACCAAAAAAAAAAAAAAAACAAAAACAAATGACCAACTACAACTACATCAATAAAAAGTCTACAGCCAAATTTTCTCAAGAAAATAAAAATCGTACAACTCGACGACTATACAATTCAGGATAAACCCTTACCTACACAGTGTCGAACTTACCAACAATAACTCCATTAAAGTCTTTGAGTTACTGTATATACCTAATTTGTTCCTTTGCTGATATCTTATTTTTATCTCTCTTTCTTTTAAATAAAATAGGGTAAAGTCCACGGATCTTTGGCTCGTGCCGGTAAAGTCAAGTCTCAGACCCCCAAGGTCGCCAAGCAGGAGAAGAAGAAGCCCAAGACTGGCCGCGCTAAGAAGAGACAGGTTTACAAGTAAGTATTGAAAGAGGGAGAAAGGAATAAAGTAGAGAATTATTCGATAGAGTTCTTGTGAGCTTTTACTTCTTGGTAGAAGAGAATGAGTCTTGAGGCATCTATTCATTTCAAAAATGCTAATCTTTGTTCTTTTACTTTTACTTTTCTTTCATAGCCGTCGTTTCGTTAACGTCACTGCTACCATCGGTGGCAAGCGCAGAATGAACCCTGCTCCTACTGCTGGCCCTTAAATATGGTCATTACAGATTCTGTTTTCCATCAAGTAGTATTTGGTTTACTCAAATAAATCATTTAACCACAATCAAACAAATTCTCAAGAGGATCAGCCTCACTATTATCATTTATTTTTCCTTCTTCTTATTATGTGTATACACACGATGATTGTTTTTTTTTTTTGCTTTTTCATATATCAGTTTATTTTTTATTTTTTTGAAAAAGACTTTTGGATATGGTTCTGGGGATTGGGTCTCTGTGCTTTTTTTATTTATTAGAAGGAGGAGGTTTCCCACTTTTATTGCCAGGCATACTTGTGTGTTTGAATACTGTAGAAACTGCTCAATATTTTGTGTTTGTTAAATGTATACAAAAGACCGTCACCTACTGCGCTTCTGTTAGTTATTTTTCACCAATAATAATAATAAATCTGACAGATATGAAGTAAATTTTTACTCTAAAATATATGATCCTATTAATGTCATAATAATAATAATAATAATAACAGTAATAATAGCCTAAATTATAGTATGTGATTGGCTATAAAGAATATAAAGTAAGAAGAAGTAAAATAAGATAAGGGTGCAGGTGGAGAACATAGAGCTGTACAAATAAATAAATAATTGTCTTATATAGGTATTTATGCTGACAAGGCACAAAAAGCGTGTGGGGAAAAAAAGAAGGGAATCACAGGCTTTAATAATTGAGCGGATGCGCAAATTGGCTTTAATTGAGCTACCTTTCTCTTTGATATATATTATATTACAATCTCTCATTCACAATTCGCCATGCAGATTAAAGGAAATGCATTTATTGTTACAGGAGGGTATGGGTCTTTTGTTATCCTCATTACTATTATCCTATATATATATTTCTAATATATATATATATATATATATATATATATATATATATATATATATATGTGTGTGTGTGTGTGTGTCTTTTTAGTGCTAGTGGACTTGGAGAAGCTACTGTAAGAGAGCTGGTACAGCGGGGCGGAAACGTTGCTGTAAGTTGGTTTAATAGGTTATCTGTATCTTTCTCTCTATCATCAAATTTACTAATTAACGGTATATATATATATATATATATTATGTATAATAACACTATATTAGATCTTTGATATGAACGAGGAGGGAGCGTAAGTCTTTATAATATATAGAGACAATATTGGAATTTTGATTACAATTTTAAAAAACAACAACAACAACAACAACAACAACAACAACAAAAACTTAATGGAGCATATAGATATCAGCAAATCAAATCAAATCAAATCAAACAGAAACATCATTTAACCTGTAATTCTTCCTTTCTTGTAGTAAACAGGTCGCAGCTAGTCTTGGTGAACAAGTATTTTCAGCTGGAAAGGTTGACGTTACCTCTGAGGTACGGTGAAGCTCAAGTTAGATTGGTTTTCATTTAGAATACAACCTGGATCAGCCTTTTTTTTTAACATGTAGCCAAAACCACAAAGGAAATGGTTCGTGTAGCTATAGAAAAGACCGTCGAACGTTTTGGTAGAATTGCCGGTGTGATTAATTGCGGTGGAGTTGCATCCGGAGCAAGAGTAAGTGCTCTATATGTATGAAAATATACATTTAAACTAAAATAAAGCCAAATAAAATAAACAGATTGCTCGTCGTGGAAACAACGCTTATAGCATGACTATGGAAATTTTTGAGTTTACTGTGCGTGTCAATTTGATTGGTACCTTTAATGTATGCAGGCAGGTAGCTCAAATCATGGTCAACCAGGACACTTTTGAAGAAGGTAATATATATATAATATATTCTCGCAGTATTATTATATCAAAGCTACCAAATACTCCCCTCCCCTCCCCTCCCCTCCTCACAAAAAAGGTGCTATATATATTACTTACATTCGAATACCTTTTACTTTAGGTGAACGTGGTGTTATTATTAACACAGCTTCGATTGCTTTCCAAGACGGTCAGACTGGCCAGGTAGCTTACTCTGCATCAAAGGGTGGTGTTGCTTCCATGACTCTCCCCATGGCACGCGACCTTGCTCCTGCTGGAATCCGTGTGATGACCATTGCCCCTGGTATTTTTGGTGAGGATGAACAAATCAATAATAAGAATAATAATTATGCTTATAATAGTAATAGTTATAGCAGCACACAAATCCACCAATATAATTACTCTTGTTAACAATCAAAACAATTAGAAACCAGCATGACCTCTTCTATTAATGACGCTGCGAAGGCAAAGATCATCAAGGATGCCATATTCCCTAATCGTATGGGACGTGCCACTGAATTCTCGTCCCTGGCAGCACATATTTTAGAAAATACCATGTTGAGCGGGGAGATTATCCGCTTAGATGGTGCAAGTCGTCTTGGAAAATTATAAAAATATTATAACACTACCACTACTACTCATACTAATATCAATATCAGGAACCCTCTGATTTTTTATTTTCTTTATCTCTACGTAGATTTACTTTTATTTATTTATATATTTATTAAATACATGCACGATATAGGTACATATATGCGGTAATATATTTCTTTAAAATAATTAGTTTGATCGAGCTAAAGGAATCTCGCGAAGTCTTGCGTGTGTGCGAATGAGCTCAGGAGAATTGGATATGGTGTATAGTTCATCCAGAAGAGCAGCACGGAAAGTGCCTGGTCCTTTTACTTCTGGTCGCTTCATCGCCAATTCAGAAGCAATTGTGATAGTGAGCATACTAAAACACGATACAATACAATACAATGCAATGCAATACATCATGCAATACAATTGAAATCAGAATCAGAATCAGAATCAGGATTATAATTAAGGATTAGTCTTGAATTGAAGAGTAATATTAAATAATGACATTTACCCTGCTACAGCACCAATCAAAGGATCCTCAGACACTGATTTTTTTAAGAGGAAAAAAAAGAAACATTCAGTTAATATCAACCATTTTGAATAATTCACAAAGGAGTAGGAGAAAAAGATATTTACCTGCTTGGAAGCATGCAACAACAGAACTGGCCATACAGCCACTTCCTGTAATAAGTGCCATCATAGGATGTCCATTCTCAACCACAAACACACGGGTGCCGTCAGAGATATAATCCATGGGCCCAGTCATTACCACGACACAGCCTACACAATTATTCAGTCATTATAATTGTATATATGCAAATTTACTTAGTTTTCCGAACCAAGACACACAAAAAAGACATTAATCATTTACCATTATTCTTTGCCAGTTCTGAAACAGCCAATACAGCATTTGCCTCTCCTCCATTGTTTCCCACTGAGTCGACACCTCTAGAACGACCTCCCCGGTTGGCCATTGACAAGATCTCGCCTCCATTTCCCTTGATCACACTCAGATTACATTCTTTTAAGAAGCGTGCAACGGTGTCCTTTCGGAATTGTGTTGCACCTGCACCAACGGGATCCAATACAACCGGGTGACCGTGGCGTGTATTTGTCTGAGCGGCCAGAATCATGGCGTCAATGTCATTGAGAGTTCCCATGTTCAATAACAAAGCATCATTAACAGCTGCCAGATCGTCGATTTCTTCTGTGTTTGTAGACATGATAGGAGAAGCACCTAGAATAATTTGTACATCAGTTAATATCATTGATGATATCTATAGGTTATTAGGACAATTAAAATTACGATGAAGCCCGTTTCTTACCCAAGGCCAGTGTAGCATTAGCATTGTCGTTAATAACAACATAGTCTAGAGACGTGGATTAAGTATTACTATTAGATATCTTTGATTTTGGGTAGTGATATAAAATACAATGCTATAGGATTGAATGGTTAATAGTTACTTGTGATATGATGAACCATGGGACCAGTTTGCTTGAGCAGATCAACAAGTTTTATAGATTTCTCGACTATTGAGCTTGTGTCCAATGCAATTGGAGGTTCGAAAGAACCAAACACGTTGTTCAACAGACCACTGAATGCCTGGCATGTCTGCTTGGGATCACTGGAGGCAATAATGGCAGAAACGATTGCTAATCCATCCAAGTGTCTTGTGCCCGAAGCTGATCCAATCATCAACTCCTGGGCATTTGAGACATGGATACCACCAATAGCCACAGTGGGAATTGGTACATCCATCAAGCGCAATACATCTGTAGTGCATGAGCATAATATTTGATAGTTATATATATATATATATAAATATATAGTGTTAATGACAAGTAAAAATATTTGATGCGTTGATTTTTGTTAAAATATATAAATAAATAAATGAATAAAATAAAATAGTTAGCATTATTACTATTATTGTTATTGTCTTTTTTTTTTTTTTTACCTTGAACACCTTGGATACCAAGGGGAGATCTCTTGATTTTCTTGGTAGATGTATCCCAGACAGCACCGATTCCAAGGTAATCAGCACCATTGGCAATTGCATCGTTGGCTTCCTTTTGATTATAGACTGACACGCCAATAATTTTGGTGGGACCTAGTATTTTACGTGCCTGGACTAGTGGCATGTCATCTTGGCCAATATGAACACCATCGGCATCAATTGCCTGCGCGACATCGAGACGATCATTGATAATCAGGGGTACGTGGTAACGTTGGGTCAGTGCCTTGACTTGCAGACCAAGGGCAATAAAGGGCCCAGTTTCGAGCTCCTTTTCTCGCAGCTGAACAATTGTCGTGCCTCCTTGCAAAGCACTTTCGATTTGTGCCAAAAGAGTAGTGTTCTTTGGGACAAGCGAGCTGTCAGTTACCAAATAGAGAGAATAATCCACCTTCATATTATTATTTGCTTGCTTTTCTTTATCTCTTTACTTTTTCTTTATTCCTTTCTTTCTTTATATGTGTATTTTTATATATACAATATATACAATATATTGAGAGAAATGATAATTTTAAAATAAAATAAAATAAATAAAAATAAAGGATATTACAAGGTCCAAGTCGCCTAATTCTTTCTTTCCTTTTTCTCTCTTTTTTTTTTATTTTTTGGTGGTTGCCCTGCAAATTAGTGAGTGAGTGAGTGAGTGAGTGAGTGGAATATAAAAGGTGAACAAGCTGAGACTAAATATAAATGTGTGTATGTATTTAGGCTGGTGGCGTCAAAATGAAGTATAAGAATAAGAATAAAGATAAAGAAATAAAAAGTCTCAATAGGGGAATTCTAATAATATATGCGACCACGTATTGAATAAAGGTCTCTTTGTTTTGAATCAATGAAAGTCCAAATATAGCTTGGCATTACTACTACTACTACTACTACTTCTTCTTCTTTTTTTAAATATATATATATATATAAAGGAAATCACATAATGAAAATAAAGACCCATTGTTTGCCAGTGACATATGAGCAGATTCAAATCGTTATTTAAAGAGAGCGAGAAAAAAAAGTGAATTGGATAGTTAGGTAAAAAGAAAGAAGTATATTTACTAATAAGAAATATGCTTCTACGAAAAGAGAATCGTATACGAAAATATATAAACGTCCAAGCGAGTAAGAATAATCCTAATATTAGTCTTTCTTATTTTGCATATGTTTTGACAACCAAGACTCAACTCAAATACACTTTTACTTCTGTTGTTAGTCTTGTACAGTGGTTGGATCTATTACTATTCTCCTTCCCAATTCAGATCCTCGTGGAAAAAACGTTATTTGGTTCTCACGGATACATCCCTTCAGTTCTACAAATCATCAGTGAGTAGTATACAAAACAACAACAACAACAACAACAACCAAAATCATTGTGCTAATCATTTGGCTATATACTTATCTAATAAACCAAATAAAAAACTCAACCAGTTTACGCTTGAGGTTGCTGATTTGTCTTTGCCAATAACCCAGTGCAAGTATATCCAACCTTATGAAAGTTGCAAGCGGTCCAAGCATGCGCTCAGAATAAACACGACGGATCCCCAACTAAGTCCAATAGAATTCTATTGCAAGCTAAAGCCAGAGTATAATACTTGGAAGGAGGTCATCACACTCCAGATTATGACCAACTGCCCTACCATAAAGCCTCCTACCAATAGAAGAATCAAGACCATATCAACCCTGGACAAATGGCTCAATCGTAGTTATCCCTTGATTGGCTCGTCCCTTTCTGACCCTCCAATTGCATCTGCTCCGGTACCTAGTCAAAGTACACCAGTACCTCAGAAACCAGATAGCCTGTCATTGTCAATCTCAATCCCTCAGAGCACCAACAGCAACACTATCAGAAACATTCACTCCACTAACCAAGTCACTAACAGACGACCCATGGTCAGAGATATCTGGCAAAGTCCCACCAATTGTATCACTGGAAAGTCCGGAACTACTTACACGCCACTTCATCCTCCTCCTCGTCGCTGTATGACAATAAAATCAACACATGGCCGACACCGCCCACCTTCTGTATGCCAATATAGTTCTCGTATATCTGCTTCTCTAACTTCTCCAACCTTTGGTTGTGCCCAGGTTAAATAATAAAACCATTATATATACACACCTTAATGTAATTTCAAATAATAAGTGCATAAGAATAAAATACACATATATAATATTCATGGTTTGCAAGGTGAAAAAATAAAAATAAAAATAAAATAAAATAAAATAAAATAAAGAAAAAAAAAGGCATTGGGGTTTAATGCCCGAAACTGTATCACTACTCATTCACTGGTTAACCATGGTAAAAGATTTTATGGAAGAAGACGACGAATCAGGTTGCAAGCTACTTGATTCCTTTGCAATCTTCATTCAAATATGTCTGGGTGCTGTTGCCTTTTCAACACTTATCATCAAACGGCAGCGTGAACAGCCACAACGACCACTTTTAATATGGTACATACATACATACATACATACATATATGCACTTTTTATTCTTCTTCTTCTTTTTCGGGTTTCTTTAAAGGAATGCAATACAATAGAACATTACCTGAGCTAACAACTAAGCACACGCTTTTAATATTCATTACTTAGGGGACTAGATATTAGTAAACAGTTAATGGGTGGGGCAGTGGTACATGCACTGAATGTCATTGCATCGTATTTTACGGGAGGAAATCATGAAGGCCAACATTCAAATCCATGCGTGTGGTAAAAACTATCTTGGTTATATCTTATCTTATTGCTTTACTACTGCTATTACTATAATTATCATCATTATCTTCTTTGTCTTGTCAGTAACCGGAAATAACAATCATATTATTGTAGGTATTTTTTAAATATACTTGTTGATACAACTATTGGTATTGGTGTTGTATGGGCATTTATCAAGATTGTCCACATTATTGCCACAAGATATCGTCTTTCAGGCCTACAAAGTGGTGTGTATGGTGGCCCACCCTTTCGCAAGCAGGTCAAACGATGGGGCAAGCAGATGGTAGTCTATGTGTGTGCATTATTGACGATGAAGATTTTTGTCGTCTTGCTGTTTCAGCTCTTTCCTTCAATTGCTGTATTCGGCAAATGGATGTTGGGTTGGACCATGGGAAACCACAAACTCCAGGTCGTTTTTGTTATGCTCATGTAATGTAACGTTTGTTTGATTTATGTATACATATATATACACACACACATATATATAGACTGTTTTGCTTATATCCATCTTACTTTACATAGCTTCCCATTGACTATGAATACGATGCAATTCTGGATATTGGATACAATTGTCAAACACAAATTGAATCCCATCCAGCTCTCTACTGAAGATGAAGATGAGCTTGTGGATGCTTATGAGACCTCAGATGATACTCCTCCGCCAACCATCAGGGTTCTTGACAACACCATTGGGGATGGGCTGGAGGATGAAGCCCTCAAAGGCTGGCAAGAGGCTGCATCGAGTCGACAGAACCAAGGATGGCCAGGTACCTTGCGACCATCACTTTCGGCAGAGAGTCTTTACGAATTGCGCACCAGTCGTTAATACGCAGTACAAATTCATATGTTTATGTCCAAGAATAGTTTTCTTTTTCTTTTTCTTCTTCCCTTTATCATTATTATATCTATATATTTCTTGCCCTGTAAACCATTCTTTTTTCTTTATATTATATTATATTCTTCTTCTTCCTCTTCTTCTTCTTCAGTTTGTCAAATGAGTCTAATATACCGAGAGCCAAGATAATTGAAATTTATAAATGTACATTTTATGTGTGTGTTTGTGTGTGTATTTTTCAATTGATTTGTCGGACAAAAGAAATATGTGAGTGAATATGTTTTTTTCCCTCTCTTTCTCTCTCTCTCTCTTTATATATATATTTTCATTTTAATCGACCCCCAGTTAAATGAGACCTCAGACTCTGTTTCGTCTGCCTATACGGCACATGGTACGCAGGTCCATTTCGGACGATGCATCTCGTCCATTTCCTTCACCATTCCCTACCCGTCCAGCTCAACACATGGAACCAACCGATTCACAAACCTTGGCTGACATTGTAGATGCTTCAACACCAACTAAACCGGATCCCACCAGACCTGATGCCTTTCTTCAGCAACATCACTTTGACACTTATAATCTCTTGCAGAATCTCGAACAACAGGGTTTTAGTAGGGCTCAGGCTGAAGTATTTATGAAGGGAATCAAATTCAAGTTACGAGAAAGGTATAGAACATATTTAATTATTTAATTGATTAATTAATTAATTGATTTAAATAAATAAATAAATATAAATGGCGTTAGTAATATTAGTATATCTAATTGTCAAAATTCATGCTAATGACAATTAAATTGATCCGTATATCTATATACATACATAGTGCTGCTTTGGTGCGCCAACGACTTTTACTTCGTTCTGATCTCGAAAATGTAAGTTGTAAATATTTCTTTTTTTTTTAAAAAAAAATGGAGGAGTAGAGAGTAAAGAGTATAAGAAAGAAACAAAGAGAGGGGAAATACTGAGAAGCTACAACCAATTAGTGACAGTTTTTCGTCTACAGGAATCGTATCTTCTTAAGGCTGCCTTGTCCGAATTGAGAACAGAAGTACAAATAATGCGTCGTAATGATACCCAGATGCTACAGGCTGAAGCTTCGATGATCACTCGGGAGGTCGAGGCATTGGGACAGCGCCTAAATGAAGACGTGGCTCTGATGAAGAATGAGGTGACACTGGATATGAATAATCGTAAGAATGAGACGCGTGAGGAGCAAAAGGCAATTGATATGCGGATCCAGGAGATCAACAACAAGTTTACTATCCAACTTGGTGATGTTCGCACGGATTTAGAGGCAGTTCGTTGGGAAACGATCTGGAAGGGCATGGGTAAGTTTATATATATATATATATATTGTACAATATGTAATGTAGCATACACGTTTGAGGGAGAATAAGGGATAACTAAATTGATAAAAAAATATCTATATATTTGCTTTATATGATACAGCTGGTGTGGCAGCAGCAGGGTTGGGAATCGCAAGCCTTGGATACTTGCTAACTCGTTATGCAGAACGAAAAGCCAACTCGATCTATATTGAACAACAAAAGAAGCTGAAGAAGTTGCAGGAAGAGGCACGTCACGCAGGCACAGCAGACATGGAAGTGGTTTATTAGGATAAAGAGAGGAGAGATTATAAGGGGATTATATATACATATACATATACATATGAAAGGGATTCGTGTTGTCAGAACCAAGAATAAAGTGAGTTTAGACTTGTGTAGATTTGTGTACAAAGATGTATATTATCTGCTTGTATATTTAAAGAAGAATCTAATACATTTCTCCTTCTTCTTCCTTTCTTTCTTTTCCCTCTTTCTGTTTCTATCTATCCAATATATATATATATATATATATATATATATCTCGTATTGTCTTCAATGCCTTTTCATGAGTTAGTGAAAAACAACTATGGAATAGACCGTAATATCGACCTACTGACACAAGAGAACCTTTTGCTTCACACAAAAAAGGTGAGTTTAAGAAATTCAATAAAAGAGCAATAAATAAATAAATGAAATCCGATTTTTCTCTCTCTTTCTTTCTTTCTTTTTTTTTGTACTTTCTGATTTACTTTAATATGTTAGTTACCAAAGGCTACTGATAGGGTAGCGTCTTTTGTTAGATCCCAACAGTTATTGGTAGATGATTTGTTGGCACTTGAACATCAACGTTGTCTTGAAATCCAAGAATGCGTCCTTGATAACCAAGTGATCCGAATAACAATAAAACCACCAGGAAATTCATGGCGTCGAATTATTCACAAATACTCTTCCTTTCGATTTTTGTTCGATCGGCATCACGAAACAAAGCGTCAAAAGAACTTTGTAGCATATTACTATCCACCCATGAAACCAAGACAATCAACATGATATAAAAAAAAAGAAACTTGCACAAGCACATGTATATACATACATACATACATACATACCTACATATGTAATGTATGTATATGTGTATGTGTGCTATGCTATGCATGTATGTATACATATATAAAATGATAATTTGGGTGACATATATGTCTAAAGATTAAGTGTTTTTTTTTGGAGTATATATATATATAACATAAAGTAAACCGGCCAAGAAAGAATAATAGATAGTATTAAAGGAGACGACTATTTTTTGTTTTTTTTTTCCTTTGTCGATTGATACACTTTCCCTTTGGTTGCTTCCATTTTTTATAAACCCGACCCAAAAAGCCAAGGATGAAAATGAAGAAGAAAAGGAAAAACCGATTGGGGGGTTTTTTTTGCTTATGTGTGTGTGTGTGTGCTTTTTTTTTACATGCCCAACATACCGCTAAATTGACTGGCATACTGCATTGGTCTTACATTGGGATGAGGCTAAAGAAGAAGAAGACATTCATATTAATATATAAATATACATGCTGTATAGATTTGTGTGGTTATGATTCTTCCTCTTCTTAAAGAAGAAAAAAGAAAGGGAACCTATTTATTTTGAATATCATAATTCTTGGACTTACCACTGCCTCGAATGTAACATAGTCCAATACCATATCGGGTGTAATGTTAATGTAAGCTCCCTTGTTACCAACAGAATCACTGCAAGGAAAAAAAAAGAATAAGAGTTATATAAGTTTGAATGTATTGAATTAATATTGATTTTCAAAACCTTACCAGTAGTTGGGAGCAGAGAAAACAGTGACACACTTGCCGTCATGCTCAATCACATATCCCTCTTCCTTAACTTCATGACTACGAATCAACATATCTACAAAAAAAAGAGAGATAAAGAACAATCAAACCCGTTAATAAGTCTTGTAACATAAAATCCTCTCCTTTCTATCTCGTAAATTATTACCGAGGCCGTTTCTTTCCAAAAATGCCTTTGTAACATCAGGGCCAAACTGAATACCGACACCACGCTTGTTGGGCTCTCTACCTGGCTGAGGTTGAGGATCAGACCATAAGAGTTCACACATCAAACCTATACAATGATAATGATTAAAGATCAATAAATAAAGAGTCTGCTCATCATCATATTCATTATAATCCACTCTCTCTTTTTTGTCTTCTTCCTTTGATATTATATATATATATATATATAATAAGAATAAACATAGAAACCAAATTCTTACCATCATTTCCAGGCTGACGAAGAGCAAGACGGTCGATTTTGCGAATATCATCTAGAGTAACATCATCACGAGAGAACAGACCACCGTGAACAACCAAAATCTTGTTTCCAATTACATGTGCCAAAGGAAGAGAGTTGAATGTCTCTGAGAAAATCTACAATCAATAGAATTTTGTATGTTTTAATAACCTCTCTCCTTATTTCTGTTTTTCTTACCTTGAACATCATCATATCACTGAACTTGGCCTTGACTTCACCCTCAAAACCATACACCTTGTTCATGTTGTCTGTTTCGTGGTTGCCACGGGCAAGGAATACCCGATCAGGGAACAACAGCTTGTAAGCAAACAAGGTCAAGACGACTTCCAAGGAGAAACTTCCACGATCAACAAAGTCACCGTTGAAAAGGTAAGCATGTTTTTCAGAGGGCCAGCCGTTGGTGTTGAAAATATTGATAAAATCGTAGAATTGACCTATACGTATAAAAACACAGATGAATACACAATAATAATCACAACACTTTAGTCAAACATCTTCCTCGCTCATACCATGAACATCACCACACACGGTGAGCTTTCCACCAGCAGGAACCTTGATATCGATTAATGAAGGGGATTCCATCATCATCTTACGCACACCCAAGATGATCTATATAAAACCATACAAATAAAATGGAATATATGGTTCAATTTGATATGTGCTAATTAGCATTCACCATTCCCTTCATTTGATTTGATTTGACCTGAATTGACTTGACTTGTGCTTAATCTCACTTTACCATAAATGCATATTTACGATGGATCTTCTTTTGGTCCTTGAACCGTGCTACCAAGTCCTTCACAAATCCTTCTGTGATCTTTTTATCTTCTGCAATCTTTGGTCCGTCGTATGAAGCTTCCACAACTGTATAAATTATATTAGTTTAATCCGCATTATTGGTTGATACTATCAACAACTTTTCCCTATCTTCCTTTCTTTTTTCTTTTTTTTTCATCCCTTTCTTTTTATGTAGTATATAAAGAATGTACCATACCAATTGCATCAACATCCAAAGAATCGGCAGCACTGGGCGCGTGGTCATCATGCTATCAGAAAAAAAACAGAAAGCAATATTATTGTTAATTTTTAATAATAAAAAAGACGCCTCTTCCTTCTTCTTTTACTTACCTCAATTGCTTTCTCAAATTCAATACGCTTAACGATCTTTGCGCACTCGTCCAATTTAAGCTTGGCATCTTTATCTCCAGGTGCATTTTTGACAACCTTGATTTTCATACACACTCTTTCTTTTTTAGATTACATATTTTCTTTATATTGTTTAGCATTAATTAGTTTCACTCACCACACGAAGATCTTTCAAAGCCTCCTTGAACTTGCCGAGTGCCATGTTGGCAGTAGCGCGGCGATAGTTGGCCTACGTATTACACAAAAGTCGTTGTTGTTTTTTTTTGCATAATATAAGTATATGTATATAAGCGTGTGTACATAGATCCACTATTTTACACACACACTCTCTCTCTTTCTTTATTACCTTTGTAAAATTGGGATCGAGTGCCAGGGCAGCATCAGCATCGCTACCAAATCATTCAATTCAATCATTATATAGATTTCTCTCCTTCTCTTTCTTTATTTTATTTATATTCTAATGTCCTTTTGTACAACAATCGATTGCTACTTACGAGATCACATAACCATAAGATTCCAATTTCAAATGGCAGAATGCGCGATTAGAGAAATAGGCAGCGACATTAGGATTGAGATCAATTGCAGCACTATATTTTTCAATGGCTTCTTTGTAATGCTTTGCTAATAGAATAAAAAAAAGGTGAGAATGTATAATAATCGAGGAACATGTGATATAAAATATAAGGTTGGGTTAATCTAATCTATCTATTGGTTTTGTAAGAGGAATCTATATGATTATAATTTTCATTGTTTTTTTTTTACCAGCAAAAAGAGCATTGGCTTCTCCTTTGATCTTCTCGGCTTGAGCTTTCACAGCGTCAGAAATAGCCACAGGTGACATTGTGAATTAAATGTAAAAAAGGGAAAGGGAAAAAAATTGAACCAAATATCTCACTTCATTAAAAAAAAATTATTTAATTTGATTTAATTTGATTTGATTTGATTTGATTTATTTATTTTTTATTTTTTATTTTATTTCTTGGGTGTCTCAACCTATTGATTTATTTATTATTATTATTATTTTACCCCTCCTTTCTATCCCCTCCTTTCTCCTCCTTTGTCCTCATCTTTACAAACCCCTCTATATTTCTCCCTTTACTATTTCCTATTTTGTTTCGAGTCCTAGATTATTGTTATAATATATATATTATTTTGTATTTTGTATTTTGTATTTTGTATTTTGTATATATCTAACTCAAGCTTCTCCTAAAGAAAATATAAATATATAAAATAACTGTTGATCTATTGTTCGCATACAAGTGAATAAATGTGTAATATAAAGTGTGCTAGTATAGGATATATGACCAGAATAAATATATTTTGTAACAAGTGCAATATGATTGGCCCATCTTAAAACATAAATCCAGTCAATAGGTGTTGTCCGTTTGCGATGATCAATATTAGAAGAAGAAAAGAAAATTAACAAAATGCCGGCTATTTTATTCTACCCATTTAGACTTGCATTTTCAAAGAGGAACAAAAAAAAAGAAAAAGAAAAAGAAAGAAAGAATATTATATTATATTTCACACTTAAGAATTCAGGTAAACTTGAAGACTTGTATTTTAATTTTCATTTTCATTTCATTTTTGCTTTCTCTCTTTCTCTTTCTCTCTCTCTTAATTTTGCTTCATTTTTTTCTCTTTGATTCAACTTACAGACAACTTTGCTTTTGAAATCTATGTTGTGCAGTCCTGAAGAACATAGCTTCCCTCGAGGCGACGAGCAGGACGACATTGTGATTATTATGCAACAAGAAGATGTGATGTTTGGGGCTGGTCATGAAATCACAAGCTCCGATAAAAGTAAAGAGGACAGTTGGCTTCTTTGTATGTTACCAATATACCACCAAACTCACCATACAATAAAAAAAAATCTCTTAGACCTTCAGCTGAAGAGACAACTGGAATACTACTTTTCAAGGCAAGTTTATTTATATGCCTCTAAATATATAAATAATAATAGTAATAATAAAATAAAAAGATATCTAATAAGCCAAAATAGACAAAATCTAGTAACCGATACGTACCTAAGTAAGTTAAATGTTATATATATATATATATATATAAAACATAATACTTATAAAAAATATACTTCTTTGCTTTTTACAGCATCGCATATGGACAATAATCTATATGTTCCTATTGACTTGATTGCTGGATTCAAGAGGGTACAAATGTGGACAACAGACCGGGAAGTTATTGTAGACATCCTCAAGTCTTCTGACGTTGTACAAGTCGATGAACAATCCCAAAAAGTTCGTCCGGCACTTTCTCTTCAACGGACAACCATCATTCTAAGAGACATTCCAAGTGGCACAGAAGAAAAGGTAATAGTTAATAAGAAAAAGAGCCTTGTATCTACGCAGACTTATATAATTAGCTGCTGGTATCTCTAGGAAATCCTTGACTTTCTAGACAGTCTCCAGTCCCCTCCTGTCAAGAACATCAAGGCTGATCTGGGGATGTGGTATATAGCTTATGAGACTGAAAAAAATGCTGTGGAAATGTTAAAGAGAGTTCGCAACAAGATCTTCAAAGGACACCCAGTAGCAGTACGGATGAAATCTGAGCCAATGTTGCGTAGAATGCAGGCTACCCTTCAATCTTCTCAAACAGTCAAAGAGTCTAAACAGCCACAGCCACAAGCACAGCAACAGCCACAACCACAAGCACAACCACAAAAAGAAGCAGAAGCAGAGACTTGTGTCCAGACAAGCCAGCCTGAGCATCAAAACTTGTCTATAAAAATCCCTCAGGAAGTCAAGTCTACAACAGGTTTACCTCTCCTGTCAGTAACCCAGCCTGGTTCACATACCACACCCATGCCAGTGTGTAGCTATGCATCTATACTCAAACGCAGTCCAAGCGCCTCTTCCGATAAATGCCAAGATCAAGATCAAGGCCAAACCCAAACTCAAAACTGATCAGTTTAAGTACAATATGTTGTTGCGTTGCAAAAAAAAGGAATATAAAATAAAATAAAACAATTTTTGTTTATAATGTTATTTTCTAATTTAGTAAAATGGCTCAATTTCTAATAAAACACATTAGCCATTCGAGAAAACCCATTATAATCTTTAAATACAGTAGGACGAAGATCTCTCCAAAAACGTATATAATAGATATATGTATCTTTTTTTTGAATCATTCCTATCGTTTCCTTATTATATTTGTTCGACTTCATTTTGATTTTGATTTTGATTTGCTATATTTTTTTTTATATTTCAATTTCTTCATCATAGTCAAATCCCAAGGTGATTTTTTTTTTGTTTTGTTTCATTTTATTTTATTTGGGCTTGTTTGTTACAATACACTCAACAGTACAAAATCCAATAGCAGAGAGGTTAACAGTGATTCCTTGTTTCAAATAAACCAGGCAGTGTTTATGTGATCTGAAGTAGTCAAATTTATATAACTCAAGCTAGACTTTGGATATGTTTCATACTAGAATTATTAGCTATCAAAGCATTTGATGAAGCCCCGGGATCAAAGAATTAATGTCCAATAGGGGTTTTTATGCATGTACAAATAATTGACCGTTTTATAAGATGTGATTTAGATAATAGATGTGTATGTATCAGACATGCAAATACTTACATCTTTACACTTTATTTATTTATTATTAAGCCACAAAAGTATAACATGAGTCAATCTTCACAGGTAGAAAATTTTTATTAAATTGCTCTTTTTATTACTTTAAATCCATTTTCAGGGCGCAGGTTTTGCGCGTATTGTATCCCCGGGAGCAACCAATATTGCACCGTATTTCTCATCTTCCAGAGCCTCATAATTCACATGTTGCTCTTTAAGAGCAATAAACAAATGACAAAGTATTTCAAAAACCTTTAGCCACTTGTTCCTTTGTGTGTACGTTGTTGGTATTTCAGCAGAACGCACTTCATGATATGTGAAGCGGCCACCGCCTTTGAATTTAACTTTAGATAAAATAATTTTGGTTTAGATGGATTGTATTCCAAAGGCTTTTTTTGCCAAGAGTGTGTTGGAGTTTCCATTTAAATGAGAATTAGCGATGCCTTTGAGCATTAAAATCAGAGAGCTCAGCTGTTTAATACTGTCATCGATTGTCTTATCCAAGTTCACAGTGCGTTCACCTGATGAGCCTTCCAAAAACCACTCTTTCAATGCCGTTTTTGTCATAACCAAGGCCACCAACATACCGTGGATTTCCTTTCTGAAGCCACTCATCTATATCCTCTAATGCATGGTTGATGGTTTCAACTTCACACCAATTGAATGATAGAATTCCCGTTTGTTTCGAGAAAATGTGGAAAAGGTCGCTGTGTTGTTTCGTCGTCTTGAGGGGATAGCAGCTAAACTTTTACATTAGCGTTTTGAGAGGTCTTTTGTGTCATCGGAAGAAGGTATAATATGTGTCTCCAAGTGTTTTTTATAGTCATCAACAGCTCTAAAGTGATTTATGCAGGATGGACAAGCAAATCGTTTTCGAATATTTCTATGCTTTACATTGCCAAGTATTTTTTATAAAAGCACATTCAGCATTATCATAAAAGCGATTACCGCGTCGTAATGTGGGCACACTTATGCTATGTAAATTCTAAATGCAAACGGAGATTGCGTCCTTCAGTTTTGGTTTCATCACATTCGTGGCAAGAATAGATCAGTGAAACGAGTTGTGGAGATAACGTTAGAAAGTCCTTATAATACCTGTCTTTTTGTTGTATTATAGGGGAGGATTGGAAGTTGGATAAGTACTTTGAGGCTCAAAATAGTTTTTATTAAGAGATATTAGCCAAATCAAAACTGATTAACAAAAGAGTAAATAAATGGAGGGTACCTCTTTCTCTTCTCTATATCTTTAAAAAGCTTCATATTAAGTCACATGACTTGGCTCACTTCACCATTTTTTCTCAAATTCTTTAAACCTATAAAATTATGTCTGTTCAAAGTCCAGTGCGTATATATTTTTTTCTATTATTTTTGCCATATTTATTCTGGTGGTTAAACTTTTTTTATCAATGATCAAAACTTTCAAAATCACACAAATTAAAAAGATATATGTAAAACTTATATTGCTCTTTATGATACATGATTTATCGAAATTATTCAAGTAATGCTTTTTAGATGAAATGAAATATTTGTATGCAAGTAAATGCCCAATAAGAATAACTTTAAACTTATGGTATAAAGATGATACCTTTATAATCGTTCTAGCCAGAAGTTGGTCAAAACAGTGGGCAATTTTTTTCCCAGGCAGTTAACCAAACTAGTCTTCATTTTCGATACAATTTCATTTGAAAAAGTGAATGGTGTTTTCAAAAAATCATTAAAGTTCGAGATGGAAGCACTGTAACATCAAAAGAAATACACTAGCTATAACCCGAAATATGCTATAGCGATTGTATAAACAACGGATATAATAAAGTTATATCGTGAAATTATTCTGTTCAGATTTTTCTTTTTTTTTTGGCAGTCTAATTGACAAAAGCAAAAGCATCTAGTTTTAATTTTTGTACTTGTCCAAAAAATAAATAAATAAATAAATAAATAAATATAAAATCATCCAACCGAGGTACAAAATTGTCCTATGATTTTTTTGGAATCGCTTAATTTTGGAGTAAAACACTGTATGCTTCTTGTTTCTCACATATTGTGCCTCGCTTCATTCTCACGTCATGCTGTGCAACATATTTTCTTGTTTGTTTTTCTTTTTCTTAACAAACAGACACACAAAAGTACATACACAAACAACACTGTCAATAAAAATTTGCGTGTAATTTTTTTTTTTTAAAAAAAAATTAGATTCATACTCAGCTCGTGCTGCGGTGCGCCGGAAGGCGATCAAGTCAACTTGTTTGAACGAAAAGCCTTGGCTTCCTTCCTTTCCCTCCATTTCACCCTTCCAAGTGCAAAGAAGTCAAAATGGGTAAGGAAACCATACCAATTAATACAAAGATGGATGGATGGATGGATGAGATCCATAAGTAAATGTATCATAATATCAACAAGTACTAATACACATCATTTTCTGAATTTATTAGTCGTAAGTTCATCAACACCCAAAAAAAATATTCCAATTATAGACGAAGTGTCTAGGTGTATGCAAAGGTCTATTTACTTGACGCCCAATACTTCATTGGTCTCATAAAATAATCTACGCATATACACCTGACACTAGAGTCGCCGAGTTGCTCAAAAGAAACTTTTTTTTTGCAACATGCATAAAGATACACAAACACAAAAGAATCATTTCATAACAACATACATCTTTTTATTTCAAACGTAGAATTTTACTATTGAGGAGATCCGTGAACTCATGGACAAGGTTACCAACGTCCGTAACATGTCCGTCATTGCTCACGTCGATCACGGAAAGTCTACCTTGACTGATTCCCTTGTCTCCAAGGCCGGTATTATCTCTGCTGGTCGTGCTGGTGAGACCCGTTTCATGGACACCCGTAAGGATGAACAGGAGCGTGGTATTACTATCAAGTCCACTGCCATTTCCATGTACTTCCAGATGGAGAACCCCGAAGACATCAAGGAGATCAAGGGCCAGAAGACCGAAGGTTCCTCTTTCTTGATTAACTTGATCGATTCCCCCGGTCACGTTGATTTCTCTTCTGAAGTTACCGCCGCCCTCCGTGTCACTGATGGTGCCCTTGTCGTCGTCGACTGTATCGATGGTGTCTGTGTCCAGACTGAGACCGTTCTCCGTCAGGCTTTGACCGAGCGTATCAAGCCCGTCATTGTCATCAACAAGGTTGATCGTGCTCTTCTTGAGTTGCAGTTGGCCAAGGAGGAGTTGTACACCGTAAGTTTTTTTTCACTTTATATTTAATCTTTGGGGGATATAAGTATCATTGTACTTTCTAGTAAAAGTCACAGTACAATGACAAAACCAAATAATTTAATATGTCTAACAAACCCTTTTTTATTATCTTATCTTCTTTAGACCCTCCGTAGCACCATCGAGTCTGTCAACGTTATCATCTCCACCTACCCTGATGAGGCTCTCGGTGATGTCCAGGTCTACCCCGAGCGCGGTACCGTTGCCTTCGCTTCCGGTCTCCACGGCTGGGGTTTCACCCTCCGTCAGTTTGCCGTCCGTTACTCCAAGAAGTTTGGTGTTGACAAGGAAAAGATGATGCAGAAGCTCTGGGGTGAGAACTACTTCAACCCCAAGACCAAGAAGTGGACCTCCAAGTCTACTGATGCCGCTGGTCAGCCCCTTGAGCGTGCCTTCAACATGTTCATCCTGGACCCTATCTACAAGATCTTCGACTCCGTCATGAACTTCAAGAAGGACCAGGTCGATACTCTTCTTACCAAGCTTGAGATCAACCTCAAGGCCGAGGAGAGAGATCTCGAGGGCAAGCAGCTCCTCAAGGTCGTCATGCGCAAGTTCTTGCCTGCTGGTGATGCTCTCTTGGAGATGATCTGTATCCATCTTCCCTCCCCCGTCACTGCCCAGAAGTACCGTGTCACCTCCCTCTACGAAGGTCCCATGGACGATGAGTGCGCCATCGGTATCAGAGACTGCAACCCCGCCGGTCCTTTGATGCTTTACGTCTCCAAGATGGTTCCCACCTCCGATAAGGGTCGTTTCTACGCTTTCGGTCGTGTCTTCTCCGGAACCGTCCGTGCCGGTCTCAAGGTCAGAATCCAGGGTCCTAACTACCTCCCTGGCTCCAAGTCCGACCTTTCCGTCAAGTCCATCCAGCGTACCGTCCTCATGATGGGACGTAACGTCGAGGCTATCGATGACTGCCCCGCCGGTAACATTATCGGTCTTGTCGGTGTTGATCAGTTCTTGGTCAAGTCTGGTACCATCACCACCTCCGAGGTTGCCCACAACATGAAGGTCATGAAGTTCTCTGTCTCCCCTGTCGTCCAGGTTGCCGTCGATGTCAAGAACGCCAACGACTTGCCCAAGCTCGTCGAAGGTCTCAAGCGTTTGGCCAAGTCCGATCCCTGTGTCTTGACCTTCACCTCCGACTCCGGTGAGCACATTGTTGCCGGTGCTGGTGAGCTCCATTTGGAGATCTGTTTGAAGGATCTCGAGGAGGACCACGCCCAGGTTCCCCTCAAGTTCGGTGATCCCGTCGTCCAGTACCGTGAGACCGTCACTGCCGAGTCTACCATCGACTGTTTGTCCAAGTCCCCCAACAAGCACAACCGTATCTTCATGCGCGCTCTTCCCCTTAACGATGAGCTTGCCAACGATATCGATGCCGGTAAGATCGGTCCCAAGGACGATTTCAAGATCCGTGCCCGTACCCTCGCTGACAAGTACGAGTGGGATGTTACTGAGGCCCGTAAGATCTGGTGTTTCGGTCCCGATGGCACTGGTCCCAACTTGTTGATTGATGTCACCAAGGCCGTCCAGTACCTTAACGAAATCAAGGATTCCTGCGTTGCCGCTTTCCAGTGGGCCACCAAGGAAGGTCCCGTTGCTGAGGAGAACATGCGTGGTATCCGTTTCAACATCCTCGATGTTGTTCTCCACGCTGATGCTATCCACAGAGGTGGTGGACAGATCATCCCCACCTGTCGCCGTGTCATCTACGCCTCCGTCCTTACCGCCACCCCCGGTATCCAGGAGCCCGTCTACCTCGTCGAGATCCAGTGCCCCGACTCCGTCATCGGTGGTATCTACTCTTGCCTCAACAGACGCCGTGGTATGGTCTTCTCTGAGGAGCAGCGTCCCGGTACCCCCATCATGACCGTCAAGGCTTACTTGCCCATTAACGAGTCCTTCGGTTTCACCGCCGATCTCCGTGCTGCCACTGCTGGTCAGGCCTTCCCCCAGGCTGTCTTCGATCACTGGCAGAACATGACCGGTAACCCTCTCGAGGCTGGTAACAAGGTCTACGACATCATCCGTGCTGTCCGTAAGAGAAAGGGTCTTACCGAGGATATCCCCGGTCTCGACAAGTACTACGACAAGCTCTAAATCTTTTTTTTCATATTTACCAAACTATCTTCCTCTTTTACACTCAAACTCTCAATAAAATGTGCTGTGTATACGAAATGAATCATAAAGTTGTCTATAGAAATGTGTGCTGTTTTTTTTTGGTCATTTTTTAATAGGTTAGGTTTTAATAAATGCTATAGTTGATTTGATGTGTTTTTGGGAAGATAGATAAGGTTGATAGTAATAATTTTTGAAATGTCTTGTAAGTAAAAAAAAAAACATCGTTAAAAGAAATGACTTCTTTAATTTCGATGTAATTTAAATTTATCTTATTTTATTTTTAATAACAAAAAATAACGATTGTTTTTTGCTGCGTATTATTATAATTTTATGCTTGGACGTTTAATTTTATTACAAACAAGATCACGCCTGAGGCTGGTTACCTTTCCTGCAAGATCATTACGTCCTGTCTTACAATGGAAGCAATGTCAGCCAGTTGTTCTTAGACAGACACACACTCTTGGTAAATGGAAAGCTGCCTCTGCTGAGAATGGCATTGACATTTCTGACAAAGCAATCAAGGCAAGCATAATGATCAACTTGCTCTTCATTTATTATCCTTTTTCTTTCTTTCTTTACTTTACTTTACTTTATTTATTAACTTGTTTGATCTAATCATCAGCAATTGAAATGGATTGCTTCTCGAGATCACGATGACAATTTGATGCTGAGAATTATTGTGGATTCAGGAGGCTGCCACGGTTATCAGAACAAACTCGAACTGACTACTGAAGTTAACCCTGATGACACGTAATATGACCAAATGACCATAAAAGCAATTATGGGCGTCAATAGGAATAATCATGTTCTTACAAATTTTGCTGTATTGTAGAGTATTTGAGAAGGAAGGTGTACGTGTGGTTGTGGATGAAATATCGCTTCCATTTGTGCGTGGATCAAAAGTAGATTTTGTGGAAGAATTGATCGGATCGACCTTTCAAGTAGTTGAAAACCCCAATGCCAAGAATAGTTGTGGTTGCAACATTTCATATGATATCGATATTGATAAGATTTCACAGACCTCAAGTTAGAGCATTTACTTTTATAGTGGAATAATAAATAATAAATAAAATAATAGCCATGTTGATTCCTTATAAATCAATTTACAGGGCATGTTTGATCCTTTCAATATGACAATCAACCGACAATTTCCTATTGGTTTGTATAGCTGTGATGATAGCGACCTAATTACAACAGCAACAACAATATAAAAAAAAAGATATTTTTCAACTCAAGAAGTCGATCTAGTAACTGATTAACTTTAGTACCCATCTTCAGATTGCTGAAAGATAGGAAATTACCAATGAATAAAGAAAGAATTGAGTATGGCTACGCCTTTTGGTGTGAGCAACATCAACACGGTACATAACAATTAAGTATAAAAAGGACCTTTGTTATGTGCGTGTTCGCAAATATATTCAATTAAGACTTTATCAGATACATATTCGGTATAGAAAGACAAAGTGCAAAAGAAAAATCTTGTAAAAATACAACTCGATTTGATGAATACAATTCATTTGGAACTTTCTATTTGAGCTTTTATATACTTACCTTTTACTTTCAAGTAAAATTGCTTTTGGTTCCATCAAAGTTCCTTTAACTTTCAGTTTTTACCATTAGCTTTTCTTAATATCTCGATGAATTAAATAATATGGTTCCTTTTCTGGCTCTCCGGCCAGTGCAGCTTTAGTGTGAATCAAATAAAATAGATCATATTTATTACCTTCTCTATTATTCTTCTGTTCTTTTCTTACATATATATATATAGCCTTTAGATATGTTTATTTTTTTCATAAAGCCTGTATTGGTGGTTAATAATAGTAGGTCATGACCAACCAATAGGAATAACCTCACTAGTCATCCTGAATAAATTTTACAGCTAAGCATGGGTAATCAATTTACCCTAAAGATCTGCCAATCTTTACTTAACAAAACTAGTAATTCAAAGGTGTTTTATCTCAAGCTTATTTTTTTATACTAAGCTAGAAAAGAAAGGTAAATATATTTACCACAGCTATTTTACAGTGCAAAGAATAACTTACACATTCTTGCTTTTACCATACGTATCAGTCCAGATCAAGGCATAATAGACTCCATTAATTTTTTTATTTATCTTTAGAAATATCATCATCACTAATATATATATATGAATATGGATATTTAAATTTCTTTATAAATTTCATCATTCTTTAGTTTGAAATGGTGTTTCTTAATTGTATAGGTGTGTATATTAACGTCATGAAGTTGGATAAACTTGAATGCAGTAGATTGGCAGTTGGGAATCCGTGTGTCATTTTCAATATCGATTGGGTAGGACTCATACCCAAAAAATAATAATAATTAAACAACGAGCCGCCTTGAATGATTAAATTACATTTTATTGAGCATGGTGTAATTCTGTGATCAATTAATTGTTGTCCAATAAATGAAAAAGAAAAAAACTTCTTTAGTACAATCTTGTCATGACAGAAAAACATATTTTTTTTTTGGGTTTGACACTCTCAAGATGTCTAGCTCTGTATAACATGTACTGTGTAGAGAATTCTATTTGAGTGACAAATAATCTTACAAAAGATACTACAAAAGACATATTTTGCTTGTTTAATTTTACTGGACCGAAATTTTGGATACGGGCTCACATGTACAGACACGTTCTGTGTGACAATAAAAGCTACTGCTGTACATTGACCAGCGCAAGTTTATTCTCGGGATATTCGTAGCAAAAATTTTCTTTCTTTAATTAGAGAACATTATTCTTTTCTTTCTTTTAAAATGTTCTCCATCTATTATATTTATTTAAAAGGCTATAGCTATCTATGCATTTTAACATGCATATTTTCGAAGATGGTTGGGACCAGCTAGTGACGGTGTTTCGGATGATTCCTGATACCCCGCAATCTGAGCACCATGTTGACTTTCGATGCTAGACCTCTAGATAATACATAGCGTTTTCTCTTTTTATACCAGCTTATAAAAAAAAAAGGGTATCAGACTAACTCGAAGTAAAGGTTTCTTTAAAGACTTTATTATCAAAGTAATGAAAGGAAAAGAAAGGAAAAACGTAACAATCCGTTCTGTACATTAAGACCCAAGATGTTGGAGTTCGAGCTGCTATAAATCCAACACAGACGTGACTTTTATTTCATGATTTTGAACCACGCTTTCATATCCTTTGGGAAATAGCTCTGGTTGATTTGGAGGGACAGGTACGCAGAATGCGACGTCTTGTGCTGTGGATAGATTCTAGCCAATTTCATTTGTCAATTTCTCGGAAGGATAGTGATGACGTCGAAAGACACTTAAAGTACAGTTCTTACCGATACCCTTATTCCACCACAACAACCCCCCTGGCTTGGTCCAAGAGATCCAATCAAATGTGGTAGCGGCTACTCGGATTCCAAATAAAAAATTTTCATTCATCGGGAGATATAAAGGAAAGGACCTGGTTTGCCGTTTTGATAACCTTCCTCTTCCCCTAACCCCTCTCCTTCACTAAGCAATGGCTGCTCAGGATTCCAACAAGTTCGTCATCGTAAGTACTCGAGCACAATCATCAACACAGACACACATACACACAGACACACAGACATACACACACACATTATGCTGTCTTCAGTAAACTCATAATACCCTTCAACAATATAGGACTTCCTTATGGGTGGTGTCTCCGCCGCTGTCTCCAAGACTGCTGCTGCCCCCATTGAGCGTATCAAGCTCTTGATCCAGAACCAGGACGAGATGATCAAGCAGGGTCGTCTTGCATCCCCCTACAAGGGTATCAGCGACTGCTTCTCCCGTACCGTTAAGGACGAGGGTATGGCTGCCATGTGGCGCGGAAACACCGCCAACGTCATCCGTTACTTCCCTACCCAGGCCCTTAACTTCGCCTTCAAGGATAAGTTCAAGCGCATGTTCAACAAGGACAAGAAGAAGGATGGTTACTGGCCCTGGTTCGCTGGCAACCTTGCCTCCGGTGGTGCCGCTGGTGCCTGTTCCCTCTTCTTCGTTTACTCCCTCGATTACGCACGTACTCGTCTCGCCAACGATGCCAAGTCCTCCAAGAAGGGTGGTGAACGTCAGTTCAAGGGTCTCGTCGATGTCTACCGCAAGACCATTGCCTCCGATGGTATTGCCGGTCTCTACCGTGGTTTCAACATCTCCTGCGTTGGTATCATCGTTTACCGTGGTCTCTACTTCGGTATGTACGATTCCATCAAGCCCATCATGCCCGAGAACCTCCAGAGCAGCTTCTTGGCTACTTTCTTGCTCGGCTGGGCTGTTACCACTGGTGCTGGTCTTGGTAAGTTTATCTTTATTATTTGTGCTCTAGACAGAAGAGTTGGATTTTTTTGCAATAGAATATCTTTTATTCATATAATTCTCGTTTTATTTAGCTTCCTACCCCATCGATACCGTCCGCCGTAGAATGATGATGACTTCCGGTGCTGCCGTCAAGTACGACTCTTCCCTTCACGCCTTGAAGGAGATCGTCGCCAAGGAGGGTACCAAGTCTCTCTTCAAGGGTGCCGGTGCTAACATTCTCCGTGCCATTGCTGGTGCTGGTGTTCTTTCCGGTTACGATCAGCTCCAGTTGATCATGTTCGGTAAGAAGTTCGCTTAAGCGTCTTTCTTTAAGAAGCATTGATTCTCCCGATATTTCCAATCTACATCTATCGGTTTCTTCAAAATTTCCATAAAAAACCGAGTTGCATTTTTTACGCGCTCTTTTGTTTCAAATAAAAAAAATATCAACAAAGAAAAAAAAAACTTAGACTCAGCCCCCCCCCCTGGTCGACTGAAATTTAGCGTTATTTCAAATTATAAATTTTGAAAGTAGTATTTGCGAACATTTTAGACTTTCTGGACCTTAGGTTTGGTAGAATAAGTAATGTACTCAATGCAATTCAATGGAAATATACTACCAAGATATATAGTGAAAGATAGTAATAGCACATCTCCTGAAATAGTCTAAGTTGGCGTTAGCCGCAGTGCTTATTAATTATGCTTGCCGCACTCGCCAAGAAAACTTTTTGACAGGTTAACAAATCCTGTACAAAAGAAACTATATGATGTTTAGTAGCCATCTATAATCTTTACTTGACCGAAAGAAGAATGCAGAATTCTGTAGGATGGTCTTATCTGTAAATCCTTGTCCTCGCTCTACTAATTCACTGTTAAAAAAAACCCCTCCTTTCATACACATTCTGGTAGATCTATAAGTTCAAGGCAAAATGGCTCTCTATAATAAGCACGTGATAATAAAGTCCAACTTTTTAATATTCAGTCCACCTCCGCAAGAGTTTAATATTTTAGAAATAAAAATTACCATTGAATTATCAATTGGCCGCATAATTCTCGTATATTATCTCTTGAAGTTGAATGTCCAAGTCTACAGTAGAATGATTAAACAAAAGTCATTACAGAATCCAATATATATAAATATATGAGAACTGAATATATATTACTTTTAATTTTACTTAGAAAAACAACAACAACTCTATACTATAGTTGACAGCTACGAATCTTTAAAGAATAATCTGCTTGATATTATCGGCGTAAATGTCAAGCATAGATAATTTTCTTGAAAATTCATAATCGTTTTGAGGAATCTCGATTTTTTTATCGCTAACCAAATAATAATTTGGTAAACCTTCAAGATCCAAATTGATATAAGAGACTGTCAAGATTATCGTAGTTATGTTATCTGTTACCCACATTGTTATTTTCAATTAATATATTCTTAATATCAGCTCGGAGTATCTCAGAAAAGAGATAATACGAGTGTTAAAGTAGTACTCCATAATTATGTGCAGATGTGAATAGACAAACAAAATAAAATAAGGAAAAATAGGCTCCTTAAATTTTACTACTCATGCTTGCATGCGATCTTGCATACATTGAATGTAAAAATTATGAATGGATAATTCAGTTTCAGGTTTATAGCACAGGGAAGCTACATATAGCTTTAATACCAAGACAGCCAAAGAGTGTATATGTAGGCTTCTCATCCCAAAAAAAATGAAGCATGAAACTCTTCGCAAAGAATGTGGATTTATACTTTGAATTCATTCATTGAGTGGAAAAGGTGCCAGGGGTTGACATCGCTGGTGTTTGTATATTTGTATTGTAACCGTCATAGCAAATTTTTGGTAGCGGAGAAAGAGAGGACGGTCAGATACCCAAAACGCGTCCTGCCACCATAAAGACGCTTTCATTTTTCATTTTCATTTTATTTTTTCATATATTATATATATAATATTTATATCACAGCTCATTTTTATTTTTTTTACAAAAAAATAAAGTCTTTTTTTTTTTACTTCTTATTTCTTGTTTGAAATCGTCGCACCCTTAAATCGATGATCCAACCTAAACAAGAACTTCCTACGTGGAAGGAAGAAGCCAAGGACTTGCACACCTACATCTGCGAAGCACGTACACCAAATTCAACTATTGCACCTAGCCAACTTCGAATCCATCTTCGGCTGAATAAACCAATCTTATTACGATTATTGGATAATTATCCTAAAAACAATGACCACAGATCGCTTCTCCAAACTGGTATGACCTTCTCGTCATGGCCTTGATTTTAGGCTCGGGACTCACTTTGTCATGATTAGGCAAAACCTATATTAATGGAATCGAAAACAAGGTCAACGAAGCATTTGCCAAAGACGCCATTTTTTTGTCTGATCACCTCGATATGAACGAATTTGAAGCCTCATCATTGTTGATGAAAGGCATTAATGAAGCGTTTTCATCAGAAACACTTGCTCTCGAGGCTGCATTAGTTATATATTACAACGAACGAGAGTACTTGCTGACTTGCCTTGATGTAATCTTGCGATCTGCAAAAGACGCATCAGTGAAAGATTCGATTCGATTAGTATTCCAACAGTTTGCTACAGAACTTGCAGAAGAAAGCATTCCTCTCAATCAACAGAATAACAGCCCGAAAGCAAGTTTGATAGCCAAAATACTTGGAACATCAAAGAAAATTACCGAGAATATTAACGAATTATCCAAGCCAACACCTGCACCTGCACCTGCACCTGCACCAGCCCCAAACCCAGCACCAGCCAACACATCTACACAATTTACAGGATTTATGACAAAACCAACAACCCAACCAACGGCACAACAACAACAACAACCACAGCCAGAAACAAAATTGACAGAGAATCTTAAAAAACTTGGAAAAGAACATTTGGCAGAAGAGCAAATCTACTTGGTACAGATTCTCTACCATATTGGCTCACTTTTTTGGATCAAGACAGGAGACTTGTCAAGCATGATTGAAGCATTGAAGCAATCTCATTTGCTCAATGCTACCACACCGTATCTCACCCTTGCCATTATTTCAGCCATGTCTACTGTCAAATATATAGATGCACAGAACGGAATTTACAGTGCAGACTCAATCAAAAAAATTACTGCGCTCATAAATGATAATACATGGAAGGTCGTTACACTCAAGCAAACTGTGTTCTTCCGCTGGGCACTGCTCCTAACATACATCGCAAAAAAGCATCCTGAAATATCATCAGCAGGAGGCATTACAGAAGCTGAAAGAGAAACAATATTCGAAAATGCCATATCAGAGAATGTTTTTGAATTCATGAGCGACTATCTGCTGTACTTCCAACAAAAGACTCTTACTACTGATGTAGAACGCAAAACAGTAACAGACATGGGATTAAAAGAGAATGATATGATAGTGGATGGCTTAAGGATTGATCCAAGTGATTATACAAAATTCAGTGCAGATATCTGGCCAGAGTTTCAGCTATTCATAATATACGATCTGGAGCTTCTGGTTTTGGACTTCATTGAATTAGTGCCAAATATTCTCCCAAAAATCAGAATTCGCGAAGAAGACAAGGCTTCTACCAACACAACCAATCTATCCGAACGATCATCATCCAAGTCTGAAGAAAAAGAACGTAAACCAAGTGATCTTGAAATGTTCTTCAAGCTTCTAGCTAGTGTTTATCGTAACCGTACCGGTGCTGGCATTCGCTTCTGGTCACATGAGCGTTCTTGTTTCCATTCTTTTTTGAGATGGGCTACTGACTTGCGCGTCCCAGGTACCGTACGTGCTGTTTACGAATTTCTGGGAACAATTGCTTCTGGAGAGGACTGTGCAGAATCCGCATTCAATTTCCTTGAACAAGGCACCAATCGAACTCATTTAACATCGAGCAGCTTATTTTCATGGGGGAAGTTGTTTGCAGCATTCCATTTTTATATTCCTCTTCTTCAGAAAAACACTCGATCAAACCCCCAATACTTCCCCCCTGAAGAAGAAGAACTTCTGATAACCTTCCTTTACCTTCTCAGACAGGTCGTTCAATACTCACAGAATGCTCGTTCTGTTCTCTGGAATGATCCAATCATGCGTGTTTTTGACTGTCTCGTAGAAATGCTCAGCTGCCCTACTTCTATTATGCTCCGAGCATCTCTTTACCATACTTTGGCTGCATTTTGCTCTCCATGGGGAGGAGGAGGTGATGGAAATGGCAAGAGGATCGCAGTTCAAGTCTGGAATGTCATCGAAGAAAGTAATTTCCCTAGCCAGAATAAGCAGCAAACCATGACAGAAACAGTAACATCGTATGGAACTCATGTCAATATTATGAATGTTCCCAAGAACACTCAAACACATTACATTCATCAATACCCCACCTACTTGCTCAAGGCATTGGAGCAAGAAAAGAAAAACGAAAAATGTACAGAGACTTTGGCTATTCTCGATCTCCTGGCTTCAATGATACACACCCAGACCAGACAAGAGGCATTGTCGAATGGTTTTACACCTAATACACCAAGTGTTCCTTCAGATCTTGGTCAGGGCACACGTACACCAGGTGCTGGTCCATATATATCACTTATTATCGATAACGTCTTTTTGGAACTCGATAAGCGCACGAACCTCACAAAAGAGCGCCAGTGGGAATTAACTGAAGCGTGTCTCAAAATCCTTGAGAACAGTGTCATTTCTTTTGATGTTCAGCCAATTCTTAGCTTCCCGGTGGATGAACTCATTGCCTATGTCAAGGAACACACCAAACCATTCTTGGAGATACGTAACATAGCCAACCAGAGCCATGAGATCGAAATTCTTAAAAAAGTGGTGTTGATTTACATGACTCACCCAGGCTATGAAGTTATCATACGCATCTTAACATCCACGTCTCTTACCTCTGCTCTATTCAAAATTGTCCAAAGTGTTGGGGAAAATACAAAGAATAAGCAGGCCATGCGATGTGTTATGCGATGCTTACGGATTTTTAACCAAATCATGGAGATCCAAAATGTATTTGTCAGTTTACTGGTACCTTGCATCAATGCACTCTCGACCAAGCTACCAAATGGAAACTACAAAATTTCGGATTTCATTTTTATGCCGTTCCCCTCATTTACATCTCTCAGCAAGTCGATGCTTTATCATCCCAAGATTATCTCGGAGATTGCCTTGTTGATCAACTGCACCGAAGAAGAGGAGATTTGCTTGTTGAGTATACGTATTTTGCGCGCTCTTTCACGTGAATCTTCTTATAATGATCTCGAAAAGAGAAATGTGAAGTGCAATACCCTTAACAAGGACATGGGAGGTATTGGAACACAGTTGGCTCTTTTATTGAAAGAAAGTCCAGACGCAGAGTCTATCTTATATGCGTTTAGCGATCAGCTAAAGGTGGACCAGCCAGAAGTAACATCTGCAGAAGATTACGAGTATGATATCAACAATATCCCATTCTGGCAGGCAACAGTGGAACCCGAAGACTCTTACCGTTCTGCAGATACATTTGAACCTCAAGCTTATAGCTCTACCCGTATAAATATTATGGACATGTTTATTGAGAATACTATCCATGGAAAGCCTGTACCTTCAGTGGCACACTTCTTACTTGGCTACTATGTTTTCCAGCCATCAACACAAAACAAGGTACAAGCAATTGGACATCAGGACGCTAGACTTGTGTGTCTTCAGGCAATTCTGGATATGATGCAGGGATCACTATCTAGCCAAGACGACACAAATATCAATTCGAGCTTTGTAACAGCTCCTTCTACATCATTTGAGATCACACATCCATTGATCGCAGAAAAATGCCATCGTATAATCTATCAACTATGCGCCAAGAAGACCATCTCTCTTCCTATCCTCAATTACTTGCGCAACCGTGATAACCATATTTACAGTCAGCTCAAAGCATTACCTGCACGCATCGAAGTGAATGCCAATGTCGCTACACCTGTATTCCCGGGTTTGATAGTCTGCTCCGATGGAAGTAAGGTCCTTACGGACTTTTGCACTCTACGAGCTCAGCTACACGGTCGTGCCTGGTTATTGAAGTTGGTCGCCTTGGATATACATATGGCCGTTGGTACCAAGAAAAAGTCTAGCATCCAGCCTTTATTGGATCTTTTATTTGACCAAGAGAAAATAGCCAGTAACTCTGGGGAATATAGCAACTCGTTCTTCTCATCTCGCACTGCTGAAATCCACCAATCTCTTCCCAGACTTGTCGAGACCTTCTGTTCCCTTGATTTTACATGGATTGATGCCCTGGATAGAGAACCGCCCAAGCCGTCAGTCTATCTGTCTCAATTTGATCCAAAGCAATTTGAGTTCACTACTGAGGAAGGTTATGTTCTCTATGATATCCGGGCAGCTTACCGTCACTTCCGAAGAATTATCCAGCATAAACTGACTCCACAAGCTGGCTTAGCTGAATTAGAAGCCGAGACTACAGATCGACTGGGACGCTTAATGTCAGAGAATCATAGGCGCGAGATAACACATGCTAAGATGCATTGTCTTCGTGCTTGGCGCCAAGTTATCCAGGTGGTTCTTCTGGAGTGCTTTGATGAATTCTCATTGGCAGCCCGCAAGAAGATTACTTATACACTCTTAAACAATCTTTTGGAGAGAATCAGAAAACCGGCAGGTCTTGATCAAGATGTCCTTGAAAACTTATGTGATATTGTTCTCACACTATTGATACGTTCTGGCCAGGATAACGATACTTCAGGCTGGGTCGGTCTCACACCTGATTCACCGCTTTCTGACACTCACATTCGCAGTCTTTATCAAGAAATGCTTCAACACATTAAAATCCAGCCAACTACAAAAGAAGTTCAGAAAGAAGACACAGAAAAGATTGCTTTACCCCAACTGTCTTTCTTGATCCACTCAACCATCAATTGAACTAGTCATCCTCATTGATTCCCACTACCTCTTTACTCGCTTTTTTTTATATTTCTATTCTTCCAATCTATATGAATGTATATAAAACATCACAAGTATACATAATATTCACGAAATATCAACTCTCGTTAAAATAAATACAAAAAAATACTGTTTATTATTCTAAATACACTCCTTTATAAAGTTCAAGATACCATTGATATTTCTATACTTTTCAAATCCAGTGTAATATATGTCGAACTAAAAAAAACACTGCATTTTAATTATCATTGAGGGTTTAAATAAGGCTCAATTAAAGCAATGACCATTCCACATATAAGGGATAATATACTTTTTGGAAATGCTTTACTTTTTCCCTCAGAACATATGATATAAGCTAAAGGTTACTCAGGTTCAAGAACACACAAGGTTTGAACGATAATAATCAGGTAGCTTATATATATATTATACAAATATGGTGTAATAGTAGTAATACGATTATTAATAGAATGCCTTTTAATAGAAACAAGAGGAAAACTATAAAGCAGCAAGTAGAAATCAATCGTACAACATTTGTGATGATGGTAACAGTATTTGGTGGTCTTATTGTTCTTTATATTGTTCACTTGTTAGTTATTTTCCCAAAGTTAATTTTACAGTGTTTCTGTAAAGTTATTTTATCAGAATTGAACCAGTTTCTATAAGTGCACTACTTCTGTGGCTTACATAAGTATCAGGTTAATTGTCCTTCATTACTATGATTAATAACCGTTATTTTTTTATTGTTGTTGAGATATTTACAGGTGTGCTGAAATGGGTCCTGAATGAGTGAAATAGTAAAAGTATACTATAATGAAAGACAAGCAGTTCCTTTCTCTTTACTTGTAATATATGTTTTTTAAGTATAAATTGCTCTGGATATAAACGATCTCGTTACTTTGAGAATATCAATGTTATTATGAGTTCTTGGGTCTATCTGATGACACTAGCCAGTCGTCAAATATGAATCATTTTGACAAAATTGATGATGGTTAAATATCTCAACTATTTTTCCGGGTTTACTAATTTCGAGTGCATATTAGCAACTCTAGCCACTAAAAATACACAAGTGCCTTGAATAGGATTCTATGGTACGTCTTTGATTGGTATTTAGTCGAGTACCCTTCTTTCTCAGGCAACAAATACATAGGCGGAGCTGAATGTTTTTGATCTGCCATATAGATGTTGCACACGACAACAAAGAAGTAAGGGTGAGAATATTCTACTCAGAATGAAAAAGGTATATCCTGGTTTATTGAAATGCTTTTATTTAAATACAACATGTTCTTCCGTAAATCCGGAAACCACTGTGCACCTTTTAAACGTCGTTCATATTATAATATACTTGAGCCACCTGATTGTCATAATTAAAGTCATAACTTTTCTTGAAACCAAGTAACTTTTTTCTTCTATCGTATGTTTTGGGGAAGAAGAACAAGATAATTCTGCAAAAATACACTTTCAAGAAGTATATCATCCCTCAAATGTGGAACGGGCATTGCTTTATCTGAGCCTTATTTAAACTCCCAGGACAACTAGAATGCAACGAACTTTTTTTTTTTGCTTCAACATATATTACACCAGTTTCGAAAATTACATAGAAAAAAAGGAATGGGACCTTGAATTGCACATTGAACATCACAAACAAATATATCCATAGTAATAACCAACCACTTATTTATTTCAACAAAAAGGATCTATAATATGTGCAGATTATTTATACCCGTGATATTCTACATACATACATATAGAGTTGAAAAAAACCAATATATAAAAGTGAATAAAGGTGCAGTGGGGTGTAATGAGGATGTCTAGTTTACTGGAGGGTCGAGTAATCAAGAAGAAAGCCTGGGCCACGGTCGTCTTCTCTTTGTCCTCTGGTTGAACCTCTTTTGTAATCGGCTGAATTTTAATATGCTGTATTATCTATTGGTAAATAAAAAACCAAGAATATGAATATTAGAGAACTGTGAATTAGACATGATGTTAACCAAACTTCATTTATTATCATTTTAGCAGAGTTTATCAGGGGCGCAAGAGAACTAGCCCTAAACTCTCCATAATATCTTGATGAAGTCCTGTTGCATTTTATGACTTCTTCAAAAAGGTGTTTAGGTGTGTATGAGTAAGCATTTTGCGGGTTGACAATATCAAAAGGCTTTCTTGTAGCACGCTTGTGATTCATTATTCAACTGGCGCGTATTTTGCCTCCTTCCAGATCAAACTTTTCGTTTTGTTGGATCGAAGAGATTCATGCGGATCACAAAGTATAGAATTGGGCAAAATCTATCCCTTCCCGCTTTTTTGTGTATTTTCAACTTGTTTACTTTTCGTTGCGCGTTAACTTTCTTCCACTAGCAATATAAATACTTTCTTTTCTTTGTCTACAGCTATCTTTTCTTTGTGATTTTTCCCTCTCTTCCCCTACCACCCACGCTTACAAGAACTATTAATACACTTTCATTATTATATATATAATGGCAGACAGTGAAAGTATTAGCTCATGCAAGACTCAGCCGAATGAAGTTATAGAACTCCCAAAAAATTCGATTGATAAAGAGAAACAACTAAATTACGAAGAAAAGCAAGAGGCAGATCAACCTAACTATGAAATCGAGAATCAAGCAACATATCAGCACATCCTAGAAGCCGCTCCATTCCCCGCATTTGCTTCAATTGAAGAGATTACACGTACACTTACAAACACAAAAAGTATGCACACATGTACTAGCAAGGAGCACAAAGATGATGTCGAAACTGGCCAGACCGAGGAAGTGCTTACCGTCACAACATATCCCGAGCCTCTGGCTTCAGAAGGTCTTTCAAATCGGGGTTGGCTCGTTGTGTTATCTACCTTTCTGGTAAACTTTTACGCTTTTGGTACCGTATTTAGTTGGGGAAATTACCAGCGTCTGTAAGTATAACTATCATATGTCGTCTGATATACTAGATAATCCAGAAAGTTTAGTACACTAAGTTAAATAATCTTTTATATAATAATAATAAAATAGATATCTAGAAGACGTTTACAAGGGCAGCACCGATCAATTCCGTATAGCCTTTGTAGGCACATCAGCTACCGCAATGCTTCTATCCACCGGATTGTTCATCACACCTTTTATCGAAAGATTAGGCTACAGAGGAACTATGGTAATTGGGTCCATTTTGACACCTCTTGGCCTGATTCTCGCAAGCTTTGCTACCCAGCTTTGGCACGTCTATCTTTCTCAAGGGATTCTATTTGGTTTTGGTGCAGCATTTGTCTTTTCGCCATCAATCACTCTGCCTTCTCAATGGTTTGTCAGAAACCGTGCCTTTGCAACAGGAATTGCTGTCAGTGGATCTGGTATTGGTGGAGTTGCACTTTCGCCAATGACACAATATTTAATTTCTACAGTTGGATACAGAAATAGTTTGCGTGTTATGGGGGGTATGGGCTTTGGTATTCTTGGTATTGCTACATGTTTAGCCTTTTCTCGTTGGAGACCAGCCCCCAGTAAGAACTCGGGTATCTTTTCAATTTTTGACAGATCCATTATAAGCAAGCACTACTTGATCCTTTTGCTGTTTGGATTTCTGGCTCCTTTTGGTTATATCGGCCCATTTTTCTTGGCACCAACCTATGCATCACATATCGGAGCCGATAGCTCTACTGGCGCTTCTCTTGTAGCTATTATGTCAGCCATGAATGCCATCTCTCGTATTGTTCTAGGGTACATGGCAGATTACTCTGGTCGGTTCAATACAATTTTTGCCTGTACATTCTTCGCTGGTATGTAATAGAAATAACAGTCGAGGTTGACCGCACAAGAAATGAAACTAATACTTAAGGGTTTAGGTTTGTTCACTATGCTTATCTGGCAGAACTCATCCACCTACGGTATTTATTCTGCTTATACAGTCCTGTATGGACTTACAGGAGGCGGCTTTGTATCTCTCTTCCCAGTGGTTACCGCCGATATTGTAGGTGTCCAGAACATTCAACGTGGACTTAGTTTATGCTATCTGGCCACAACCCTTGGAAACTTGCTTGGTACACCTATTGCAGGTGCCCTCCAGTCTGCATATGGGTGGACAGCAGCTATACAATTCTCTGGCGCACCTTCCGTCCTAGCAGCTTTAGTCATTTTGACTCTACGAATGATGCGCAGCAAGGGAAAGATATTTGTAAAAATCTAGTTTACTCTACATACTTTAGATTCACCCTCATTCCACTTGTATATAATATATATCCACTTAATTAATAGAAACTCTTAAAGCCTGAGGCTACTGATATTCTTCTAGTAAGATTTATCAGCTCAATATAATACAACCACCTTTACAATGTTTATCAGTATAAAATATTGCATGAATACACCACGCAAAGCATTTTCATGATACCACGAATCTAAAGTTGGGTATCATTTTGTCTTCATTTAAATGTCGATTTTTATATAAGAGCAAAGCTTACAACTTTTTAAATTTATCATGGTTTCATATATTGAGTATTTTGAAAGTGTTTATATATAATAATTGAGCTTCTCTCCCCTTTGAAATATCACATAGTTATAATATTTTAATATAATAAGATTCTTGTCAACCTTTCACTTGTTGGTGTAGCCCGGACTTCTTCTTGTCTTTTACAGAATAAGTCTTGGACAGGATTGTCTTTTGCAACTTTGAACTCCATCGCATCCAAAATATGTTTTCTATCATACTTGGCCTCTTTACCCAATCGGATCCAAATAATACTTCTTCGCCTTGTTCGTTTATCACCCATATGGTCCGATCCGATCGTATTTTACAGGTAAGTACACGATCACCAAGGTCAATATAGCTTTTGTGATTTTTGAATTGTACGCGCTGAGGACTCATATCAATCAATCTTTGACTCGACTTGATAAACTGATGAAGTATGTGAGCTTCTTTAAGATACGCCAAGTAAACAGACATATACTCCATCATGCCAGTAATAAATATCATAACGATACTCATAACCCAAAAGCTTTTGCGACATTGATTTAAATGGTACTTGAAGCCACGCCAAAAAGGAATGCCATAGATATAAAAATGATCAATGCGTTCACGACTGTCAGGGTTGCGCAAAAGAGGGGCAGCCTTTTCAAGACATTTAAAGGTAGAAGTATACCGTGGGTTTGTAGAAGGACTAATTTACGAAGAAAAATTTTATCATTATTTGCTTTTGAAGAAATCAAACATTATTCTATTTCTTTTGGATATCTCACTTACTGCCATTCGACTGTCTTTCGTCGAAGGATAGCATTGAGTTCAGAAAATGAAGAAGTTGGCTATTTTGTATTGAATTGATTAATCTCATCTCAACTATATCTATATACACTTATATCTATATATAAGATTATATCATACTTACAGGAACTTCAAGCCATGTATAAATATCAATATATTTTCCTTCTATTTTTTTGATCTCATCCAACACATTTAGGATGGCATGATCGACTAATATACTTTTTATTAGATTATGTTTTTTTTTTAAAAAAAACATACGTTAAAGAGGAATATTTCTCTACCTTTAGTCCAAGATGGTAATCTCGACAAAAGAAGGAATATCACTACACAAATTGCTAGTGATAGTCTTTGCATTATCTACAAAGTAACGAAAAGAAGAAGGGAAAAATACATCAACGGAGTTTTCTCTGATCAAGATCTAATTCTCTTTATCTATAATAATCAGGTTGGTTTCTTGTAGAGATTTTTATCATTATTTAGTCAATCTTTGGAGATCTTGTTTGGCTAGGATGCATAGGTTAATAAATTCCTTTTATAGACATTCTAGAATGCCATTTATCTTTGAGAATTAAGAAGTATATGATATATATAAAAAAGAGAGAAAGCATGAAACCGAGTCAGCCTACTTTGCGTCACTTAAATATCAATGACATCACATTGGTCCAAACAGTGGTGTATATAGCGATTATTCTTGTATCTTTTTGGTTCAGCACTGATCATCTGTTGGGTCTTTAAGTGTGCGCGATGCCAAAGTATTATTGTGGTAAGATGGCCAGAGAACGCATTGGTGCATAATACACGATCGGATCCTAAGATTTGCTTGTAGAATACTGCGATATTTTCCTGACACACGACAGTTGTAAGTATACCTATCGGTGGCCTCACAAAGACAATGTTTTTTTTTTTGCATTCTTTTTCTTTTGTAGAATTACGATAATAATAAAATCCTCTTTTTGTATCTTTTTTTTTTACATAGCCTCTGTACGCAAGGCTCATAATGCGGGCAAGAACCATGTATTGAATGTTAGAAATTATTATGCAGGTGCGTAATGAACACATTAGACGGTGTTTTGTGAGCTAAATATTTTTATGGTGGATTAGAGATTGGACAAGACAAAGCACAAGCGATCATTGATGAAATCACAAAAGCATACGAGAATTCTGCATCAGGTAAAAATACGAGAAAAGGGAATCAGCAATTTAGAAAAAAAGGGAGAAAGAGAGATCATAACTGTATAAATTGCGTATAGTATTGCCACCTCAATACGCGGGTTATCCTGTACCTCCTCCTGGTGCATGTAAGTTTTGGATTTTTTTTGGAGAAAAAAACAGAAAGAGATTTGGAAGGACTGAATAGCATATAAACCAATTGGAATCTTGACGACATTTTTTTTTTAAAAAAAAGATGGAGTACCACCACCACACATGTATGGACGTCCACCACCGCATATGATGGGACGCCCACCTGCCGGTTTCCCTCCATTCCCTCCTCCGGGTATGTTTCCTCCCGGACATATGCCTCCTCCAGGTGGTATGCCCCCTCCCGGACATATGCCTCCTGGTGGTATGCCACCTCCTGGACATATGCCTCCTCCTGGACATATGCCTCCTCCCGGCCATATGCCACCTCGTAAGTATAACAACAGTAATGATGTAGGATCTATTGGTGTATCGGAGTGAAGTCTATCGGACAATATTGTAATAGAATAGGGTTTCCCAAAAAAACATGCAGAATGAAAGATAGTAACTATTTGACATTTCTCTCTCTCTTTCTCTTTCATATAATTCAGGTCCGATGTATGGCCAAGGACCTCCTCCTCCTGGATTCTATGGCGGACCTCCTCCTCCTCAGCAATCCGGCCCACCTGTCCACCCACCTTCATCTTAAGATCCCACTCTACTTGTTTTCTGTAGCATTCTAATCGCAAGAACATTCTTTTTTTTATAACAAAAAAAAACAACGATAAAAATAAACCGCACAATCGTATCACAAACCCAAGCTGATAAATCCCGGGAATATTCGATCTTTAAAAGAGTTGACTCACATATATCTTTGGCTGTACTTATCCTTATTTCCCTCTTTCTCTCCTTCTTTCTTTTATCTATTTTCCTACCTACCTTTTCTATCTATTATATTTACTCTTTGGCTTTACATCATGAGTGTTACTTTTGGCGATGTTGAGGCTGCTTGGGCTCGGATAAACGTCACTCGTACGCCTGTCCACACTTGCGCAACATTTGATGCATTGGCTTCTCACACTACACCGGTTGAGTTGTTTTTCAAATGTGAATTATTCCAAAAGACTGGCTGTAAGTGAAAATTTTCCTTTTATGAATGCGTGCATATTTGTAATCGAGAAAAAAAAGGCGAAAAATTCTTATCGTTGATGTACAAAATAAAGCCTTTAAATTTAGAGGTGCAAGTAATGCTGTTGCTATGTTGTCAGACGAGGAAGCTATAAATGGAGTGGTAGCACATTCTACTGGTAATCATGCTCAAGCAATTGCTTTGGCTGCCAAGGCACGTAACATACCTGCTTATGTGGTTATGCCTCACAATGTACCTGAAATCAAAAAGATAGCAGTTCGGGGTTATGGTGGCACTGTCGTTGAATGTAACCCACCACAAAAAGCACGCGAAAAAGCCGTGAGTTTTCTCTTTGAATTAAAATTATTCTCCAAAGTAATGATGTTAAATTAAAGTGTTTGTTTGTTTGTTTCGATATTTGTTTAGGCAAGTGATATCCAGGCATCCACTGGAGCAGTGTTAATCCACCCATTCGAAAATCCTAGGGTGATGGCTGGCCAAGGCACAATTGCCTATGAATTCTTGGAACAGGTGGATCTGGACGCTTTGATTGTTCCCGTGGGAGGAGGAGGAATGATCTCAGGTTGTGCTGTTGCAGCCAAGGGAATCAAACCTACTATTAAGGTGTTTGGTGCAGAACCTGCTGCTGTAGACAAATGTTCTCGTTCCTATAACTCCAAGACACACCAGACTAGCCTTCCGGGATCGACTTCAGTTGCTGACGGATTGCTAACTACTCTTGGCGTGAATGCTTTTCCTATTTTGCTGTCTAGTGTAGATGGCGTGTTTACTGTAACCGAAGAAGAGATTGTCCGTGCCATGAAGTTGGTGTGGACACGGATGAAGCTGATGATTGAACCAAGCTCAGCTGTTGGTGTGGCTGTTGCTCTTTACAACAATGAATTCCAAGAGAGAGTAAAAAAAGATAAACTTGGCCGTATTGGGATTGTGTTGGGAGGTGGAAACGTGGATCCTGCACGGGCTATCGAATTGTTTGAAAGATACAAATAAATGGCACGTGCCTGAAGAATAAAAATCATTCCGCTCATATAATCAATAAGAGGCAAGAAAGGAACATCTCGGAAATCCATACAAAAAATAAATAAATCTTGGGTCATTTTTAATACTTCAAATAATAATAGTAATATAATATAGTATATTATAGTATAGTATAATAGAAAATATATACCATATTGATCATTTAATCGCTTGATTTATTCATTTTATTTGTCAGTTCCTTATTCTTATTACTATTGCCATTAATATTACTATCACTATTAATAATACGTTTTCTTTATCCTTATCCGATTATTATTACTGTTCTACATTCACTTGACAATCTTCCCAAAAAAGTTTAATAATGGGAAACCTTTTCTCCAAGACAAAGGTAAATAACACATAATTCAATACTCTAGCTCATGCATTCAAAGACAGATCCAAATGACTACGAGAAAATTCTGTCAGAGCTTGACGACAGCATTCAAAAGGCACAAATCAGACTATCTGACATCAAGATTCGCGAACGCCGAACAGGTGTCTTGCTTGTCATCTACAGTGCCATCTTGTGGCTAGTCTATGTCGCCTACTGTTTCTTCACTCTTCACAGCCACGACAGCACCTATGAGACGGTCGCACTCACTATTGCACCAGTTGTTGTACTTCCGGTTGTGTAAGTCTGATTATGATGGTGTGAACATGTCAAGTGACTCATTTAACCTGTGGTCATAGGCTCTATTATACCCGTATCTTAGTTCGTTGGGTATACACGCGACGACAAAGCAATGAAGAAGCGCGATTAACAACTCTTAGAGCTCAACAAAAGCTAAAGGTTGAAGAGCTCAAAAAGTCTACTGCTTACTATACAACAAAGTCACTTTTGGAACGTTATGATGGAAAAAAGGAAGAGAACAGAATGCCAGGCAACCAAGGATTTCCCGGACAGGATCTCCGTCAACGAAAACCTGGTAAGTAGAATCGTCCACAGATTAAACGAATAAATATAATTCTCGGATGAATAAGTGTATCTGAGTGGAGTATATTGATATTTTCGGATTTTGTAGCTTCTATGCAACCAGGACACTCTGGACCACAGCCTACAAACAACCCAAACAACAGACAAGGCCCTCAAGGACAGTTCGGTCCTCAGGGTCAACATGGTCAACAAGGACCTCATCAGGTACAAAACCTGACTAATGGACCACAATCACAGCCGCAACAACAGCAACAGCAACAACAACAGCAACAACAAATGACTTTCCGCCCCCAACAGCCCGCACAACCCCAGTGGTATGATAAATTAGTAGATGCATTGGTTGGCGAAGACACTCCAGAAACAAAATATGCTCTGATTTGTGGTCATTGCTTTGCTCACAACGGGCTTGCTCTTGCTCAGGAGATTGAAGTAATCCGTAAGTGAGAAAAAAGGAAGGGGGAGAGGTTTGGTACTATAATAGATGTGGCTAATGATCGGAGCAATAGAATACACTTGTCCCAACTGTAAGAAGTTCAACCCTTCTCGTCGGTCCAGACAGCTTCATCCCGGAGGACCTGTTATGCCAACTAGATCTCCTTCACCCGATCCATTTAGCCAGAGAGGCTCTTCGCCTGCACCATCAATCGATAGTTCTCACCACGATGGCACCAGTTCAATTCCTAAAGTATCTCATGAAGTTACCGAAGATCACCCTAATCATGAACACTCTATTGAACAGAATGGATCATAAATCATTAATTAAAAAAATAAATACCACAAAGAGCAAGAGCAAGAGAAAGAGAGATATAGACACACACACACACATATATATATATATATATATACAGTGATAGTAATAGTGATAAAAATATATAGAGAAAGAAGGAGGAAGATATATATATATATATATATATATAATTATCTTTATATTGTAGCTATTCATATTATTCATATTAGTTCAACTTCAATGGTGAGACGAAGGCAGGGTAGAAATAGCCAAGTAAAGTACTTTAAGAGGAAAAAGCTGGTTTCACTTTACCCACATACAAACACATATATACACACTTCATGATCAGCCTGGATTGAACCACAAGATATTTGGTTTCATTTTGGTTATGAAACTAGTATTTTTATTATTATTATGGTTTTTATGTCTATGCTGTGTCCCGGGTTTTATTATTGAGAAAGGTCATTTGAGGTATAGACTTGCGTGATCTTATATAATATGTATGCATTTGTATTTTCACAAGCTTTGTTCCCTTGATTTTTTATTCTTTTTTCTCTTATTTGATATGATTTTCATAAGAGCATAGATAAATACAAAAAGAAAGTATTCCGAGCAGAATAATCAAGAGCAATAAGATAAAGAGTATTATACAATCATGATTGCAAGTAACATAGAATGAACCTCTACGAGACATTAATGGCCGTCAAAAAAGAAATGATGTGGGAATAACAAGGATATGATCTTTGATAGACACAATGTACAACATCAACTGAATGAACAATGGAACACGAATGTGATACGCTTAAACGTACACTTCTCTAGGATCGGCATATGAAAGGTGTAGACGATATGTTGTACTACAAAAAGCCATTTTTTTTTATGTTGATGATGGCATACCAAGCTACGATCATAAAGGAAATATATGATAATAGACACCGCAAATAAGAATAAATAAATCTACTAGCCATTTAACTAGTTTAAATATCAAGCCGTGTCTATAAAGCACATCATAAGCGACACATAACAGGAGAAAAGAAGGGGGATGAGGACCCTGTTAATATTCTTGGTATCTTACTTTATTCTTTATTCTATTTTTTTGTGAACCACCTTTATTTTATTTTTCATATGTAATTTATTGGAATCACTTCCTGGCTAAACAAAATGACAACCTCATGGCGTGTTTCGGGGCTCTTTATGAGTTTCAAGAGCAAGACGTCGCAGTGCTGTACGCCCTGTGCGGGAAAGCACGGACGATGTTTTCACATGGCCAAGCAGGAGTATTCTTATGGCTTGGTTTGGGACGACTGTTGTCGCACGCGTATATAAAATGGGTCTGGGTACGTATGTTCCATGTATTCCCGCTCTTTCTCTTTTACTTTCTTGCCATGACTGTCTGGAACACAATCACGGTAGAGCAACAGCTTAAATCATATACATAGATACATATATATGCATACTTATGTATATACAAAATACTCATACTCCTATAGATCCCCGAGACTCCATCTCCAAACCTTGTCCTTGTCAAAAACATTTCCCCAAACTCTTCAGAGAAGACAGGTAAGGACAAATGATATGATATCCCAAGGGATATCCGATTCACAGTTCTTCTATCTTAGTCAAGGAGTTTTTCTTGTTCTGTGGAAAGATCAAAGAGTTTGACCTCGTCTTGTAAGTATTGAGCTTTCCCCAACAAAAAGAAAAGAAAAAGAAAATAAACAAAGGAATCACGCGCGTTGATGTTGGGGTTGATAAAATGACACGCTCAAGGACCTATCATCTTCTTGATACATAAATATATATGGGGATATGTGGGTGTGGGTGTGGGTGTTTTTATTTTTCTTTATTTTCTGTTACCTTTTTGTGGGGCCAAGATATTTCCATGGCAACAAATTACAAGTATCGTAACTCTTACTAAAGCCTGTTATTTGTAGTGATGAAGACCGAGCTCATCAAACTGCCTTGATCAACTTTGAGCGTGAATCTGCTGCCAAAACTGCCGCTCTTTTGAGCAACGGTAAGTCTACTAGTGATTGCTGTGTAACTGTTGTCCAAAGCAAGACACAAGAAAACTCACGGTCCACATTATTGTTAAATATAGCCTTGATTGATGACAGTCATATCACTGCCGTGCCTTTTTTTGAGACAACTCCTTCCGGAGAGTCTGACAAAGAGGTCGATGCCGAAGGTTCTGAAGATCACCAGTCAGCCAAGCCAAAGTCTCGTATTGCTGCCGAAATCCTTGCCCATGGTTATTTGTTGCAAGACCATATTGTGGCCAAGGGTCTCGAATACGACTCCAAGTACAACCTTTCGTCACGTCTTCAGGGTTACCTTTCCACACTCCAGTCTAATAGTAAGCCTTTTATATTTCTATAATAGGTGAAACCGGTCTTTTTTTTTTGTTTTTTTCTTATACATAACCTGATTCTTAAATTTTGTTCTTTTATTTTTATTTTTATTTTTAGTCAAGCACTTTGATGAAAAATACCGCATTTGGGACAAGGCCATAGAGATTGATCAAAAGTACAAGATCCAAGAAAAGGTTCAAAATGCCGCTCAGACCGCACAGCACACTGCCCAGGCCGCTCTTCAAACACCCACGGGTCAAAAGGTGCATGACCTCGCTAACCAAACCTTGGCACAAATTGCTATTGTCCATTATGAAGCCAAAAGAATTCAGAGTGAGAAGGGAACCCACTCACCTGAAGGCAATGAACCCGCAGAACATGTTGAGCCTATCAAACAAGCTGCCTAAAAAAAACACACAAACACACACACCTACACACACACACACTTGCTCACTCAATCACTTACCCACTCACTCGCTTACTCAAGCAAGAAAAAAAAATTGAATTAACCTCTACCATTTTGTCTTCTTTCAAATACAAAAACTTGCTCCATTTATTCTCTTGGTCATTTTTATCAAGAATTTACATCCGTGTAATTTTTTTTGACAATTCTTGGAGTCTTTTTTTTATATATCATAAGACAAAGGAGAGAAATGAAGCCGTGAAATAATCTTCTATATAGTCATATAGTTATATATAGCTTAAACCACTTACTGCATTCACAGATTCATTGCAGAATCGTATATCATATACAAGGTTATGTGCATGTGTATGAGAATTATATGCATAGTATATGTACAAGCACAATTTCTTTTCCTTTGTTAAAAAATAAATAAATAAAAAGTAAACAAAAAAAAAAGATCACTATATTGTGTAAGGGAACCAAAATTCTGAAAGTCCCAAAGTAAATTTTATCCTTCTTTTGCTGTTTGAATTTAGCAATGTCAACACCAACTCGATCTCTAAATCTCAATCGTCATTCTGATGATCCTCTTGAAGGAATCAGAAAAAAGACATGTACTTCATTACACAAATCACTCCAAACAAGTCATGAAATGCAATCAGTGACAATGACCACAGAACAACTTGCTATAGCCTTTATTCAACTGAATGAATTCTCTACTGCAAGTGTTACATACATACATACACATACATATATATATAGTTTTGTTTTGTTTTGCTTCCATGTACATTACATGTATCTATTAATACATCCATACATACATGCATGCACGAATACATACATATATGCATGTACTACATATCTGTGCCCTGCACGCAAGCGTATATTTATTGAATTCAATCTTTATTCTCGCCTCTTATCTAATAATCATTTTGTAGGCCGAGGATCTTTCACGTATTGCAAGACAGATATGTGTCTTGAAGAGGCAACTAAGATTTTCCTCTGTAGACTTTGTCAAAACAGTATTAAGCAATCTTGATCCTTCAAAATCATATCTATCTGTTTTTCATCAACTAGCTGGCATGACTATATCTGTGATATCTCTGGATACTTTTGTAGAACAAGCCCCTCAAGCATGGCTTGTAGACCAATGCAGGAAACTAATACCGGAAGATTCGGTTGCTTATCGAGGCAAGGCAAAATCATCACAATCCTTTTTTTATACATTTTAACTTATATGTTTTGAAATACTCGAGTAGATTATGTGGCTAGTCTAATCGCAATTGAATGGAAATTGACATACAGACCAACATGGAATCAAGATACTACTCTGGATAAAATCCTCGAGTCTTCACTCAAAGCATTTGTTGTAACAAGGTAAGATCTACACATTTATGCCAATTAGACATCGAAAACCTTTCCCTCTTTTATATTCCTACCTTTATTTATTCAAACCTTCTGGAATCATCTCGCTTTTTTTTATATAGTGAGCCAATGAGGGATGGTGTTTATTTGGAACACTTTCTCCAACTACTACAAGATCCAAACAAGTTGAAGATCTTTAGCCGGCAAGAACGCCAGATTCTTGTGACAACCCTCTTGGATCGGGTTCTGTGGCAAACGGATGCTATTGATTGTTCGGTCCAGAGTATAATGTCTGCAAAGGAGTTGGTGTGTGCAGGTAATATGGAATGTCTAAATTATATATGTATATGCCCGTACGTAAATGTGTGTATAAATGTGTATTCAATTATGTTCTATCAAGATGGCTCAAAATACTTTACAACGCGTCGGTCTATATTGGGTTACCTTACAAGCTGGCTGAAAGACGAGAAACAGCCTAGCCCTGCATTCTATTGCCCTTTATTACCTTGCTGTGCATTGGATAAAGTACATGCTACTACAATGGTCAGGATCATTTTATTTTTTATCTCTTATCTTCTATTTTGAATGAGGTCAGCTTCCAATCAACTGACAAGCCATGGTACAGAATCTATCGAATAGTACTATAATCCTGTCTCTCTGTCGTGCAATGTGTGAGTCTCTTGAGGGAGATCAGGCGATAGTGAGGATAGTAGAGAGTGTGAGTGCATATACAAGCTTGATATTTGAAGAACTATCAAACCAGGCTGATTTGGGAAGACTTGCACTACTACTGTCCTTTATACAAATCACGCTACACTATAAGGGTGATTCTGTAGGACTCAATTATGCCTCCTGGTTCCAAGTAAGTTTAATAAAATAAAACAAAAAACGTTTTATTCATCTCAAGGGAGATTTTTTTAAAAAAAAATCAATTGTACTAGTCAGCACTTATAGACCCAAATACCACATGTTTAAAAACCAAGAAGAATGGTCAAGTATTGATAAAGTGTCTTGAAGACATGATCCCATTTGAATCACCAGCCATACTTCAGGTACCCAATTGATCTATTGACCAGAAAGAAAATAAGTAACAAATAATCCTTTCAACAGATCCATGCAAGAGCTCTCTATGGCTGTCAAGCATTGCCATCCTCACACTACATATCTATTGTTAAGACACGTTTATTGGATTTAGGAGTAAGTCTATCAAAACACGACTTTAATCAGGTTAAGTTCTCCCTGACCCATTTATAATTATCCAGTTGGATTCTTCTCTTAAGCAATTACCTCTTTCGATCAATACCCCCCTCGTAACAGAAAAGGGGAAAGTTGTACGTGGTCATTCAGCATTGGACATCCAAGAACTCGTCCAAACTTATGTGAACACAAACACTGTTCCAAAGTCATTGTGGGAGGCATCTATTTTTCAGGCGCGCTGGTTCAAAGCAACATTTCTGCCAGCTTTGGTGTCCTGGAATCACACAGACCAACAGCTGAGTGTGGCACACAAAAAGTTGATCAAATCGCTCTATGAAAAAGGAAAGATGCCAGATGGGCTTTACCGAGAATTCCAGAACATGGTTTAATATACACTACATTTTCTGTACTACATTGTGCTCAAAATTATATGTCAATATTAAAAAAAGAAAAAGAAATAGAGAGAGGATGATAAATATTATTAAATTGAAACATAAATGGAAATATATGGAAATAAAATACTAAAGAAAAGAAAAGAAACCGGGGGAAGAGGGAATAGGGGGATCTTGAAGACCTGTGGCCGTGGGTAGTAAAAGAAGACCAGAAAGAAAGAAAAAAAGATAGGACAGTTATTGAAAGAATATTGTTTTCTTCTTCTAGTCTTGATTTTGATCCTTGGCAGAAGTTCAATGTAGATATCATTATTATTGTTATTATTATTATTGTTATTGTTATTGTTATTGTTGTTGTTGTTGTTGCTGATGATGTTGCTGTTGCTGTTGCTGTTGTGAGGACTTGTCTTATCCTTGATTAATTGAAAGCTCTTCCGTTGGATAAAGTAGCATAAAGCTCGTCGATCTCCTTCTTGTAAACCTTCTTTGCAATCTCACGCTTCAATTTAAAGGTAGGAGTCAAAAGATCATTATCGACAGTGAATTCGTCTGATGTCAGGTGAATGGCACGAATCTGCTCGAATCCCTTGAGATCGCTCTGCTTGCCAAAAGCATTGAGGATCTTAAGAATGCTTTTCTTAACTTCAGGAGAAGTATAGAGTTCGGCCTTTGATAGGGATGCGAATTCAGGAGTCTTGGAAGCCCAAGCGCTCAAGGCATATGCATCTGGGAAAATAATTCCAACCAAAGATGCCTGCATGGAATCGCCATACACAAATGCCTGGGAAACCAATTCATGCTTCTGATATACACCCTCGATCTTCTCTGGAGCAATATACTCACCCTGACAGAATGTTTTTACTTTAGTTTGTTTGTTCTATCCTGCGTACATAAAGTCAATTGATTATCTAAAGATTAATTACCTGAGACAACTTGAAGATGTTCTTGAGACGATCAATAATCATCACACGGTTGGCAGAATCAAAGACACCAATATCACCAGTATGCAACCAACCATCCTCATCAATAGTCTCTGCAGTCTTATCGGGTGCATTATGATACTCGCGGAAGATACTGTTACCACGAATGCAGATTTCTCCACGAGGATAAGGCTTATCAATTGAAAGATAATCCATGTCAGGTACATCTACGAGCTTGATTTCTGAGCATGGGAAAGGAATACCAACAACACCTGATGTGTTGTCCTCCTTGACAGTCTATATTATAAAATTAAATAATATGTTTTTCCTATTAGCCTTTTTGTATCATTTTTTTATACTTTTAACATTCCTTACCAAACAACCAGCACAGAAGTTCTCAGTCTGTCCATATCCCTCATACACCTGAGCAGAGAAACAGATTCTCATAAAGTCCATAACATCTGGAGACACGGGGGCAGAGCCACTGAGAATGAAGCGCAGACGACCACCTAGTTTTTGACGGATCTATTAACACATAAATAAATTAGTATTGTATAAAAAAACTTAGATACGATTTTTAAGCGTGTACTACACATTTTCGTATTACCGTTGCGAACACTAGACGATCCCAGAGCCAATGGTTTACAGTAGTCTTGAGATGCGATCTTTTTTGCCCATAAGCAGAGTTGAACATCATGCTGCTCAGACCACCCTTGGCCTTGACGCTTGAGAGGACTTTGTCGTAAATGCGATTGAAGAGACGGGGAACAGAACAGAATACTGTAGGCTTGAGTTCCTCGATATCGTCGAGCAACTTTGCGGTGTCACCCTGGTAGTATCCAATCGCAGCTCCCCTGTAGACATGGATACCCTGGGCAGCACGCTCAAAGACGTGTGCGAGTGGTAGGTAGGAGATATATACATCGGTGTGGGATATGGGGGCAAACGTGCCTGCAGTGCCTGCAGCAGCAATACCAGTAATAGAAGCAACACAATTTGCCTGTGTAAGGATAGCACCCTTTGGTAGACCGGTTGTTCCACTAATATGGAATGACAAACGTTATTAATTTTCTTTAGTAATACTGAACTCAATTCCAGGACAGAATGGTAGGACGGGTAAAATAATAATAATAATAATAATGAAAGAAAAGCCTGGAGAAAGTATGTATCTGAGATCTAACCTGGTGTAGCAGATGGTTGCAATGTCTTCTGGTGTGGGGAGCTTGGTCTCTGCTCCACCTTCACCCAACTTCTCGACCTCTTTGTAGGTATGAATAATCAAACCTGCTGCGGCTGCGTTTGTGCGTAAGGTTTCTTCGATAGTTTCGTCCATAATAATGACGTGTTTGATGGTTGGCAACTGTGTCTTGAGCTGTGTAATGTTTGCAAGCTTATCGGCGCTCGAAACAATGAACTCCATGTCAGTTTGGTTGACGATGTAATCAATAGCCTCCGCACCCAAGGTATCGTAAAGCGCGACAATAATAAAAGCTTCTCTGTAGCATGCCTGCTCAGTCATAGTCTAAAGTTGAAGTTAAAGACATTTGGTTAGCATTCCAGGGCAACATGTCCCAAAAGGCATTGGGGAAATACCTCGGCACACTTACCCATTCAGGTCTGTTGACACTATAGATTCCGATCACTTTTTGACGCTCAAGTCCCAGGCTGACCAGACCTTTACCAAAATTCTTGATACGCTTCATCACCTTGGGGTGCGATTCCCATACGTATTCTTTTGCCTCTCCGTTCTCGATACGACGAGCGCCCAAGAAGGGACGGTCTACAATAAAAGATTAGTTCTCCTGAATTTGGTTTTATGTTGTTGCACAATGTAAAAAGATAGTCTAACGTATACAGACGTTGTACAGTAAAGTACAATACAATACACCAAAACAAACAAACAAACAAAAAACGTCGCTGACACATAGATGTATTAAAGTAAAATGTATAGATGTATTCACCTCCTCCAAGCTTTGAGCCGTTGACATACATGTCCCAGAGAGTAGTGATTCCCTCTGGGTGGTCAACCAATTTGTCAGCAAACTTAAAGTGACGCATAGCAGCTGTTTCGCCATCTTTCTTAATAGAGCCAGTGGCAGGGACGGCGTAGGGTGGCTTAAATGGGGACATTGTAGGTAATTTGAAATAAAGAAAGGAAGAAAGACAAAAGAAATAAAAATTATGTAGTGATTTATAGAAAGTGACTGAATTTGGGGGTGGGTTTTGAAAATGACACAGAAACCCCATTCATATTCTTAAAAAGGAGGTCTATTCGGTCTTTGTATCATTCATTGTCGTCTAATCTGGCCTTTGTCAATTTGACTTTGCCATCGACCAGGGTCGCTTTGAGTCCCATCTCATCCAATTCGGGTGTCTGGGCGGCTGCGATGGGCTTCATCTCTTCTATAAGCCTCTGATTCTCTGGATTGTTCTCTAGTATATGACGAATAGCCAAGACCGCATACTCACGAATGTCTTGGGTAAATAATAAGTATTTCCCTGTCATCTTACATGTAACCATAGAACTTCCTTACATGGGTTATTATCGTCGATTCTGCATTGACTGAGGATAAGCGGAATGCCTCCAATATGACGAATCTGTTGTAAATATTATTGTTATTATTTTTTATTATTATTAATAATAATAACAAAAAAATATTATTCCCATAAGCATATCTCTTTAGTCAGCTTTCTCTCAACATTTTTGGACACTTTTTTTTAATTTTTTTTTTCATGATTTACCTTTTCTTGCATATCAAAGTCTTTAAAGCACATTGCACCGATAAATCTCACGCATTCACGCTTCAGATAATCAAACCCAAGCTTTGAAGCCTCTGGGTCATCGTTTTTGACTGTTTCACTTCCAGTTGGTTTTCTGGCCGTAAAAGGAATGGTTTCAAGCTGTCCAAGTAGATCTTTACTAATCATAAACAGTCTGACTCGTTACTATTCGTTACCTGTCACTGAGTCAAGAGTCTCTTTTTGGACCAAAAGTCTCTTGAGGCTTTTTTGCTGCTCAACTTCTGCCATGTTCAAAGTTGTCAAAATCTGCAATACCAACACAAGACCGGTGTACACCTGAGATACGTCTTCCACCTCTAGGTCGGATTTCTGGTCGGCTTCGCTTGCCTGCACCTGCTTAATCACCAGGACGGCACGCTGAGATAATAATTTAAGGAGATTACAGAGAGCTTCAAGTTCCCTGTGTCTCATAAATTCTGGGAAGGAGTCCTTGTGTGTGTGGGTTTGCGAATCTACAAGCTTGATCAAGATGATCTGTCGACCATTCAAACCAGATTTACTGTATTCATTGACATGCGAAATAAGTGTGCCTGAAAAAAATGAAGTCAAATAGTATCATTCAAACTTACTCGCCTACAGCATTTAATAAATCTACAAAATAACCGCCGTTTACAAGCTGACGAATGACAGTACATCTAACCCATAAGTTGGCATATCTTAGAATCGTGGGAATTGTGTGATCTCTAAACTGAACACCAAGGATGTATAATTTTTTTTTTACCCCAATTCGAAATTCTTGCTTTCGTTGTCGTGTAGTCTTTCCAAGTCCCCCAATATCCCATGAACAATCTGATGCCCGTTTTCAGTCATAGCAAGCAGCTTGCTGCAAGTGGTATGACAGAATGGCGTGAGTATCATTGTTAAAGATAAGGTCTAGATTACCTATTCTCAGTGGAGTTCCGGATGCTATTGAGCACAAGCACCAATACACTCATTACCACCTTTTCATCTTCCATGCAAACCAATGTACTATTAGTCAAATTTAATGATTGATTAATCATATATATATATACATCACCATCATAATCAAGACAACGTAACATACCTCCACAATGTTCCTCTCTTTGTTGTCATCCACACTTTCCATACTTCCAGTCCAGTTGGGTTTCCAGTGATTATATTACAAATAGACTGTGTACCAACCTGAAGAAGAAGGACTATCGAAATATATATATATATATACACGCATGCATACGCATACACACATATGCATTATTATTAATTTGTAAACTCTATTGTCCCTTTCTCTCTCTATTTTACCTCTCTCTTCTGAACCATCCCGGTTTTTTTCTAAAACAGTCTCAATCGATTCAATTGCTCCATTTTGACAGGCCAATTTCTGATTTTCTAACTGGCCTGCCACACAATTACGTATAAGCTTAACAACTCCAATCAAACTGTGAATTCCATTGGGATCCTCGGCCAATCTTGGCAATGTCTTTAATGCTAAGCTCCAAAAGTCTTGTGATGCTCCCAATTCCAACCTGTGTATATTAACGTATTAATTTTATTATAATATATACACCAGGTTTTCTCACGTGGCGATCTTGATCACTAAATCTCTTTTTCTTTCTTTTATATATATATATATAGGTAGATAGATAGATAGATTCGTCTTACCGAAAGACGTGATCTGTCAATGATCTTTTAATAGCCTCATCAAGATGTACTTGTAGCTCATTAGACAATAACTTTTGAGAAAGATAATCTTCAAGTAATGTTACAATTGTCATATTAAAATAACAGATTATACAAAGAATAATAATAAAATAAATAAATAAATAAATAAATAAATAAATAAATTAAATTAAATTAAAATAAATTAAATTAAATTAAATTAATGTGAATTAATAAGAAGAAATTAATAGCACAAACAACTTGTATTGAAGTAGCGTTTATATTTCTACTCGATTATATACAAAATCTAAATATATGTTATATGTATATTAAGTGTTTTATTATTGTTATTTTCAAAGCGTCGAAATTTCCGACAAAGAGGTTTCCCTTTTAGAGAGCCTCTTTCTTATCCAACAGAAAAGCAGCAAACGTCACTCGGACTAACAAAAAACAAATATATGATAATAATATTAAAGATTGAATAGCAGAATAAGTCTCCCTTTAACCGCACTTCTCCCTTTCTCTCCTTCTTTTATTTACATCCCCTTGACAGTAAATCCTCACAGTCTCCGGACTTCTCCTTTCCTTTCATTTCCCTCTTTCCCTCTCTCTCTCTCTCTCTCTCTCTCTCTCTCTCTCTCTCTCTCTCTCTCTCTCTTTATATATATTTTATATATTCTATTACACCAGCACTCATGGACCTCTGTGACGTTGATGAGGCTAATAGCACAGTCACCAAATGCAACCATTGTAACCGCATTTGTCTCACCAACGACGAACACAAAGCCCTCGTATCGCAAACAGATGAAATAAGAGACCTCAAACAACAATTAAAGTCGCAGACCGAAGCATTCGAACGACTCCAACTCGACATTTCGACACTCAACAAAAAATACGTTGCCGCAATCGAACGTGTAGCCGATGTCCAACATGAGAAAGACCTCGTCGAGCACGAGCTAGAAGAACTCAGCCGCAAGCTATTTGAGGAAGCCAACGGCATGGTTGCTACCGAGAAACGAGAAAAATGGGAACTCGAGAACCAGCTACGCCAAACACAGGAATATCTTGTTTCTGAGCAGTCTCAGCTTACAGAACTCAAAGAACGTATGCAGGCCATGTTGGTGTCCGAAGACCTCTCACCAGCCCAAAACCAGAACGATCCTCGAACAAGAGCACAAAATGATCTTCAGGAACTGTACGGTGTAAAACGAGCCAGTACAAACCCTACTCTCTATCGCAAGAACATTTCTTCCGACCCTACCCAACGTGTTACATCTATGCCACCCCTTCAGTCGCAACCTAGAATACAACGTATGGTAACAATAGACGAGTTTCAGCTCAACAAGTTTCAAGAATACATCAACTCTAGTCGGTCGGTCTCGGTTAAAAAACTTTCGCAGTTTGCCTATTTAAAATATTGCCAGGCAGAAGATATCGAGCCTTGCCTACGGTTCGGACCCCAGTCGCGTCTTTCGGTCAAGAAAATGATGGATTACCTGATGCGACAACCATGTTTTATCGAGCAGATGCCCTTGGACGACAATGTGGCACCAAAATCTACACTTGTAACCCCAATTTCCATAACCACTCAACGCCCTCTCTGGGAACGTTTTTCAAATTCCAAGATTCTGGATGGCGGATGTTCGGCTTGCGGACGATCGGCCGGTCAGGACTGTGCACTCAAATATCGCTTTAAGCTAGATTCAAGTGATCCTTGGCTACCAATTGACGAATATTGTAGAGACCGTTTGGTAGCTGTGTGTGAGTTCTATGTATTTCTTAGAAATATACAACTTGGACTTTATTCGGATCGTCCGGTTCAAGACCTGTATGCTGAAAACATTAGACTTCGGCTACAGATGTTCTATTCTCGGTAAGTTTGAAATACTTTTTTTTAATACTAAACAGAAAATAAAATTACCAGACCACTGATACTTCCAGGACATTCTTTTTACTTGTTAAAAAAAATGTAACAATATATATATATATAAAGTATGGGTGCATTACCGGTGATGCTGGAAGGCATGGGCATGTCTCCTGATACAATCGGAAAGGCTTCTGTGCCATTGGAAACCCTGGCTACAATTCCAGATGATGCTTATACATCTGATACTTCAGCGTCGTCTGGCCCTTGTACACCTATTCGGACTAACCTTAGCATCCTTTCATCTGTTGCTTATCAAAATGAACCTTGGGCGCTGGATTCGTCTCAATCTCAACCTCCTTAAAAAAAGATGATTATATTCTCCTTTTACCTCTTTTTAAATTATAGCCATGAATAACCTACACTGAATTATTCTGGTTTACTAGATGATTACAGAATAGGTACGTTGCGAAATCTCCTTTCTCACTACCTTTGTTTGTTCAATATTAGAACAATATAGCCCGATATATTTTATATTTTATGTTTACACAAACACTACTTCTTTATTTCTTTATTTCCTTCCTTATTTTTCAACCAATAATTTATGTACATGATAAATATTAAACTTTAGACATTATCCTTACTTATCAAACCATTATTGGTTCAAGTGTGCTTTGTAAAAGACCTATTGTTGGTTACAAAGACTCGGTCACTATGGGGCTGATTCTTTGAATTAATTTGAAGTTGTCAAAATGCTTTATCTTGTTTTGTCTTGTGGAATGTAGTCTTGTACGTATAATCATGTCGTAAATAAGAAATGTGGACAGCTTGTATTTACGGCCAATGGTTTATTCATGGAATGTTTTGACTTAATATCACAATAACCAGAAGAATAGCTATTTCAATTTGCAGTCAGGTCATTCTGTAAAGATGTTTGTGTGTGTATGCATAATTGACAATATTACACAAATTTTAATGGTAGAAATATGTTCTTGGCTTACTCATAATCAAACACTAATTTAACTCGGTTCCTATACGAAGTACGACCTCTAGCCAATGAGGGTCACTGGCCCAATCGATATTACTCTCCATTATAAGCTTCTACAATGATATCAGCCAAGAGTCGTTGCCAAGAGCAGCAGAATACTTTATTTTTATTATTTTATTTTACTTTACTTTATTTTACTTTAATTTATGTGTCACACAACTTACCAGTAGCACGTTTCGTGTGACCTCCAAGTGATATTGCATGTCCTTCAAACCATCTTGTCTATAATACTGTCAATATTTATACATATGCATACATATATACATAATCTAAATATACCTCATGCGCCCTTGGCTCCCTTCAGAAGATAGTTGACTACTCATATCACTAGAACCAATTGGACCGGTTAATGGTATACCAGTTACCATTTCAATAGATTCCATTTGTTGTCTGTTTTCCTGGTGTAGTGCTTGGCAAGAATAAAGATAGCATAAACAAACATTGACATATACATAAATACAATAAATATAAATATAAATAAATAAAAACTTAAATCTTACCAAGAACCTGGCGCTCTACTACAGACAGTTGTTCTTTGATTGCTCGTAACTCTTCAAATTCCTTCATGAACTCAACTACGAGAGCATCTCTTTTGTCTATCGCAACTTGCACTGGCTGACTATTAATCACATCAAAAATAATAACGCAGAATAGAAAAGAAAACTATAAAAAAAGAATATTTTTTAAAAAATTAAGTTTTTTCTGCAAACCTTTGCATTAATCTCGCGTGGTCCGAACTGTCTGGGTAGAGTGCTTGGCGTGTGAAGTGAGAAGCTTCGAGGTTTTGAACAATATGATTCTTTCCGAGGTTAAACTGAGAGAATGCGCTAACTTCGGAACGTAATTCATCTACTCTAGCTTTATATCGCACAAGATCCTCATTGACATCATGGCTCACATTGCTCGTTGATGGAGCTGGAGTTTCAAAATCTTTTTCGTATTTCTGAATCTGTCGTTGGAGCCAGTCGATTTCTCTCTGAGAATTTAGGATTTGTCGTTCCTTAGATGTGAGAATTTCTTGAGATGAGGATTCCATCTTGTAGGAACCATGTAAATGTACTTTCTTGATCTTCTTTGTGACTTTGTCTTTATTCAACTTTTGCTTTTATTTTTTTTTCTTGTAATTTGCTTGCTCAGCCTTTTTCGCGCCAGAATATTATTTTATTTCTTTTTACTATAAATAGAGCGTTTCGTATTCCGTTTTTCGTTAATGCGATACGCCAAGAGTGAAAGATGAGGAGGAGTCTGTTTCTTCTTTTTTTGGTCTTCCTCTTTTCAACATAACCTCCTTCTTCCTTTCTTGGCAAACAATTCACTGCACTACCGTTGCTAACTAAAGATGTAACATCTATACTTATAGCATTGAGGCAAACGTCATCAACCTGATTTGTGGCGTAAATCTATAAAACTATCTTTATGTCTTTATATCTTTATATATATATATACATACCCCTTTACTTTTTTTGTCTTTTGATTTATTTATTATTCCTCTTATTCTTTAATAGGCACTTACCTTACTCTTGAATTCACACACATATACGCAGATACGCTTGTAGAGTATAAACAAGCAAGCAAGCAACAACAACAACAACAACAACAACGAAAAAGCCGAATTCTGTTTTCTTCAATTGATCAATCAATCGTGAGGATTATAATCGTATATTTAATTCCCCGAAAAAAGGAAACCATCAAATTAAGAACTGCAGGACCTTGTACCTCTTTAAACACAAATAATAATAATAATAGTAATGAAAAAAGTCTTTGGAAGAAACACAAAAGAGAAAAAGTCGTTGGCTCTTGCAAAATTATTACAAGAACAAGAAGAAAAGTTAAAGGAAGACCAAATAGAAAGAAAACGACTCCAAGAACTAGAGGATGCTGCGATTGCACAAGCTCTTCAAGAGGAATGGGAGCAGGAAAGTCAGATTCCAACCACACATTCGCCTGTGGTAAACAGCCCTCCCCACAACCGTTCGCCACAATTAGGGACTCGCACATCATCAGCCACGATTCAAACATTGCAATCAGAAAGAAATCGTCCATCACCATCGAACGCTCATAGTTCACCACCCATTGAAAGATCTCGCAATTTAAACCATACACAACCACCACCACCTTTACCGTCAAAGCCGGTAGCTTACAATTCTGGTAAGTAATATGCCTATCTTTAGTAACATAATAATGAATTATCTAAACATATCGATTAACAATCTTAAACCGAAAACCAAAAATGTTCCTGTTTTCTTGGCAACCTTTATTGCATCTTTTTATTTCATCAGCCGACAACAATAATGGCTTTTATCCTGTATATATGGCAATGCCAGAACCATCTCCCATGGCTTCCACTACCAGCTTAAATCAAAGTAGTCCAATGAATTTTGGCTACCTCGATCCATCAAATAACAATGCCAATAACATTAGCAATAAATCACTTCCTGGACAAAACAGCTTTAGGCTCTCTGGATATCACCACAACCATCGCCATAGCCATACCAATCCAGTTAATCACCCAATTGAACCACGAGAACGTGCACAGTCCCAAGGAGCAACGTATCCTCCTCCTCATCATCGACTATCACACTCATTTGTAGTCACACCATCAACTGCGCCGGCCGCAGCAACATCACACAACCAATTTCCTTTTGGGTATCCACCACCTCAAGCAGCTGTACCGGTTCAAAATTATGGTTATCCACCACCAATCAATGCCACACAAAATTTATGTACACCAGACATAACAGGTTATCCATTCACAAACGCTACACAAAATCATTCTACGTCTGACATTAGCAACTCATCTACAAACATTACACAAAACCAGTCTACATTTGACATGATCAACTCATCCACAAGCACCACACAAAATCCAGCTCCAACTCCAACTCCAACTCTAGCTCCAGCTCCAGTTCCAACATCCAAAACACCAAGTCATCGAAGGCGAGATCAAAGCATTCGCATCAGTACCCAAAATCACATATACTCTCAATCGCATAACGCATCGTCAATGTTTGAAATAGATGGCTTTACTTCACCTATCCTTCCTATGGAGATGCCTACTCCACAAGCCAAAAAACAGAACGCATACGTAAACACTATAAACAATGCTTATCCTCCTCAGGATTCTTTTCCTCCTCCTCCTTCTCATCGTCATAATCATCGCCATCAAACGCCTTCTTCCCAGACCATTAGACCAGTATCTACTGTTGGAGATCTTCCTACACCTCCTGCTGAAATTATTTTTAGCAAACCTCATGAGCATATTGAAACAATAAACAAGGCAGGTCCTTCAGACTCTGTTCTGTCTCTTATTGAGGATCTCCAAGGGCACGAATTACTTGGCAATCACAGCCCAGTCCAGAAATCTGGGTCTGTGACGGTGATTGAGCCAAAATTACTTTCCAGACCTTCGGTAAAGCCATTCTCTGGAGAAGACAGCGAAAATCCTTTTGCAGATTCATTTGCGGCAGAAGAGCCATTTGAAGAGGAATCATATGAATCTTTATCTAAACCGGTATCAACCGGAACATCAGAACCACTCAGCGATAATGCCCAACCTGTGACCCGAAGGTATTCCCAGACAAAAACGATCTTACCTGCACAGCTCAAGCAGCGACAGTCAACATGCGCTACAGTAGTAGAGCCAAATTTCTTGAGTATGGCAGCAAGAAGCACAACCCCTGTGCGGAGAAGTGAAAATATATCTAGTTTGGAATTTACCCCAACATCATGGGCAACAAAGGTCCCAGTATCGGGCTCAGGGTCAGGGTCAGGTTTAGGCCCGGTATCAGTCCCAGCCTCAGGTGCGATATTGCCCCCGTTGAAACAAAAAGCGTCCGGGGCGTTGGTTGTTGAGCCCCGTATATTTAATGTAGAAACTCAAAGTCCAAGAGAGCACATACCGGCAATAGTGTATCCCACCATGAACGTACGGGCCGGTCCACCTAGTCATGAGAGTTACCCGACCCAAAATCGCCAAACAATCACAAGAGAAGGTAAACAAACATATAATCCCAATGCTCAACAAGTATCATGGTTTTCTTTTTTTTCTGGTTTCTTTAAATTCATCTGATAAATAAATACATAAAACTGACACTGGCTTTTATTTAGTTACTCTGGATGACTATTATATTAAAAATATCCCGTTCAGATCTTCAGTGGCCAACAAATCTTTACCATCAGTTCCAGATGGTCTTCTCAGTAAGCCTTTTATTTTTATTTGTATTTTTTGAGTTCTTTCTAACGATTTTTTTTATTACCATTTTTATTTGTAGATCCAAAATATTAATTTAAAAGAGTCTCAATAAATTAACTCTCCAATATTAGGAGATGGTACATAATTCTGTAAATTTTTTAGTTATTAAGAAAAAACCTTGCGAATAAAAATGATAATTCAATTACAAATATCACTGATCCGTGATAAATAGTTATAGACGGCATGTCGTTCTCTCAATAAGCTCTTTTGCACATAAATAAAATCACTTTTTTTCTATTCTTCTTGACCTTGAGCAGGTGAGAATATTTTATTGCGGGGTTTTCTAGGTCATGTTTACTGTGACATTTAGGCGACTCAATGAGAGCTGATGAATAATTGAAATGAATCAAAGTAACCCCCTTGACCTTGAACAACTTCCGTATTATTTATCTCATCTTAGATAGACCGTCCAATTATCGCACGAGCTCGAGGTTATCCATCTCAATGAGCCGGTACAAGCCATTCGCAAAGTTTGTACGCACACGGCGCCTACCCACATACTGAATACAGCAGGCTTGGATACCCCAAAAACTACCTGTCTGTTCAGTATAGATATCAGCTCCTTTGTCAGCTTATTGAAGTCGATTTCAGTCAGATATGATTGTGGTGGATTTATCTTCATTACAAACATATCCTATCAATGACCGAGCAAGGACATGTAAAGAGTGAAATTTGGGTGCTTTTTAGAATCTTTTAATGAAGACGCAGTGTTTGGAGAGGAAGAGAGAACTGTCACCTCTGGTGACACTTCAGTGCTGGATGGGAATGAGACTGATGTTTGCTGTTCTGTCTAACGTTATGCTTCCCCAGTATGATTCAAGTTGATCTCTGTAAAACGTATTGTTAATGAGGGGAGCAACCGAATAATGCACAAATATGTCCTCTGCCCCTTTTTTCGATAAATTTGTAAGCAAGTAGCATACTGGTCATGTCAATAATAGCATGGGTGGAATCAACTAGACGATGCTGTTGAGAATGAGAGCTGTTTCAATCAGAATTTCACCAAACTTTTCAATCAAAAATCGATTACTAATTTCAATAGTCTAAGGTAAAGATTCACAAGGACAATGCAGTTCGTCGCATAATTTTCGGTATTCTTACATTTTGCAGCTCTGTCACCCACGTAGAGATCTCAGTCGAAATAATCACAGGATAAGTTGTGGATTGCCCGTATATCTTGTCAATGTCATCTGTGTCTATGTATGCAATATACGGTTTTTCTTTTGATTTTTTTTTGGAAAATAATATCGCTGATCTTAGGGGGACGACGTTTCCTGGTGGAACACAACATTTCCTGGTAGGAGACGCCATTTTGATTTTACCGGACCACAAGTCGAGACTTTTTGGCTGGCATGGAATAACTCTATACAGTTCCTAAGGATCCACTCTTTTTATAATAGTCAATACAAGCCAGGATACAAAATACTCTTATCAAGATTTTTCTGTGCTTTAAAAAACAAATAAAAATAAAAGGGTAGGTGGATAGCTACTTACCAGTTGGTGTTTTCAAATTCTGATAATATAGATACAATAGGTGAAAGAAAGAGAAAGACATGATATGCGTAAGGAGGTCAATAAATAGTAAAATATCCAACAAGATTGCGTCACAATTGAATGACAACAATTCATACTCTTCTGCATAACTTGCTATTGACCAAGTCTAAATTTAGGGCGCAAACGACTATAAATTGAATATATTGTATGCATTTCAGGACACACCATTTTGCCCTGAAGGATTAGAGAAAGTTACCAGGCCCCGGACAGGTGGGCACAGCTAATTAGTCTGTTTAAATAGAAACGTCGTGGCCCACCAGGAAACGTCGTCCCTGTAAGATTGCTGATATGTAAGACGAGTTTAAAGGCTATGATTTGATGATAATGGAAAATATCCTGGTCCACAAACTCAGAGATATTCAGCTTTGCTTTGAAGGCAGAGGATTTTACTGTATATATCTTGCATCCTATTTGTCTGAGCTTAATCCTATCAAGCAAATCTGATCAGTTGTAAAGAATAAGCTCTTTTGGAGGAGACATTAAACTCAAAGATATCGGATACTTGTAATAGAGTACTGGTTAGTGACTTGCAAGGATTCTATAGATATCTTAAGTCCATATCCGATGACTGCTTAGAACGATGCTTATAATAATTAATTATGATTTTTTTTGGTGCATTTGGTGCATTCCATTTTTGCATCAAATTGAATTTTTATTTTTACACCAATAATTTCCGGAAAGAGTGTACAAGGCACAGAAAATCCTGGGTATTAAAACACTTTTAGGACGTGATATTCCCTTGGATGACATACCCGTGTTCAGTGACTGGAGTGTAGTTGAGAAGCATCAAAACGGCTTTCACTGGGAAGTTGAGTGGGATTCAGTAGAGAATCCAATGATGGATGTAGATGAAGATAGTGAGTTGGTTTTCTTGTGATTATTGTGCAGACAAACAGAACGGACAGTGATATTGACATGTGAATTGTAAATAGGCATAGACTGCTTTAGATCATTAAAGACTTTATTCAAATTGAAGGACGATTAATGAGTGCACCTGTGGTAGTTGGCTGGCTGGCTGGTCATATTTGGCTGGCATATATTCATCTTATTTTATTTTATTTGATTCTGTTGTTGTAATAATCTATTAGTCAATTATAATACCCTCTTTTTTTTATTCTTTACTTTACTTCATTGACCACCTCATTTTTTCTCTTCTCCTTTTGTTTCTTTTTTTTGGTTAATTGATTATCCTATGAAGGTAGAATAAATACAGGCATTTTGTCCTTTTTTTCATATGATTCATTTTAGAAAGTGAAAAAGAGCGAGAGACATTATTATTATTATTATTTTAGATTATGATGATGATGATAATGATAATGACGATATCGATGACAGTAATTATATAACCTCATGTCTTTATTATTTATTAAATAATATACAGTAGGACTTCTTGCTCAAAGATACTATTAAAGGAATCTATATATGTATATATCTATGTACATTATTTATTGAACAGAGTAACTCACTGTATCGTGGGCAAAAATGATGATCAATATTAAAATCACAATGTTACCATTTAACAAAAAGGTTCAAGATTAAATAAAAAAAATGATTTAGTGGAATTGTCCTACTCTGGGCATGCGCTTTCACTGTATGTAATGAAATTTTCTATTGTCTCCAAGGTTGGATACCTTTCCAAATCAAGAACTTCACATGGGGTTTGAAAGCAAGAAATATATATAGTATATAGTATATAGTATATAGTATATAGTATATTATTGCCTTGTACTTTATACATAAATAATTATACATATATTTGCTTTAATTTTCTGTTGTGGGCTTTCACATGCACACGGGAGGCACGGACGCGGTTCGTCTTCACATGAAACTATCGAAAATGGCAATCTGACAGCCTTCTCACCTGTTCGCTTTATGAATCGACTAGTAAAATTATATTTCCAAATGAGTTGGCGCTCAGCTGGATATAAATACGAAGAAGGTTTTTGTTTTCTCAAAGTTTTTCTTTCATCTATTCATCCTAAGCTTCTCCTCTCGGATATTCCTTGATACCAAAACAACACCAACTATACTCAACATGCCCGCATTCACCACCATCGATGTAATAACTTCACCAGTCATTTAGAATCATATACATACAATTGTGTATTTCTCAACCAATCAATTAATCGCTCTATCTGTCTGTCTTTTACATTGTTCATTTATTTATTTTAGCTTCCCGAGACTCCCTCTCCCAACTACGTTATCGTCAAGAACATCTCTGCTCAGTCTTCCGAGAAGACTGGTAAGAAATACTTAAAAAAAATACGCGTCTTTATCCGATCCTAATGTATTTTCTTTGAATTAAATAGTCAAGGAATTCTTCTTGTTCTGTGGTAAGATCAAGGAGTTTGAGCTTATCAAGTAAGTAATAGTAGTAAATCACAGATTGTCTAGTATATTTAAATATTCAAGTAAACAAATGATACATGTACGTGTATGAAAAGCTAATGGTCTTATTCATTTTTATAGAGATGACGATGAGGAACATCAGGTTGCCTTGATCAACTTTGAGCGCGAATCTGCTGCCAAGACCGCCTCCCTCCTCAGCAATGGTAAATGAAACACATGATGCCCAATAGACAGCAACAATTAGAAACGTGTGAGAAACTAAAGCAGGTGCTATTGTGTAGCCTTGATCGATGATTGCCACATTACCGCTGCTGCCTATTTCGATTCCGCTTCCTCTGCTGAAGGTGCCCACTCCCCTGAACTCGAGACCTCCGAAACCACCCAAGAATCCAAGCCCAAGTCCCGTATTGCTGCCGAAATCCTTGCCAATGGTTACTTACTCCAGGACCACATTGTTGCCAAGGGCCTTGAATATGATGGAAAGTACAGCTTCTCCACCCGTATCTCGGGTTACCTTAGCTCTCTTCAGGCCAATGGTAAGTCCAACGGTAAAAAAAAATTATATAGAAAAAAAAATGAATAAGCATTACTTAATCTTTCTTTTTTTTGGGGGTAAAAAATCATGTTATCTAAACACATTTTTTTTATTTTCATTGTTGTTTGTTTGTCATCACAGTCAAGCAGCTTGATACCAAGTACCGTATCTGGGACAAGGCTGTAGAAATTGATCACAAGTTCGGTATCCAGGAGAAGGTCCACACTGCTGCCCAACAGGCTCAGCACACTGCCCAGGTTGCTCTCCAGTCCCCTACAGGCCAAAAGGTCCATGACTTGGCCAGCCAGACATTCGCACAGATTGCTGCTGTCCACTATGAGGCCAAGAAGATCCAGGTAAAATAATTAAACCATATATAGTGTAGCATATATTTGTTTCACTTGGGTGGATCAACAAATGTGTATCTCTTTCTCTCTCTCTGGGTGTGTGTATGTGTATGTGCGAAGGAGTATATGTGCTGATCGCAAACGGGGTTTTCTTTTAGGGTGAGAAGATTATTGCTTCCGCTGAATCCCATCCCGCCGAGCCCGCTGCAACTGCTGCTTAAATGCGAATCGACTTTCCCATTTATTGTTAATCCTATTGATATTACTATCTCCCTGAATTCTCTCTTCTTATCTTCCATATCCCTTTTTCTTCCAAGCAATTGATATCCCACACATCAAACTATCTTATCTATTTCTTCATCCATGTCTTTCCTTCTTCTTGAGATTGTTTCTTTTTCTTTTTCTTCTTCTTTTCTCTTTGTATTCATTTATGAAAAAAGACAAAGAAAAGGCAAAGAGAATAAAATAAATCCTCTCTCCTCTCTACTCTTCCCCTTCTTCATTCAATTCCTTTGTTTTAACCATTAGCTATATGAAATCTCATCTAGAAAGAAAAAACATACCCCCCCCCCTTTTTTTTTATAAAGCACCAAATTTCTTATCATCATCTTTTTATATAAACAAAATTTGCAAAACCAAAAACCAAAAGCCAAAAATATTTGAAATTTCGATAGTCTTTTCTTTTTGTTTTGTTTAGAAGCTTTGAAGTAGATAGTTAAAATCCGTATACACAAAAGCTTCTCTTGTTCATAACAACTTTTTTTTTCTATTAATGAAAGCAACTAAGAAAAATGTTTTGAAAAAAAAATTGTATATTCATACAATAGTAATAATTATAATAATATGCAGCAAAAATCTATGAATTTTGTATTAACATTAACATTAACATTAACTCATCCACATATGCTATTTTGCAATAAATATAAAAACATTTATAGTCTTCTTCCTCTTTTTCTTCTTTGGTTATTTTTCTGATGTAATTAAGTTCCTAAAGTCCATATGAATCCAATTACTTATGTATCACAATTGTAGCATTACACAATCAAAAATATATGCATATATATATAGAAGCTCATCAAAACAGGCCACCCCAACGGATTCCCAAAAATAAGAAAGCGTGTGGCACAGTAAAAGAAGCTACCTAGTTTAGAAAGAAACTTTATTTTGTTTTATTATTTAACTAAAATGGGCATACAAAACCTATAAACTTTTTTTCTTAAAAAAAAATTAAAAAATTAAAAAATTAAAAAAATTAAAAAATTTAATGCTTTCAGATCTCTGGTGACAACTTTTTATTTGTCAATAATTGGATAGATGACAGCACTAGTACACAAAAGAGCCGGGACTTTGACTGAAAGTATTTATTAGAGATACTTTTGTGTAAAGAAAAGGACTTGAAAAAGAGTGGAGAAATTTGAGGGTGGGAGTTTGTCTCTTATGATATAATTATAGAAATATATATCTGTTTGGTTATCTAAAGATCTGGTGTAAGTATATCAAGTGTAAACTAACTTGAAGCTAGGTAATATTGAATATACAAGTAATTGCTTTTATCAACATTATTTAATTAAAAAAAAATTAACTAGCCAAAAAAAATGTTTACCATGGCAACCCCTGTTAGTTGTCATGGTTTATTTTCTTCTTTGTTGCTATGGTTATTGTTGTCATGGTTTTTTTTTGTTGTCACTTTAAAAAAAACAGCTATTATTACCTGTTAGAATAGTAATAATTGTCACCAGATTTAGAATGAGCTTTCCATCATCAATGAGTGTGCTTCATACTGAATATCCTTTGTCATCACGACGTGGCACTTGATCCCCGTGATTAAAGTGAATCAACTGCGTGTACTACATCAGACCACACAGGTTTCTCTTGTGTCCCTTTTTTTGGTTTATTTCATTTTTTATTTCAAACTATACTTGTGAATCACATGCAGTTCAATATCCTGAAGTGCCTGTAGTAGACCCGGATTTTGTTCACTTGCTTTAATTTGTTTAAAAAAAGCATTCGATTTGACATTCTTATAGTAAAATATATTTTATTAATAAGAAATATATCAAGTCTTTCTTTCTTTTTAGTAGATACTAGAAGAAAGCAGAGTCTGTATCTAATATACACTTTGGATATTTAAAGTATAAAGAAGCAAAATTGACCTTTCTCGTTCTCTATCTCTATCTTTGAAGGTCATACTATCGAGAGAACAAATAGAAGCCAAAAAAAAAAGCTTTTGGGAAAGCGACTTAATAACAAAATATTCTAAATAAATGAGAATGCTTTTTTTTGTGTTGAAAGTGCCAAAATAATACTAACACTAATATTAATACTAGTAACAGTAACAACAACTAGTGTCTTTATTGGCTGTTCTCAAGACAAACGGGTACTCGATACATGTGATAATAATAATAGTAATGTTAATGTATGCTACACTTGAGAAACTTGGCCGTAATTTAAGTCTTCAATTCTCCGTCAATTTTATTACATAAGTATTAAATAAAAACACCTTCCCTAAATTACCTCTTTATATATATATATTCTATTAATGTTAGCTGAATAATTATTACATCCCAGTTCACCCAAGATAAGGTTTGAAAATCACCAGCCGGCCAAGGAATTAATGTAAAATACCAAGATCTTAAAGGATAAGAATATATATGTATATTGATAGTAATGCGAAAGACAAATTCTTAAACTCTGTTCATAATCTTTATATATGTGTGCTGTTTTGAAAAAAAAATGGTGTTTCTATTCCTATTGCTTAATTTTATTTTATTTGGTTGTGGACTTTACTATTGCAATATAATTATATATAAAGAAAATGTGTTCTATTTACGAGTATGATAACGGCCATTGTAGCTTGGAGTCACTTGGATCTATTTTGTATTTATTTATTTTTGGGATTATGTATTAATACACTTGATATACCATAGATTTATATAATACACTTTTTTTTCTCTCTTCCTTTTGACTTACCAGTTCTACGCGTGTTATGAAGTTCTGAGTGATTTTTCTTGTGGCAGACTGAGGATGGCTTTGTCCATGGAATCCCATGAATGCCTTTTTATGTTATTGTAGATTAATTGATATATTCATTAATATTGTATTATGTTTCTTTTCCTTACCGCGAGTACTGTATCCCTTCTGTCCTTTTCCAAACTGTTGAGGAAACCCCAGACAGTTGGCAGTAGTGAGGTCAAATGTTCAGGTTTAAAGGCAGTGCTCATGCTGGTCATATTTGGCACACCATCTTCATTTTCAACTTCTTCTTCCTTTTGTGTTTCAAAAAAAAAGCATAAAACATAAAACATAAAACATAAATCTCTTGGATATAAATCTCTCACTATAGTGTACCGTATTTTTTTTTGTTTCATATTTTTTTTGCTATCTTGTTATCTTTGTTTTTGCTGTTTTTGTATTATTATTTACCTCATAACCAAGGACACCAAGAACATGATCCACAATTCTATCTGCCCATTCGGGTACATTCTCATCATCTTTAACCTGAGAGTGTGATCTCTTTCTGATCTTGAAATCAACAGCAAGGTGTTCTTTTGCTGCAGAATTGGTTTGCATTGTTCTGGCCAGCAGGAACAAGGATGTCAGTTCGCACACCATGATATTCATCTCTTGTAAAACACTGTCGACCTGTTTTTTATGGTTACAGAAATATATAAGATTCTTATCAGTTTGTACTTCTTATATTTCTTCTTCTTGCTAAACACACAAACACACAAACAAACAAATATAGAAGAAAACGGAAGAAAATGCATTACCTTTCCACCTCGATTTCCAAATGCATCTGCACCATAAGGGAAATATACAGATATGTGTTTAAGGAATTGCTGAAGATGTGAATCTAACCATGCTGAGCTAAGTTTTCCGATACCACCCTTGCTAACCATTGATCTCCAGAGCACAAGTGATAATCTTAAAATGGTCTCCAATAACTGAAGTGCTGGTGTCAAGCTTATATTGTTTGACGTAAAAACAGATGGCGCAGTCTCTAGCCATGAACCCACAAGAATGGGTTGGAATGTCTCGATCAATTGCTATAAACACACACACACACACGCACGCACGCATGTATATGTATAAGCATCTTTGTGTACAAATGATCTATATGTATATAAAGTGGTGTATCTGATTTACCTTTACATCGCTCACTCTCTCATCCAAGCTACATTCGGAACGATGGACACTGACGCCGTTTCGTGTCGAAGCACCTTTACCAACTGATCCTGTCGCTGCCTGGGTACTTTTTGGTCCAGCAGACTCAAACAAATTTAGAGAAGAATATCCGGGAAGTGTGTTGACTGACAAGAATGGAACACTACTTCCAATCATGGCGCTCAGAGGTGTGAATCCAGACTAAAAGAAAATGTTATTATTATTAGCTATTGGAAATACAGTACAATTTTGAATGGCACATGCCAGTTCTTTGATATATTTACCTGATCCCATCGAAGAGTCTTTGCGTCCTTGCTTGCCTGAGTTTCCTCTAAACGATTTCTGAAACTCTCTCTAGCGTGTCGGCTCTCTAGGAAATTCATAAAGAACCAATAGCTATACCAAGAAAAAGAAAAAGAATAAAGAAAAAAATAAAGCAAAGAAAAAAAAGAATGTGTAAATTTCTTTGTGTATATTATACGATAACCACATCAACACACACACACACACACACACACGCACGCGCGCGCGCGCATATATCTATAGATACTTGCTTGTCGTTTCTATCCTCTGACAATCCTGCTTCAAGGAAATTTGATACACTCTTCAGAAGCTCAAGTTTGCTCTGATTGAATTTTGTTTGTACAAAAATGAATATTCGTTCTTTATTATTATTTTTAAAATTTTTATATAATTATTATTATCGTTATCGTTATCGTTATTGTTATATTTATTATTTATTTATTTATTATTATTATTAAATTAATAGCTTTTGAGTTTCTAAATACCTTGTGAAGGTGCAAATGAGATTTGGTTTCTGCTGCTTTTACGGATGCAACACTGACATGGCCTGCACTAGTTCCACTCAAGTTTGATCTGGATTGAGCGATACTGTTGGAGTCCACAGAAAGAAGACTGAGATAGTTATTTGCAACCTATCCAAAGAAACGTCAATTCGCCTTTGCTTTTAGATACTCTCTATACCCCTCTGTATATCTATGTATTCTATGTATTACTACTAAATCAAATCATTTCTTTTCTGCCAACAAAAAAAAATCTTACTGTATCCCAGAATTTTGACACTAGTACTTCTGGCGCAATATCCACCCATAAATCAATCAATCGAATAGCATCCAATCTAATGTCTTCAAAAATGTGTGTCATAGCAGAGCAGGTGTAGATGACAAGCAAAGGCAAGAAAGGTTGAAGTTCAATCTGATCAATAAATATAAATATGTATATACATATATATATACTAGTATCAGCTTGCATAGTCTTTTTCTTCACAATTCAATTTCTAATTCAACTCTTACCTTGTCAATAGGCTCAAAGCAATCTCTGAGGAACGAAAGGAGGGCTTTACGGACATCTCTTTCCTTTTGAACAAAATATTGTTAGATTATGTTACTGGTATTTAACTATTGAGATTTTCAAATATATTTCTGTAAACTAGCATAGTAGCCATAAACCAACCCACATCATCCATAAACAATCGTAAAACACTGTTGACTACGGTACTCAAAGAGGATACAAGGATTTGTGGATTGTCACTACACAAATCGCGCATATTCAAGAGCGCCTCTAATCGAAAGGAAAAGAAAGGAACATCAATGATAAATAAAAGGTAACGTATATTAGAAACAAGCAACTCAGACTAGGAAAGAAAGAAAGAAAAAAGACAATCTCTTTGAATTGTATACATATATATATTTACCTTTTCTTACACCAGAGTTGTAATGTTTTAATTTAACCAAGAGATCAGCCAACGTAAGGTTGCGAGTGGTTGTTGTTTCTCGGGATTTATCTTCATTGATGCTTTGGTTGGGTAATGAAATTGCTAAAAAATGAATAATAAATAATAAGTTCCAATGTTGCAAGCCGAGATTCCTGCATTTGTGTATTTTATTTACTCTTTGACTTGAACGAGGTGTCAGTGAAATTGTCGGCAACGGTCTTCTTCTTTCCGACCTTGAGCTTCTTTTTCTGTAAGTTTTAAAAGTATTAAGGAGTGTTAACATAGCAAATATGGATATATATATGTATATATGTATGTATGCAAGTGCGAATGTACAATAATGAAGTTTTTATTGTAAATGTACATGTATATATAGATTATATATTTTTTCGGTCTGTTGCTTTACATGCCTTAAAGTCCTCGTTTTTGAGTTTCTTTATCTTTCTCTCGCTAGGCATTGCTTGTAATGTGGAGAGGTTTTTTTTTCTCGTTCTTGGTTAAAAGAAAATTCTGCCTCCTTTTATATGGCTGTGACTGTGCGTGACTCGCGCATTCTGCTTGAATCCTTTTTTCTCCACTTTTTAAAGTAAAAAAAAAAAAGTATGCACAAATAGACATGTCAATGCCGATTTCTTTTTTCTTTCTCTTCTATTGTGTTCAATTGGCTGATATTTTTTACAACACTATTGCTAAAGCATATATATGTACTATCAACCAAAAGTGTAATTACTGCTGCTTGTGTGTGTGTGGTAAATGATATTTATTAGGCTTATTTGAAGAGGGTCCTTAAAAAACTGTCGGTATTTAGTCTCTTCCACCGGAACTAGGTTTGAATAAATCCAGATAATTGTGTCGCAAAACCAAGAAACTTATATAAAGCAAATGTGTCTATATATTACCATAGAAATATAAGAGTTGTGTTTGTAGTAGCACTTTCTTTCTTTTTTATCTTTTTATTATTATCCTTATTCCGTTTATACTCATTAGAGTTATTGATACTAGCCTTTAATAACAGCAATGATAATAATAAAGAACTTTACCATCAAGATTATGTGGTTTTTGTGTATTCAATAAAAAAAAGGTTATTATTATGATGTAACCCAAAAGGTTCACTGACTGTTTGGAGATCTCGGTTTACGAAAATTATTCCTGCGTAACAATGTCTTTTGTCAGACAAAAAATGAGGGATTTAATCTCTATATTTTATCTATCTATATATTAGAATATTTTATTATTTATTTATCAAATAGCCTATATATATATATATATAACCTACTACAGTGGATAAAAGGCAACTTTAGGCTTTTATTTTTATTACCAGGTTAAAATCAAAAGAAGCACATGAAGAAGAGTTAGTTAGAAAAGTAGTATATAGATAATTTAAAGATTTCTTCGACCTGCTTAATAATAGTTTAATTTTATTTCAATGGGTTTCATTTTTGGTATTATTAATTTTTATTAGTAAATGTTTCTACACCAAAAAGAAAAAGACAGTGTCAGTTAATGCTCATAAGGCTCATGCTCATCATCATTATCCCCCTTCTTTCAAGCCCCCTCTTCCAAACCCTCTGTCAGATCTCCCCTTAAACCCCTTCTACTACTTCTTTTTGTGTATTCTATTGAATTTACTCCTCCCTCCCTATTTTTTTCTTTCATGTTCTTACTTTTTTGTCGAGATTCCCGATGTTTATTGGTATAGAAAACAAAAAAAAACCCACCTTATATATAATTTATATTTATTCATTTTCATCTGCCACACATTAGCGGAGACGTAACTATGGAAATGGGCTTGAAGTATACAAGACAAGCCTTCTGTTTTAAACGAAAAGAAAAGAAAAGAAGAAAAACAGACTGTTAAGGGTGTATTTTTGTCATTAAGCACAGATGGTTTTTTTATTCCTTGCAAAGTAATAAAGAGGTTTGTCTAAAGAAGCCATTTAAACAGTTCTTCATTTCTTTTAAAAAAATATTCTTTGGTGTGATTATTAAACATTTCACATAATTACACTAATTGAAAATGCTTAGATATATATATATATATATCTTTTTTCTGTCTGTATGACTTGTTACTATGACAAAATTTTAACAATATTATTTACAAGATTGTAATTTATACTTGTATCGTCTTGATCTTTTTTATTTGCCATGTCTAGTGTATATATTTTGCTTTCTGCTTCTGTCGTTGTTTTTGAGGTGATCTGATTCTTTCTTTCTTTGTGAATTTGGTAAATGTTTACCGAAAATCCCTCTTCCTCCGTTGGAATACAGATTATTTCCAAAAATGGTAGGAAAATGGTTTAAATATATTTGAATTTGAAGAAGATAAGAGGTTCTCGGTGGAAACGACTGCCTGATTAAGATAATGATACTCCGTGCCGTTTAGACGATAATATTCGGACCTTTCTTTTTCTTTTCTTTCCCTTCTTGATTTCTTTAAACACTTCCCCTTGATTACAGAAACTATACTTCTTTTGGTGTAATCCTAAAGCGATATGATATATAATACCAGCCAAATTGTACACACACACACACACATATATATATATATATATAAATAAATGTGTGTGTGTGTAGGTGTGTTTCCTTAACCATTGTGTTTGTAATAGAACAAGGAAACATCATTATTTCAAAAAGATCACATAATTCTCTTTCTTTATTGCCTTTCTGCTCAGCTACATTGTTTTGAATACTAAGCAAAAATAAATAGAATAGGAGTCGATATGTCATCAATAGGAATTTATAGGTATATAAATATATTTAGGATAACATTCCGGTACACAAAAATGACGCGCACACTGAATAAGCTATGTAACAAGAATCCAAAATGTCCAATTCTTTTTTTTTGTGGCCGGCGCACAGCATTAATATATTTATATAATACAGTACAATACGTTTCTTGCTTTATTTATTGTGTGAGACAATTATTTTTTCTACATAAATATAAAAATATAATTAGACCTTTTGAATTTTTTTCCTTTTTTTTTGTTTGTTCATTCTTCTTTCTATGCCCATTACTTCTAGGTTCTACTACATTAGAACCTTTCTCTTGACAACCTTGTCATTCTCTTCCCAGATCTATGGTCAGCCTATTGCAGGCTTAATAGAATCTTCTGGAAATGACTATGGGTCTGCCTCATTTTGGGAAAAGGTGCTTGTCATTATTGTCCTTGTGCTCATTGGTGGTATCTTTGCCGGTAATAATAATAATAATAAATAATAATATTAGCTTTTATATGTCATTATTCGTTATAGTGATATATATATAAACAAGATAATGACGCTAATAGACATATGTTTCTTGTCTTTACAATAACTAGGTTTGACACTTGGATTGATGGGATTAGACGAAACTAATCTCCATGTCCTAATCGAATCCGGAACTCCTGACGAAAGAGAGAATGCCAAAAAGGTCTTGAGATTGCTTGATCGCGGAAAGCACTGGGTTCTCGTCACATTGTTGCTGTCCAATGTCATTGTAAACGAAACCCTTCCTATTGTTCTTCATGAAGTTGCCGGAGGTGGACTTCAGGCCGTAGTTATCTCTACTGCTTTGATTGTCATCTTTGGAGAGTAAGTTTTATAATTAAATCACAATGGACCAGAATGTGTAAGATACGTAGATGTTTCAGGAAACCTAATGATGAATTTTTGTGTATTTTTCTAGAGTTATTCCCCAGTGTAAGCCAACTAGAACTACAATATACAGATCCAAAAGATCAATTGGGTGTTTTTTTATTTTATTTTATCTTATTTTACTTTTAAGCTAATTTTACTTTCTTTCTTAACTAATTGTAGCAATCTGTGTTCGTTATGGTCTTGCTATTGGAGCAAAGACTGCATGGTGCGTTAGTCAACTAGTCAAATAACTAGCTAGTTATTCAGCTAATTTTTATTTATTTACTTATATTGTTGTTTTCTATAGGATGGTTCTTGTACTCATGTACATCATGTTCCCCATTGCTTACCCTACTGCAAGACTTCTTGACTATGTTCTTGGAGAGTCTCATGGAACTGTGTACAAGAAGGCTGGTGAGTTTTCCTTCTTCTTCTTCTTTTTTTTGGAGCTTTGAGTATTTCTTTAACATTTCTAATTTTTCTATTTCTATTTCTATTTCTTATAGGTCTTAAATCCCTTGTTTCTCTTCATCAAGCCGTCAACCCATCAGATGTTGATGCTTTGACTTCGGACGAAGTACTTATTATCGGTGCTGTTCTTGACTTGCGTTCAAAACCAGTCTCTCAGATCATGACTCCTCTCGAAAACGCCTTTACACTGTCGACTGAAGATATCTTGGACGAGAAAGTAGTCGATGAGGTAAAACAGCAATAATAATAATAAGTAGAATAAAGAAGAAGAAGATGGCTAATATTATCTTATCATTTCTTATCTTGTTATGTATTGTTATTATTAATCTGGAATAATAGATTCTTTCTGCTGGTTACTCTCGCATTCCTATCCATACACCTGAAAACAAGATTAACTTTGTTGGTATGCTTTTGACCAAGAGACTGATTACATATGATCCCGAAGACGCCTTGCCTGTTAAGGATCTTCCTATCAGCACATTGCCCGAAACTGGACCTGAAACTAGCTGTCTTGATATTCTCAACTTTTTCCAGGAAGGAAAGAGTAAGTATTTAACGAAAAGCAAAGAAGAACCGACTTTTATTGATTTGTTTAATGTTTTTGTGTTTTTTTTTCTGTTGTTGTTATTGTTGTTGTATAGGCCACATGGCATTGGTATCTAGTGATCCTGGAGGACAATCTGGTGCTCTTGGTGTCATTACTCTTGAAGACGTTATCGAAGAACTTATTGGAGAGGTAAAGATAAAGATAAAGATAAAGATAAATATGAATAAATAGAAGATGACTAATAAACTAACCAAATATAATTTTTATTCAATAGGAAATTATTGATGAAACTGATGTCTATGTTGATGGTAAGTCAGATATACCTTGATTCTTTTATTTATGTCATTTTCGTATCTTGGCAAAGAATTATTATTATTATTATATACTTATACTTTATACCTATTGTTATTCTGTAGTCCAAAACAAGATTCGTGTAGTCCGTAGACAAGTACCCAACAGAAGAGACAGTCGCCTCCAGCGTCTGTTGACTGCTCACAGACGTCGCCCTGTTATTGCTAATGGAAAGACTCCTCCGGTCAGAAGTAACTCTACCGGAGCAAACTATGGATCCTACGACAACAGCCATGTTGTTGAGCCTCACATGAAGCCCCATGCAGTTGTTGCTGATGCTGCTGCATCTACTTCTGTACAAAAAGAAGGAAATTCGGAGACACAACCTCTTTTGGGCAACAAAGATTAAAACTCTTGAAACACACATATTCACACACTCCTTCACTCACTCATTCACACACAAAAGAAATGATCCAAGACAAAAAAAAACATACAAAGTTTTCTACTAACAACAACAAAATAAAATAAAATCAAATCAAATCAAATCAAATCAAATCAAATATTCTCTCATTCATTCGTTACAACTTTTATAGTCTGCACTTGTTTTTTTTTTGTTCTTTCTATGAAAGCCAAAAATGTTGGGAAATTGGCTTACATTTAAGCTTTTTTTTTATGATGATGATTATGGTTATGGTTACGGTGGCGGTAATGGTGGCGGTAATTATTATAGGCTGTGGGTGTCCCGTTCACCCCCTCTTTTATCTTATTTTTACTTTAAACAGGGATACGCATGTGTTTCCTTTTTGAGATATAAGACAAGGTTTTTCTTCTTTCTCCGTTAGTTCAACAACAACAAGTAAATAACTTCTCAAGAACAATGAAAAGAGATAACTTATGCCAATACTTTCCATAACATGTCACATTAACAAGTTTATCCGGTAGAGTTCCAAATACTTGGTTTTGAAACTCTCATCTGACAAAAGTTCCTCTCTCTCTCTCTATTTTGTCTAAGAAAAATCATCCTGTGGTTGGTAAGGTACTTTCAGTGCATGGATTGGCATAGTAAAGACGGTAAAATCACATGCTTGTATACTGTATTACGATTAGTGTTGTAATTATTAGACCATCCCTGAAACAATAAAGCAATATTAGCAATACCCTCACAGTATATATATATATATGTTAGTACATCATAACGTGCTTATTATTATTTTATTTTACTAATGTGATATATATACTATATATAAGAAAAGTCGTTCTGTGTTGCTCTTGAATGATAAAGAAAAATATTTGCACTACAGTATAGATTGTATGATAATTGATTTATGACTCTCTTGACAAGTTAATACATATCTACACTCACTCACTCACTCACTCACTCACTCACTAAGACTCGCCTAAATGCATTTATTGTTATATGGTCTACATGATAGCTATTGATCGTAACTATGTACGATTAAATTTTAACAAAGCATTATGTTATAACATGCCACTTTAAGTTTTGAGCTATCATATACATATGCATATGTATATCCAATCAAAACTTCTAGTTGTGTCAAAATTTCTTTTTTTTATTTTTTATTTTTTTGCTTTCAAGTTGATGGCCTGGGGGATTTAACACGTCATTCTTTCTGTGTATATGGGCATAGTAATATTTAACCCATAAATAATAATGATTATTGACATGGAGTAGTATGGCTTGGGTAATATACAGTATTATTAAATAAACAAGCCAAACCAAACAAAAAAAAATAAGGAGAGAACAAATCAAAAGTCTTGCAAGGCTTTTTTTTTAATATATATTTTACTTAAGAAAAGCTATGTTTTGCTGCGGCCACTCAATTCAATGCAGCCATAGGTAAAAAGGTAGATAGTAGTAGTTTCATTTTTTGTTTTATCATCTTCTTTAATTATTGGTAATATATACACACACACTGTTCAATCAAAAAAAATCTATACGTAAAATATGCAAAATGATAATAATAATAATAACAATAATAAAAATAAAAGATGTCTCAAGAACAGGAAGTTACAGAAAAGCCAAAGCGTAAAGAACTATCAGATTACGAAAAGGGTATCATTGTTGGAATGTATATGCGTATTCCAAAGATGTCAAGTATCGCAAAAGATCTCGACATACCCTATACAACCATCAGCTCGACTATACACCGTTGGAAGACTACCGGGACCGCGCAAACTAAGAAACGGCCAGGAAGACCAGAGACTTTGACAGAGAGAAACAAATGTGCTATCCAGATTGCCCTGTTGAGAAACCCAAACATATCTTTGCAAGAACTGACAGAGAGTATTCAAAAGAAAGTGTCGGCGCGTATTGGCGTGAACGTGGTACGAAAGGCGATCAAGGAAGTGAAGAGGAGAACACTGGGAGCACTAAATGGTAACTCTATTATAATAATGATCTCGTTACCACATTGCACTATACTACACTACATTTTGTTATGTATAGAGTGTCATTACAGAATAGCTAATATTAAAGTTTTGATTATTAGAGCAACCATTGGACACAGAATTAACTACACAAAGTCTTCTTGTTGGAAAAAATGACCGATGAACTCACAGCATTATACTACTATGGCCTGTCCGTTTATTTATTTTTGCTTGCTGGTCTGCCTGCCTCTATAATTTATTTACTTTTCTTTCTTTCTTTCTTTCTTTTTCTTCTTCTTTTTTATTTGTATTTTTGTTTTTTTTTGTAGATTAGAAAATAAAAAGAAAGAAAGAAAGTGAGTAAGTAAAGAAGTTAGAAAGTAAGAAAGAAGAAAAGTACGAATTATTTATGATATACTGATTCTCACAAAGAAGTCTATTAAAAATGAAAAACTAGAGCAAGAAATTTTGGGCTACATCATACATCAAAACACAATATTTGTTCACGTGTGTTTATGAGAAAGTGGGATAATACTAGTCAGAATAACAGTAGCCCGAAGAATCCTAAAGGTTAAACAAAAGCAATAGCAATAGCAATAGCAATATTACTTTCAATGGACAGAGAGCGGTGGCTTTTTTTTAAAAAAAAAAAGAAATTACAGGCTTTTATTTTGAATGCTTTAAAAAAAACAGAGTCGTGTATTTTCTGTAGTGTTTAAAGAGTTTTTAAAGAAGGTGTATATGCGTGTAATAGTAGTGCATAATAATTCGATAAACTCAGGTAAAGCCTCTGTTCTTTATTTGATAGGATATTTGAGATATTGATAAAGTAGATTACACATGACTGCCTAAGAAGAAGTAAAAGAGATTGTAATATTATAGGGTATTAATTATACCACTAAAAGACTGGCTTTTACAGCATAGTAAATGATTCTCTCTTGGTAGACTTGTTCTGAGAAAATCAGTCATTAGCTATTAAGAATTTATTTTTTTAAAAAAAAAAGAAGCACTACAGCAAATTTCATAGCCATATGTATAATACGTGTATAAATAAGCACACCAGTTGTAATGCTAGCAAACTACCCGAAAGAAAACAAAATATAGTAAAGCACATTTGCAAGGCGTACAATTGGGTTAAAGGGTGTTGGTTTTATTTCCTGGACAAATCAAAATTAATTTTCAGATAAAGAAAGAAATTAATTCAGGCGAATCTACCTTTTCGAATTAACTTCAAATAAAAAGTATGTGAACTAAGGACTCAGCGATATTTTCTTTATATTTTATTGTTCTAGGAAGTAAGTTCTCTTATGACAGTAGTCCTTCGGCAAAAGAAAGGAGTCATTTCAGCGGATTTTCCAAAGGAAAAAAAAACTAACTCGAACTTCCGTGTTACCGCACCTGTCAATTTCAATTGTCTTCATAGGCTTTAAAAGGAATGGAAGGAAGTCGGCTTAGATAAGAAAATATACCTGAAAAGTTAGCGACTTGTGTGTTTGCTATTAATAATTTGAAAAGGTGATCAAACAATAAAGAAGAAGATATGCTTGCTTTTAGAGCGTTATAAGAGGAAGTATGATTATGTATCAGTAAATTGGATAATAGTTATTGACCAGAGAAATTTATAATCCTTGCAACAGCACATATAAGCTTTGCGATATGAGCAGAAGTATTTTGAAAAGACATGTCAACCACAATAACATAATAATAAATATTGATCACGACAATGCCAGCCCCAATTTGAGCAAGGCCTCAATTGCTTCTGCGCTGAGAGGGAAACATATTATGTGTTTATTTATGATTGTTCTCTATGTCTACTTGAAAATAACAAAGCATTGGGTTAGTATAGCTATCATATTACATACATATATTTGCATATTACGTTTATTATCTTTTTCTTTTCACTGATACTTTTCTAAAGCACCGCACTCTCTTAAAACAACATATTGGTAAGAGAAGAGAGAGAATTTAATCTATATCTAAAAAGCCAGAAAGATACTCTGCGCATGACTTACATTGAGTCTCCATATTTTTAAAACAAGTTCATGAGTTACTCTTGCACATACTGTATACGATATAATTGTGCTCCCAATTGAGATGACCAATGAAAACAAGTACGCAATTAGCTTTGAAGGGAAGCTTTGAATCTCGCACATAATATATACAATGATAATTGTGTTCTCAATTGAGATGAGAACAAGAGAGACAAATAAAGCGGCAAGAATCTTCTTTAGACTAGCTTGATATTTAAAAGAGATTACTTGATGAATTTTTTTGAAAGGTATGAATAAAGTAGTTCACTGACTAAAGTATTTCTTCATTTGAGAAGAATCTAATCGCATTGTCTAACAACATGGAAATTTAAATATTCTTTAATTTTTCCACTAAATAAAGCTTTGACTATATCAAAAACATCAAGTAATTCAATGAATTTAGCAGCTTTGAAAACCTTGGAAACTTAAGAGACTTGAAAGATTTTAAGTGCTCTAAGGGCTATTAGGGGTATTAGGGGTATAAGAGTTATAAGAGTTTTAAGGGCTTTAGATGCTCTAGGGACTTCAAGGGAATCAGAGCTTTTAAATGATATTAGAAACACTCTTTTTTTATTTTTATTAATCATTTATATTAATTGAATTACAAAAAAAAATAAGGCATTGATAGTTATATATGGGTATCCTTAGTATATATACCGGTGAAATTCAGATGCTTAAAAGTCTTTATCTCTTTTCTGATTCCAAAACTGATAAATACTTCTGTAATGTATATTGAAGTCATCAATCAGTATAGCCGTTCAAAAAGAATAAACCTCAGAATATTATTGTAGTTTCAATTCTTGATAACTTCTTGTTCTTCTTCTACCACTTTTCTTATAACACGTAGATATTCTCTAAATGAAAAGATGTTCCACTTCTAATAATCTGCCGAGACCTCTAAAAAATATAAAGCTGAATGATAGTAAAGTATTGAACAATAAGATCGTCCATTTCTAACATTAATATGGTATCAGGCGCAGTAAAATCTACTGCTGAGGATAGTTATTCAAACGTGATAAATCAAGAAGAAGGCCCTCAGTCTTCCAGTGTACCAAATTATCCAAAAAAAAAATAGAACAAAAGATAAGCAAGAAAAAAGCACTTTTGGAATTCAAAGAGAAAAAAAAAAAGCCAAAGCACCTGAGCATAGTCCTGAGGAGAAAGTTGAACAATTCACAACTAAAACATCTTTGCACAATATATGCAGAAACAATGTGATTGCTCAAGAAATTCCGGCTATTTAACAGAGCTTGTTTACCAATATTTCTGCTGCGTAAAACGCGAACCAACGACAGCCCTCATTCCAGCGGCCACAACCAAAAATATGATCTTTCTTCTATTTACTATATGTGATTGATAGAACACCTTCACACATCCGTACAGGTAACTTTAGTAATCTTAATTTATTTTGATTTGCCCAAGAAAAAAAAACAAAACTAACATTATCTAACCCAATTGTTCGCTTTGTATAGTGTGTTTTATTGTATCTGTCCGCACTCTGTATATGTTTAGAATACTTTCTAAAAAGAATAAAAAAAAGGAATGTGTATTTATTATTTTGTTTTATACTTGAGGATGATGATATGTATACATATATAAATATGTACTACATACAGATAGTAAAGGCATTTTTTTTTAAAAAAAAGAAAAACATGATACAAACAACTCTAGCTAACCAGTTCAGTTTTCATGGGTTGATAACCGAGACTGTTCTTGTATTTTACAAGTAATATTTAACTAGGTAACTAGGTAACTAGGTAACTAGGTAACTAGCTAATACTATCAACTTTGTTTGTTTGTTTGTTGGTTTGTTGGTTTGTTGGTTTGTTGGTTGGTCGGTCGTAAATATCATAATAAAACAAAAAATAGGTTAAATTCAATTTGTTGATTTATCATAGCAATAGTAGTGCTGACGGACAGCCTATTTTCAGCTATAAAGCTTATTTTGTAGGATTTTATTTTAGAGGGAAAATTTGCGACTTTGAGATTACTTTTTTTTTTTTTTTGGGGGGGGGGGAGACCATTGAGTCAAATGATTGTCTTATACTAGATCAACTTGACCTTACTTCCTCTTATTTTGTTTTTACTTTAGATTATGAGTGCGTTCCATTACGGTTCACATCTTTGACAGTTTGTCTCTTGATCTTTTTGCATTTCTTCATTATATTTCAGTTGTAGTCAAAGCCCAATTGCAATTAGTGGCTTGCTATATGAAAAGCGCATGAGTTTTTTTTTGGTTTTTTTTTAAGAGACCGCACTTTGTATGCAAACGGTAGTATGCATAAATAAATATAAAAGAATCTTCCGTGGTAATGTATAGATATATTTGTTTGTGTGTGTGTGTGTGTGTGTGTTTAGACGCCAAAAATAAAAATTAAACTTTATATATATAAAAAGGCGCGATTAATTAATTAATGAATAAATAAATAAATAGAAAGTAATGCAATAATGAACCATAAACGTGATCTTTACTATATTTAATTGGCCAATTTGTCTGTGTTTGCCTCGTGGCCATACTCTGGATACAGTTAATGACATATAGATCATAGAAACACAAGCACAAGCACAAGCACAAACACAAACACAAACACCCGGTGAGAGAGAAAGAAAGAAAGAAAGAAAAGAATAAGAATGTACGTGTGAAGAGGATTGGCCTGTAACACGAATATAGAAGACGATATTAAATCGCATAGAAAAGAAGATTGTTAAACAACTACTATATATATATATAAAGAAACTCATGAAATGTATATTTTATGGGCTAGACTTGCAAAGAAGTATAAATATATATATGGGAAATGAATGGAATCAAGGATTGAATTTCTTACTCATTCTTTGGTTCCATTCAGTTCAATTTAATTTGTGTTTTCTATTTTTCTATTTCTCTTTAGTGTTCACCGCCTATACGGAATATAATTCTCCGCCAATGAAAGCAGAGTAGAATTACAAATATGGCCAATGTCTTGCTTAATATGGAAAATGTTATTCTTACCCCCCCCCCATATATATATATATTTGTTCAAAAAAAATAAAAAAAAATAAAGGGCCTTTCTTTACTTTCAAATGATTGAACAATAACGTCAAATTGTAATAAAGCATTCTTTTTTCTTTCTTTCTGGTTTGACGTTATAGTAGGAATCATTTCTGTCAAAGA